TTTTGTGTGTGTGTGTTTTTTTTTTGGGGGGGGGGGGGGGGGGGAGGGGGGGCAAAGCAGACCCCCTTCCCCCCGGGTCGGGGGGGAAGGGGGGGCGGTGCCATTGGTATCCCTTGGGCGCCGCCGGCCAGTGTTAGCCCTGCCCAGTGGCGGCTGTTTCAGAGGGGGGGGGGGGGGGGGGGGGGGGGGGGACACATGCCTTGCCCCCCCCCCTTCCCACCTTGAGAACTGGGGGGACAAGCGCCCCCCTTGCCCCCCCCCCCCCCCCTTCCGGGTTGGTACGCCCATGGCGTTACTCCAAAAAAAAAAAATGTAGCGAAATACGTTACTTGCAAAAAAAAAAAAAAAAAACGCGTCACCGACCTACATTATTTGAAAATAAAAGGAAAGCGTTACCGTTAAAAAGTAGCGCACGTTACTTTTGCATTACTTTAAATTTATAACTCAACGGTAACAGTGTGTTTTTCAGTTTTTTTGGTTTTTTTTTTTTTTTGCGACAGCGCTTTTTTTGACGCTGGGACAAAGGGCGAAAGATTTGGAGTTTTTCCAAAGTGGGACTTTTTGCACGGGGAAAAGACAAGCAAAATTTTTGGAGGTAGGTGGAATATAGTGCAATAATTAATGACTTGGCACCTATACTTCCTTTCAGCTTAAGTCCAGACGCACCCGAAGCTAAGAGCTAATGGGTCCAATCAGGCGGCGTCAGAAGAGCGTGTAACTGGGCCTTTCTTGTTTATGATTCGTTCAGCGATGGTAGAACACGTACAGAAACATGACGGACACCATGATGATCCTCTTTTGACGCTGTTGATTGGTCCCACCAGCGCGTAGCGTCGTCTGCGTCTGGGCTGAAGGTAAAATAAAGTATGACAACACGAAAAAAAAAATATTTTTTTTTCAGGTCTTGGGAAGAATATGTAACGAGTAACGTATCTACTAGTGTGCGCTATTCGAAATAAATAGCGTAAGTACGTTCCCCGTTACAGTTCTTGAAAAAGTAACGCGTTACCGGCAACGCCGTTACTTGTAACGCGTTGCTGCCAACACTGGTAGCGAGCCACCGACAAGCGCTTGGCCGGTGCTTTGTGCGCGAACACCGTAGGAACAAAATCTGGGTGGTCGATCAGACGACGGTTTTCCTGCCCATAAGCAAGCCTCGGGACGGAGATTGAAGTGGAAGCCACACTTTCCTTCAAGAAAGTGCTTCCCGCACAAACGGTCGTCCGCGCGAGGCGACCATTATTTTCGATCCACAGATATTATCCACGTTCTGCGCCTTTCAGAGTCAGCCGGGAACTTGGGAAACTCACCCCGCTACTTTTGCCGTACCTTTTGGTGCAATGAACGGCTACACAGCTTTGCGGAAGCTGAAAAGCTATGACGCCCAGGCGAAACGCGCGCCCTTCTGTGCACACCTCCCGGCTCCGGCGTGATTGCAGCGCCACCGCAGCTCCGTGACGTCAAGCGAGCAAAGTACCGTACATACAGAATGCACTTCAAGTAAATTAAAAACTTTTCAAAACCTCCTTGAAGTAGTACCAGTTAACGACCCTGGATATTTCTCTTGTCTCCTGTCCAAAACGGCGCCGTATTGTTTGAAGACCGGTGTCTTCGCCGCATTTCCATAGGAGCTAAGCCTTTTTGTTTCTTTACTTTTTCCTCGGGTAAGTTCACTCTTTGCAAATTTTACAAAAAAAAAAAAAAGAATGCACCATCTGTGGGCAACGCTGCACGAAGTCGTAGCGCGATAGGAAGAAACCAAAATTTTCGGTCGATTTAAAGGGCCTGGCCACTCCTTGATACACCCAGTAGAACCCATAGAGTTATTATGAATTATAATAACTCTATGGTAGAACCCAGGCGATAAGGTAAGAAAACTAGTCTCGCGTCCGACTTGTTACGATCACGCGACACTCCTGGGGACATTTCGCATTTGTCCTAACTGTTCTGTTTGGGCAGGCACACAAGCGATGTTCTGTCTGACGACGTGGGTGAGTAATAAGATAACAAAAAAATGGTAACCATGCTGTTTCACGTCCTGCTTTAATTGTGCCACGAGCAAACAATTTATTACATTACATATACCGGGTGATTCAAGGAGACGGCGGGCTCTTTAAATCGACCGGAAAATTCAGTTTCTTAGCCTATCGCGCTACGACTTTGTGCAGCGTTGCCCACAAATGGTGCATTTTTTTTTTTTTTTTGTAAAATTTGCGAGGAGCGAACTTACCTGAGGAAAAAGTAAAGAAAGAAAAAGGATTGGCTCCTATGGAAACGCAGCGACGCCACCGGTCTGCAAACAACACGGCGCCGTTTCGCACGGGAGACAAGAGATGGCGCAAGCGGTCGCGACGCCAACTGCCGCCAACGAACGAGCAGACGACGCGGAGAGCCGGCGTTTTTAGCAGACAAGGAACTGCAGTTCCTTGTTGTTACCGCGCCTGTTTTTGTTTCTGCGACTGTCGCCTCCCGCAGAACGCGCTCCGCTTTTGAGTCGAAAAGATTGTCTGCTAAAGACGCTGGCTCTCGGCGCCGTATGCTCGTTCGTTGGCGGCGTTCGTTGCGCCATCTCTTGTGTCCCGTGCGAAGCGGCGCCGTCTTGTTTGAAGACCGGTGGCGTCGCTGCGTTTCCATAGGAGCTAAGCCTTTTTTCTTTCTTTACTTTTTCCTCGGGTAAGTTCGCTCTTTGCAAATTTTACAAAAAAAAAAAAAAAAAAAAAAAGCACCATCTGTGGGCAACGCTGCACAAAGTCGTAGCGCGATAGGTTAAGAAACCGAATTTTGCGGTAGATTTAAAGCATAGAGTTATTATAATGTACGCTAGAGGTTCAACTGGCGCTAGTGTCTATGCGACTTCCGTGACGCAAATTGAAGCAGACAGCAACCAGTCTACTTTTGCGGTGCTCCTGTACATTCCTATGGGAAAACGCGCGTGCATTTTGCCTCTTCGCCGAAAAATAACACGGGACACTGGTTATTTGGGTCGTACCGAATAGTATGTACCTTGATTAACATTGTAAAAGTGTAATTGCTTTAGTTAGCGCATTTTTCTTAATCAGTGACCGATGTTTAACTTCGCTACATTTCAGTCCCAAACGTGTGTTCCGCAGCAGGTGTGTAAAAACAAGCGACGATTCGAAGCAAAATTACAATCGAAAGCAATGTAGAGTGTGTTCAAGGCTCGCCAGCATTCCGGTGACGTTTGTATATTGATAATATGCCAGTCCTGTCACTATATAAAAATGACCCCGTCGTGCATGAGCGGATAAAAACATTCAAAACGTAGAGAATAAAGTCCGCGGGCTATAAAAGGTGTCTCTGCGTATTGTTTTCTCTGCCGGGCAGCTTTTATCGGGCACTTGTTCTTAAAGATATCGAGCGCGTGGGTGATATTTTGAACGTAGAACAAGCAGCTTCGCTCAGGGCAGAAAGAATAAAGCAGTACTTACTTATGTAAAATCGGAATAGATTACGTGGCCTTCAATTTATTTTGATCGCATATGCACGTGTAGTTACTGATCCAGTGTTACTGTGTAATTCTTGCCGTCCTTCCTAATTTCCAGATGTCCTTCGATCGTTTGGCACGTATATCCCCCACGTAGAAAAGCGCCGACGTCGTGTTCGCGCTAAGAGTGTCCGACAGTGCACATAAATACACGCACGAAGCCGTTTTAGCACCGTTTTTAATGCGATGAATTTGAAAGAAAAACACCGCAATTGACCAACTATTTCGTCGGCCTGACTGAGAAATGTTTCAAGCTACCTAGTACGTACGAATTATTCGGGATATCTGCTCTTATGATCGAGCGCAGAGAGAAGATGCACTCACTTTTTCCCATAGAAATGTATTACCGGAAGTCAATTTTCGGCTGGTTGCTGTCTGCTTCAATTTGCGTCAGCACACTAGCGCCACTTGAACCTCTAGCGTACATTATAATAACTCTATGATTTAAAGAGCCTGCCGTCTCCTTGAATCACCCGGTATATATGTTTTTTTTTTGTTTTTTTTTTTTTAATTTTGAAAGTTGACGTGTCTAAAACTGACGTGCGAAAAGATCCCACCCATTCTAAAATCCTCCGGTGACAAAAAAAAAAAAAAAACACTGAAATTTTACGTTTCTTTTTCTTTTAGTTAGTTCATGGGTTTTTCCTGGAGTTTGTCCGGAGGACTCTCAAATAAACCGTCTGTTCAACTTCGCAAGCTCACATGCACACGGAAATTAAGTCAGCTAGTAATTCTGCTCTAAATTTGAAAAAAAGGAATGAAATCTATTTTTTTTTTACACTTGTTAGTGAGCGCATTGGTAATGATGTTGGTTTAGAAAGAGTTATAGACGTAGACAGCGGACGGGACAACACATCTTTCAAATATGTGTTGTCCCGTCCCCTGTCTTTACGTCTATAACTCTTTCTAAACCTACACTATTTTTATGTGTTAAATATTTTATGCAGGATTATGAAGAGTCGGATGTGAACATCTTTGACTTCAAAATTAAGCGATCCTAGTGTTGTGCGTGAAATCGACGCTCGCCTGACAGAGACTGTTCGCTGCATCTTTTATTTCTCGGAGATCTGCCATAGCAAAGTTGCCCAGTCAGTTTCAAAACATTCAGCACTTCAAGAAAACAGTAAAAACGAAAAACGTACAAAAAAATGATTTTTTTCGCGGTACACACGAAATATAGCGGTGGTGTTGCCCTTTCAAAGCATGCAAATAAAAACCGAACCGGAAGTGTTCTCGGCTCCCTGTCATGGCAGCCGGAAGTGGCCCGAGTACCCAACGAAAAGTGCTCATTTATTCATTTATTATTATTTGTCCATTCATTCATAAAACATTGTGGAACGTACTCGCTAGATGGCGCAAGCTAAAATCAAACTAACTTTAGTTTTGGTTATGGTGCGGTGAGCTTCTTTTTACAATTTTGGTGACATCCATCAAATAATCTAGAGTAATTTTTATTCTCGAACCTTAAATAATAATGTTATGCAGCTCCTTCGTCGAGACAAAGAAACGAACACAGCGAGATCAGCGGTCTGTCAGCATCTGTCAGCGGGCAGTCCATCTCTGTTAAAAAGTGGGCCACGTAAGATGGCGGATCGCGTGTCCCCTTTTCGATTGGACGTCTCTAGCTCTGCCCGCCTGTAGCGAAGTCAGCCGGAGAGGCCTGGGAAAAGCTTTCGCGGCTCGCGGGGACGGCCAACTCGCCATGGCAGGTGGGATCTGGGCTTTGGGGCTCGTTTCGACATCGGGAATAACTCCGTAACCGGACCGAATCGAACCTAACCGCCAAGTCCCCATTGCTTTTCTTTTTCGCTTGCTTTCCTTTGTCAGCGTCGTCGCTCTTCGCGGTGTTCGCTCCGACGACCACCGCTTAGGGCGCCACCGACTGACAGAAGGCGAACGAAAAAAAAAAAAACTTTTTTTTTTTTGTCGGGGGGGTCCCAAACAAACATGGTGGACGTTTGGGATGTTCGTACTCAACTGCTGAATTATTTTCACTCGCATCCCGGCGAAAATGTGCGCACAGTGGACCTATGTCGCGTAATCAAGCAACCCAAGAAGACAATCAACAGTGTGCTGTACCGACTACAAAGAGACGGCGTACTACAGAAAGTCGTTGAAAGTCCGCCGACATGGAGAGAGGCTGGTTCTGGCAGCCGCATTGAACAGCAGTATTCAATCGGCTACCCGAACGACGGTGCAGCGGTAAGCAGTTTCAAACTTGTCCCAATCGCTTCGCTACCGAGTTTGACGACTTTACGCTCGCCTAGCGCGCTCGGCGTCCGCCCGCGCGGCTTCGCGCTAGCCAAATTCGCCGCCGCTTTTGTCTGGTAGCGACGCTGGACAACTGCTTGGGGTCTCCGAAAAAAAAAAAAAAAAATTAAAAGGATCGCGTTTTCTATTGTCTTATAAACCGTTCCTGTTTCGCCGTGATCTACGGGGCCGTGCTGCCTCCGTCCTAAAAAGCCGGCGGAATTTTGAGCGGAGACCGAGCAGCGGCGGCAGCGTTAGGCTCTCCAGCGCAAAATCTCTTCTTTGTGTTTGACATTTTGGCAGCAGGCTCCTCACAGCAGCTCCTCGGTTGTTCGCCGTCGAGAGCCGAGCCGCTGCTGGGAAAAATCGATGAATGGATACCCCTAATGTTAGACGTACTGGATGCCCGGTCGCTGCGGGCCGAAATGTTTCCGCGCTCGGCTGTATTTTTGGGGTCGGATTTTTGGACGCGATCGGCTTCGGATGGGGGAGGAGTTCGTACCGTGTCCTGAGGTGCAGGCATTTTTTTGTTTGTTTGTTCTAATTTAAATCGCCGCCTGGTATTACGTGAGCTTGGTTGCGATGGAGACTACACTTTCTAGGCCTCCGTAGGTCGGCGATCGGTCGTTGGAAGATTTCCGAAGGAAGAAAAAACCCGAAAAAAACGTTCACGTAAAGCTTCGGACTAGCAACTGAGGTCCCGCTGCGAGTCGGGGGGTTTGTTTTTGGAAAGCAAACGTCGAGGTGACTGACGTAATTTAAGCGAGGTTTTATTTTTCCCGTGCACGCGCTTTGGCTCTCGCTTGTGTGCTAGATCTCTACGGAGGCTGGGAAAGAGGGGGGAGGGGGGGGGGTCATCTTTTCTCATCTTTTTTTTATTTGGTTTATATATTTCCTTCCCCGTTCAGTGCCTTGTTGGTAGCTTTAGGCCTACCTTTCAAACTCGGTCTCTTTGTCGTCTGTTCTCGCGCCGTGTTCGGGAAAGCTTGGGCTGCAGAATAATCACGATTCGGACCGCGGTTCGGCTGCAGAGCTTTTCTGGAAATTTCCGCGACTATTTGAGAGTCCTCGTCGTCGTAGTCGGAGGTTTTTTGTGCAGCGTGGCCTCTCTTTCTTCCCTTCCTTCGTGGGGCCGCGAGATGACAGATTTTTGATGTTGGTGCATTTTTCTTTGTTTATTTTTCTGTCTCGCTGCTTCGTCTGCGCAACCTTGGCAATCTGCTCGGATTCGCTGTGCTGCGCGTGCGAAATTGCGTGCGTACGTCGAAACATTTCGTTTATCGTCTTAATCGGCGAGTTGAACGTCACTTTGAACCTGTTTTCTTTTTAAAGCTGGAATGCGAGAAGACTGGGCGGCGCGTTGGTTGAATTCAACCCAAAATGACAGAACGGCCGGCCGTATGCGCTCGTTTCGCCTTTGTCTGCTTCGCCAACGCGTCTGCCGGCACGAAGGGAGGAAGAAAATAAAACAAGATTCACAAAAAGGGTTTCGTCTCGCACAGAAGACATGATTGCTTTTGTAATCTTGCTTTTTATTTTTTTAACGCCTCCATTTTCCTAGCGTGAGCGGTTCGTGACCGGTTAAATAATGCGAAACAATAATTGTCGCATTTTTTTATAAAACCTTTTTGTATTAACGTTTTTTTTTTTTTTTTCTTAGTGTATGCATCTAGTTTCATCTTTACGAAAAGTTGAGGTCGAGGAGCAAGGAAGTGTTAAGACAGCACCACAAATGTCTTCGTGTTGTCTAATTTTTGGGGTTTTGACGATTACTGCTGAAAGTTCGCCAGCTCGCCTGTTTTTTTTTGTTTTTTTTTTCTGTTATGAGGAGCGCAAGTTCGTCTGATTCTTTTTCAAGGGTTGTGGTGACGTCAGAACGCCGAGCTGTGATTGGCTCTGATTGAAGGATAGTGGGTAGACCTCAAGGCAGATGAACTTGCACTCCGCATATCTAGAGTTTGCATTGTTCCTTAACTTTGGAAGTCAAAACGTTTTTGTTGTTGTCTGACTATCACAGAGATAAGGGTGGAACTTTGTTGTAACAGTTAAACATTAGAAAAGAAAGGGGAATGTTCAAAACAGCCTTTTGCTAAATGATTGGATCACAAAGAGAATGCTGGGCGTGTAAGTAAACATACTACACATTCAGACATCTGCAACATTAATCTGTTAAAACAACAATCTAGAAAAAATTGCTCTTTGCAGGTGCATTTGTCATCTTTTTTTTAGTTATTTACTTCAATTGTTTTTGTACAGATAAGGTGAGCAAATGCAGCATGTGTACCTACAAAAGCAGCATGTTAGTGGTGTTCAAATAATTTAGTGCAAGGTTTATTGGTCGTTTTGTGGGGCGAAAGTCACAATACACTATTTCAAAGAAAATGGACCAACTTGGATGTTTTGTCTTATGTCACCTATGTCCAGTTTTGGTTACCTGTAAAGCTAATGTTTTGCCAAAAAGCTTTGCTTCTTCAAGGGTAACTTGATTTTTTTAAAATATATATCTATAAATACTCTATTTTATACTCCCCAAAATCGCTACTACAAATGGTTACCAGAAATAATATTGTCATAAACAATCGCTGTTGTTCACAGTTGTATCGGAACCTTTTAACACCTCTTGCAGTGCTGAGGTTTTCAATGTGGCATTGTACCTAGCATTCTAGACTGAAGCCTGAAGAGCATCTCTTTTTAAACATCCAAAACTTTGTTACCTCTTTTGAAATGTTTCCTAAAATTGGATGATTCAAGCACTGGGCAAAGCAGGGGGCAGTCGTCCCCGCCCTCCACTTTCCTTCAGACATTTCCAGTACACAATTTAAAAAAAAAGGGAGGAAAATCCTTCCCCCCCCCTATTTCTGGAACACTTGCAAGACCTCTGGGTTCAAAGCCACTGTGCATACGTTAGTTTAAGCGAGCCAGTGTTTTCGTTCCACAAGCTTGGCGTAAATTAGGTCAATGCTAAGCTGGATACTGGTTGCTCGTTGCAAGAGACGTCTACTGTCGGTTGTCAAGATTCACCTAGACTTTTCCGGCATTGGGACCATTTAGAACACCAGTTAACATATTATTTCGATGTGACCACCGGTGGGACACATGTTGAAGCAACTATAATGCCAAAAATGAGGCTAATTTGATATGAAAGAAATTAGATTGAACTTGCATTTTTTTTTAGCATTAGGTTATTTTTAGTTTGGCCCTGCATTATACCGGCAAGAACAATCATGTCATTGTGTTGCAGAACAGCTAACCTTTTTCTTTTTTTTTAGACTTGATGCATAACCATTTTTTACTTCAGTGCTGGACATTGCTTTTCATGGGCAGCGGTCCTCTAAAACCGGGTCTCAAACACGCGTCCCTGTGTGGCCGTGCCGCACCGTTTGCAAGCCCCAGTTCTCATGTCTCGAGTGCTAGAAATGGCATCTGCCACATTGATCTCATGTCACCGATACATTTCTGCTGGAAACATAGTTCTGCTCTTATGACGTATTCTCATAGCTTATACTATTGTTTTCATTTGCCTCGTGTTTCATATTAATCTTGCTTTCCGGCTTTTTTTTTTTGTAATAATCATCTGTACCGCAACTCCTCTAATAGGCTACGAGCTCTTTGCTCGAGTATGCACCTCGGTTGCACGAATTCTTGCTCGGCAGGGTCGAAGATAGAGCAACGAGCTCAGGGCTCTCACCTTGTGAAAATAACACCATTAAGATACAAGTATTTTTTCAGACTGCCAGGAAAGCGAGAGATTTTGTTTCTCTTGACAGTTTCTGTTCAATTAATTCCCAAGTGAATCGAGGGACGGGAACAACAGCGTGCTTGCTCTTCTGTTCAGTTTAAAAATGCCAGCACGTTGGCGAGATGGTACCATTTTAAAGTAATCAAATCTGAAGATGTCACTGGCAAAGCCACAACTTTACAAAAAGCAGAAAACACGAGGTCTTTTCTCTATAAAATCTCTTACCCCCCTCCCCCTTCTCCCTCGCTCCCCTCACCCAAATCTTATTTTGGCCCTCGACCTGGGGAGTCTGTACTATCAGGCCCCCATACTGAAATGAGCTAGACCCCTTCTCTAAAAGATGTTGCATTGGGCATTATGTAAAAAGGTTGTGTCAAGCAAGATCCATAAAAGAGACAGCTGCTCGAAAGCAATATCTGACTTTAAACACTTGGATGCAGTGCTGTGGAAGTTACAGGCACGAGCGCGCAGTGTTAGCATGTGCTCCGACTGTAGTAGAAGCTCTGGTCTGAACGAACCATCGATCAAAGCATCATTACTTGTGCAACATTGCTTCTGAAGCTGGAAGTATATTCTAGGACATGGCGACTAGTGGAAATATGAAAGCATTACTAGTTCTAGGGTTAAAAAAAACTAATTTTTATAAATGCTGGTTGCCCATTGGAGTATTATGTAGTTATAGGTTTCTTGCATATGCCGACTTTCATTTCGTGAGTGTATCGTCCACGTGACACATGTCTGACTTGGTATGCTCTGTAACGCCACCTAGAAAACCTTTTAACAAAACAGTTGCCATTAAATTATGCCTCACAATGCGGACCCAAAATAGCGAAGAGAACAAAAATTAAGTGAAATAGACATGGTTTTAAATGTTTTCTGTTACCTATCCTTTTAATATATATATTTCTTAATTTATTTGTTTAGTTTTGTATTTTTATTCTAGAGCTATTGGCAAATTCAGGAAAACTTCCATAACCTGCTTTCGCAGCTTCACATTCTGGCCACCAGGTTTTGTGAAATTTTGATGCCATCATGGATGAGGGGGTGTGTGTACCCAGTCCCTTGTTTTTGCACAGCGGCACAGAGTTGTAACAGCTGCAAGTAGCAATGTATAAAGATGTCAAGAAGTAGGCCCAGCTATTTGTTTATGGCCACATCTAAAGTTTTCGGAATGTGGCAGTCAAAATGCAGCGATGAAAGGAGGTTTGCAAAGTTTAGCTGATGTCGTCAATACCAGCTTGCACTTCAGCTCTAAAAAGATATTTTAATACCTATTTGGTTACACTGATGGTGAGGCCATATTGGAACATTGTTTAAACATTCCTAAAAAGCAAAAAATGAAAAAAAAACCTGATTACGACAAGTCATCAATTAAACTTAAAGTATGAAAGATGGTGAAGCAAGAGCTACAAATGCCTAATTGTAGGAAAAATGGGTGTGCTTTTTCAACTCTTCGTTCATTCCAGCAATTATAAGATGAAAACAAAACTATGGTCTAGCCAAATGTGCGCTAAATAACACTTGAACGGCTTAATTATAGTACTGCTTTATCCCCCATTTCAGTCTGCGTCACATTGACAAATGGATGCAGAAGTTGCAAACTAATTTAGATTTTAAATGCCTCGCTACCAAAGGCTCGTAGCGTGTATTTTCCAACCTGCCGACCAGCCAGCTACGACCAGATGAAAATTCCGTGGCCATGTCGGGGAAAGGGTAAACTTCCCTCGCTACTTGGATAGCGTTGAAGATTTGACACATAGATGTTTAGCTTTTTCATCTTAGGTTTTTTGTGTGTTGTGTGTATGTTTATGCGACCGGAAGTTAACCTGCCTTAATGGGCATCTGGTGTCTCAGCTGTAGATGAGAAATTTGGCTAGTGCAGCACAACCACTAGCCTGGGGTCTTTAACGTGCACCACGCAGTAGTGATGCACGACCGCACACTGGTACGACGCTCATTCAGATCGAAATGGGCAGGAGTGGGGATTGAACCAAGGATCCCTGGGTTCTGCAGCACGAACTTTTGCTCCACATGCTCCGAGCTGGTGTGCTCTAGCCCACTCGGTTACCGATCTTCCTTCAAAGGTTGGGGCATCTCAAGTTTGTTAGGTTAGCATATACCTCATTCTCTCATAAGCTGCTAGTGCGGTGCAAGCTACCTGCTTGTTGGCCGAGTCATAAGGTTATCATAAGGTATGCTAGAGGTTCAGCTGGTGCTGGTGTGCAGTTTCAAATTGAAGCACAAGGCAACTAGTCTAAAATTGACTTCCAGTAATGTGATTCTATGGGAAAAGGTGGGTGAATATTTTTTCTGCGGTTGACTATTAAAGCAAAAATTACGAAGCATTCTTTCGTAATAGATAGCTTGGAACATTTCTCAGTCTTTTAGATTTTTTTTCTTCAAATGAATGGCTTTAAACACTGCAAAAATAGCTTCATACATGTATTTATGCACACTGTCCAATGCCGTTAGTGCAAACATGGCATCGGTACTTTCTGCCGAGGCGACGCAAGCGGACACGACCGGTCAACCGCTCCTGTCACATCTCATATTTAAACAAGTCTAAAATGTTACTTTGAACCAAAAAAAAAAAACTTGTTTTTCTCTCAAGTTACAGCATTTTGGGTGTGAAATAAAAATTGTTACAGCATCTTGGTGGCGTTGCAAGTGCGAGATGCTTGGGCTTTTGCGTCACGGCGGGGAATCGCCGATCTAAAATGCTTGTGTAGCGTATGCTAACACAAGTGCTAAATTTAGTGCTGGCTTGCGCTAAAAGTGCGTACGTAATTCTAAGGCTCCCTAATATTAAAAATAAAAAAGAATAGGACTTCCATTTTTTTTGCAGCCTCCAAAGTCTGCAAATACACTGATAAAAAAAAAATAAGGTTGCACAGATCACAGGAAGTACATGTCAATCTCAATATGGCAACTTGCTGCGGACTGGACAATGCGATGTTAGTGGACGACGGACCAACGTTGCCATGGACGAGGGGCCCCTACTTCGGAACTGTCGTTCGTGGTACCGGTTAACCTATCTTCAAGCACAGACCATCCAGCGGAAGGGATATAAGTGCGAAACGATTCCACGACAAACGGTTCACGCAAGTTCGTCGTCGTTGTCATCTGCTTCAGAAGCCAAATGAGCGGAAGAAGGAAAAAAAGCATGGTCGCATGTGACTTTTGGCTATGAGGTTTCAGTTTCGAGTAGTTCAGTTTTTTGGCATTATTACAAATATATGTGACTGCAGAAAAATAATGATCTTGTAGCCTCCTGAAACCATACTAAATCGCCTGGCAAAAAATAAAAATTTCTTTTTGGGGGGTGTCAGTAGGGGGTTTTACAATAATGTACGCAATTGTAGCACACGCCAGCACAAAATTTAGTGCTTACGTTAGCGCACGCTACGAAAGAGAGTTTTAGAATAGCGTTCCACCGCCACGACGCAAAAATTCGAGCATCTCGCGCGTGCAATGCCACCAAGATACAGTAACCATTTTATTTCACGCACGAAATGCTGTATTTTTGGCATTGAGTAACATTTTAGATCTGTTTGAATATGAAAACGCAATGTGAGGTGTTGAGGAATGTTTGTGCGTCGCAAGCAGCTAGTTGCCGGCGTTCTTTGCTTACCTTGGTGGGTCTTCCAAAGCGTTTGTGACGTGCACCTCTTGTAGAAGGGCAATGTCGTCCTGGATTGAAAATCGCAGTAGCGCTGATGCCGCCGACGTCGCGCCATGATGACCACTAAAGTGGGCCATGATTTTGGGAGCCACCGTTTTCTAACTGGCTCGTCTTGGCTTTAGCCAACTTCTTGCGCATCACAAATCCTTCTTGGAGGAGCGGAAAGACTTTGCGTATGCAGAGCTTTAGCGTGCACTATCCTAAACTGCCTAGCGTCTTTCTAAGTTCATGCAGCGGCTCCAGTTGTATGAAGAGGGCTAGTGTGTGAAGCTGAGACAATTGACTGTACCCCATCGTCATGCTTCCTGTGTAACTGTGCTTGTTTGTACCAGCCTCCTATTATGTTTACCATTTGCAAATGCGTGTGTGGTGACCAATCACATCTCTCCGTTTGCGCGTGTGCAGGCTGATGGTTGGCATAAGTTGAGAGGACATCCCGACGAGAATTCGACAGGCAAGCCTCTGGCCATCGCAGACGGCAGATCGCCGCCCCCGCCATTCCCAACGGGGGCGCCAGACGTGTCGGGTAAGCCCAACGCTTCTCGTTTTAATTTTGCACCGTTACAGACCTCTTCTGAAATTCAATGATGTCCGACGGCTGATTGTGTCAATGAAACAACCAGTATGTGTGAGCAAGCACATACCTGAGCGTACCCGCTCATCGATTGAACCCAGCTCAGTACCCGCTCATCGACTGAATCTACTCAGCTGTAAGCATTCAAATTCTACCTAAATGCCAGAAGGTTGCCATTATCATGGTTTATATGCAAACGACTATTGGCGAAATCAGACTACAAGGGGTGCTTTGTCCAGCTTGTTTTCCACAGAGCTCAAGTTTTCCACAGTGTCCGACAAAAGTTTGCACTGGATTTTTTGTCATCTTCCTCGATTCAGCACAGGGCACAGCTGGTGTTTGTGGCATAGTGTTTGATTATGTCAGCTAAGCATTGCGTCAGAAACACAAAGAATTTCTGTTGTTGTTGCCTCCATTGGTTAGCTGCGGAGAGCGCAATGGTTGGATCTCGCAGTAGTGATCGAAGTGGCCTCATTCAATTTCGGAAAGGATGTTTTTTGCTGGAATTAATTTCAACCCGGTGCCGCTCGTCCAGAGCAGGGCTGCACAACTCAAAAATGACGCAGGCCAAAAAAAAAGTTTATTGGGAACTACGCAGGCAGACTGGCAGACAGGTTTTCAATATCTGGCATCATCGCACTGGTTGCTGTCTTGAGCATATCTGGCAGTGTCATGTCCGCTGGTTGCACAGGAGGTGCCTGCAAGCCGGATGCGGCCCGCGGGCCGCATATTGTGCACCGCTGGTCCAGTGTCGCCTCTGCGACCTCTTTTCTGGCCGCGTTTATTCGTCCGCACAATAAGCCGTCGTTTCTTCTGAACGTTGACCCCGGAACGTCGCGTGCACCCTCGCCTAAGTCGTGGCACCCCGACCTAGAAAATCTCAAGGTAGACACTCAACACTTGGTCTGGGAATGTTCAAAGCTCGACCAAGAACGCAATGACGCCCTGGGAGCACTCAACCATGAAGACAAACCTTCAACACTCGACCAATGGGTAAACCCCGCAGGAGACTCCGACGGCGCAAACTCATCCTCCGATCGACTTTCTGAAGACTGCCAACCTCGGCAGAGACTTGTAGCTGCCACAATTACAACCCTACGCGTTTCCATCATCCCAATAACCCTCTCCCCTCTGGCCCTACCATAGTGTAAACCGCCAGTTGAATTTCGTTCTTAATAAACGGTTGACCTGACCTGACCCCCAGATGCGCTGGTGCCGGAGGAGGAGCAGCTCCCGGTGAGGTGCCCCGAGGACTCGCCCCCCCCTCTCAACCTACCTCCCAACCTGGTGGTCGTGAGGGGGGGCAGGTTTCCCGCGGCGGCCCCGCCCGCCCTTGCCCCGCCCCTGGCTCCGCCCCCGTACCAGCCGCCCCTGGCCCCACCCCCGGCGGCCTCTCCCCCAACGAACGCCCTGGTCCCCGTGACGGGAGCCCTGGTGCCGTCGTCTGCCAACGCCGTGGCGCCGGCAGCCTCGACGCCCCCGGCTTCGACCAACAACATCCTGCAGACGGACCTAACGGCGCTGGTTATCTCTCACCTGCGGACCGTGGGCACCCCGGTGTACACCAAGGACATGGTGAAAGCGCTCGGGCTGAAGCACAAGCGCGAGGTGAACCCCATCCTGTACCGGCTGCAAGACCGCGGCGTGCTCACCAAGGTCTGGGACACGCCGCCGGCCTGGACCCTTGTGCCGGGCAGCTACGGCGACCTGGAGAGAAATAACCTCTTCGCCGCGGCGGCCGCGGCGGCGGCCGCGGGCAAGCAGCAGGCCGGCGGCCAAGCGCCCCAGCGGGAGATCCAGGCGCCGCCGGACTTTGGCACCGCCGGGGACGAAGAATTCGCCGGCGGCGCAAGGCCCAACGGAGTCGGACCCCGGGGCGGCCTCAAGGGTCCCCCCAAGCCAAGGCAGCAGCCGCTGCCCCCCGCACGAGCTGCTGCGCCTGAGCAACACCTTCGCCCAGATGGTGATGCAGCAGCAGGGGGCCACGGCCAACGGTGGGGTGGCCCCCGCGGCCCCCTCGGCGGCACCCAACCTCAAGATCACGCAGTCGGTGGTGTCCTCGTCGCTCGAGGTCAGCTACCCGACGCCAGGCGTGACCGGGAACGGGAACGGGAACGGGGACGGCGGCGCCAATAACGGGGCACGGGAGGAGTCGCCGCCCGTGGCGGTTGCGCCCGCTCCAGCCCCGGCCCCGAACCCGCCGGGCCCGCAGAGCATTTCCAAGTTCCCGAGCTACGCGTCGCTCACCAAGAACCCCGTGAGCGCTTTCCACGAGTTTGGGCAGATGCAGCATGTGGAGGCAAAGATCGACATTGTGGCCACGGATGGTCCCCCCCATAACCCGAGGTGAGGCACTGTCATCCATCTCTCTCAAACTTAAAATAAAGTGACTGACCTGGATACATTCCTTCTAGAAACAAATTGTGTGTTTTGTTAAAGGGACCATGAAATGATTTTAAAATCGAGTTTCATCCACCGCACGTCGTAAAAGGTGTGAAAAGAAACACAAAAACACAAAAATAGGGAGCCCAAAAAAATTATTTGCTATAGAACTTTTAAAAGAAAACTGGACTCTTTTGCGCCTTCCTTCCTTCGCCTGTTCACTACGATGCATACGCAGAATCGGTGCACGTCAGCCGAATCCACATCGCCTATTGGGTAAGAGCCTACCTCACCAGCACCGCGATCGTAAACAATAAATAGCCGGCGAATGTTTCCTAAAAGTTTTGTTAAATAATATTCAGATCCACATTTTGTAGCATAATTAGAGATGTGTGGCGAAAATTGCCAAATTTGATAATGCTGAGAGCCAAGCGCCATCTATCGTGTGGTAAACGAAGCAACTACTGCGCGTGCGCAGTAGGGCAGGGCCGCCAGTTACTTGGGTGACGGCGACCGACGAACATTTATTTTCTTTGTTTTCCTTCCTCTCAAAACTCTGACTGACTGAACGTTTATTTTTCTACGTGTTCTTCCCGCGCGTGCCGACTTCAAGCAGCAAGAAAACAGTACTTAAAACAGACCACGACGAACAAGAACGCTGGATTCACCGACTCCGACGAAGCGTATAGGCCTAGCAGGCATTCCGACTCGGCGCTGCGTTGCTTCGTCGCAAGACCGTCTGCCTACGACCGGCTGGCGTGCTAAATGGAATATGCCCGCGCGACCCTTGTGGACCCTTCCCGTATTATAGTTTGATCACTGACCTCAATTCTAGATTAAGAGGTGAGGAGGTCAATCTCTTCCCCTTGTTTTCCGAGGCAGTGTTGACGAACACTCGTCGAAAAGGGACTCTCGTCGATTCTATCTTCTTGTTTTGTGTGATATAGAGCTGAAATAAACGCCGTATGGATTGCCTTCGTAACACGGTATGTGCACTTTGTTATTGGTATGCCATTTTTATTCTGACAGACTGCACGTCACTGTCGACCCCGGTCCAACCTTTCTTTGCCGAGTGTCGCGTCAGTATCGAGTTGCAATCGTAAAAGAACGGTCCCGAAGCGCTTACCAACAGCGCGAATACAAGACTTCTATCAAGCGCGCGCGTCCGCTCCGAGTGTAAACAGGTATTTACGTGGCTCTTGCTGACACTCGTAGTTCAAACGTATCTTTTTTAACGTAGGCTCGCTCCTGCATCTCCGAGGCCGCGAAAAACGCCATCTACGTCGCTTTGCAAACGACTGACACGGGCCGGCCCTTCTGCCAACAATGACGGGGTGGTGACAAGACTCGCTGCACTTCCCAACAGGCATACCGGCGTATGGGACTAGTCCCATGCTGTCGCTGTAGCGCAACATATCTCATTGAATTTCGCTCAGCGGCGATGAGAGGCGCCGATTCAGGAAATACGTCGGTGACATCAGCGCAGTAAAACCTACCGGCGCACCCCAACTCGTTGCCACTAACACTCCCATTCTCCTACTGCCGAGAGAACTTCCGGTTCCGGAAACGGTCTACGTCACGGCTTCTTTTGCGGTCAGTTGGAGAGAATGAAAAAGTCGATATTTCAATAATTTTTTGTGTAAAAGTTAATAAACCGAGACGAAAACGGATGCCTGTTCGGCATTCAGTGAACATTGACGGTTTAATGTAAAAGTTATCTGGAAAAAGTAAAAAGGTCATTTCATGGTCCCTTTAATGCACACAGTAATGAAAGGAGCCAGAATTAAACGTTTTTCGGAACGTAAAGCCACAATTGCGTAACCTTTAATTGTGTGTAGTGTCTGCTGCGGTCATGAGGCTATTGCTTGCACGTAGCGGGCCTTCTCATCCTTGTCTGCGCCTTAGTCACTATCTGTTGCCGTATTGCTCCGTCGTAACTGTTAGGTAGAGAATGAGCTTTTATGTGGGTTTCGACTTGCTTACCATTAGAAGCTTTTTATGTCAATATTCTTGAGGTAGCCTCTCGTTAACGACGGGTCGTTTGAGGCGAACGTTCGACCAAAAGTTGACAGGATTCAAATCTTGTTTATACCTTAAGGCCGACTACCAGATTCGAGATTTTGCAAGGCAGAAGATCCTCCTCACCATGGGGGAGGAAACAGGCAACGGTGGACAGGGTAGAAGAGGGAGAGGAGGAAGCAAGGGAGAAGTGGAAAGCGCGAACTGGGGGTCGTCGGTCTTTAAGGCCATCAACACGCTTAACTACGGTGGTTGTGTTTGATGAAAAAAGGGTAGTCCCTGCTTCTCTTACATCATATGTCTGTTCTGATCTCTTCTGTGGCCGTGCTCAGGTTCAAAGCAGTTGCGTTTCTGGACAAGAAACCTGTGGCCGAGGCCTGGGACAAGACGAAGAAGGAAGCCAAGCACCAGGCCGCCGAGCTCGCCTTCCGCAAACTGGTGGCGAGCGGCGCCCTTGCTTCTGATGTGCCATCCCCAGAGGTACGGCCTTTTCTTTCTTTTCTTTTTTCTTTTCCAATCGATCGGTCACCAATCATTTTCTCTCTCCTTGGTATACAAATTGTTCCTACAAAGGTTCAAGGGTAGTTGCATGTGTCAAGATTGATTTCTTACAGTGAAGTAAGTGAAGCTGGTGACTGTCATTGCCACGTATTTAATCAAACTGGCTGCTTCACCACTTACATTGCATAAAGGATTGCTTATCATTGACACATCTTGTGTTTACTTAAACACGATTTATATGGCCGCTTTCTTTCAGAACATGCATAATGGCATGTTATTGTTGTCTATGTAACAAGCATAGCGATTTATATGTCCTCAGTTAAAATGAAGCCTGTTCTTGATTCTGGACATGTGAAGTAATGAGCTCAGTTCGGGTGGGATGCTAAGCGATATGCTCAGTGTTACCTCAAATTTGTTGCATAGAGGTCTAGACTGCGAAGAAGTGCCCTCAGGTGGTGTCTCCTGTCACCCCTGTCAACGAGTAGTATGGTCGGTGCAATACGAGTGCTAACCTGGAGTCGTCGATCATCACGGGGTAGCGACGACGCAACCGGCCCGCCGATACGACACTCATTCGCTCCAGAACAGGAGGGGCGGTAAAACTTGGTTCTAAAACAGGAGCTTTCACTCCACATGCAGTTCTAAAACACAAGCTTCCGCTTCCACTTGCGTGGAACTGCACTGCGCTGGTCCACTCGGCCACCTGCCCCCCCTGCAGTGCTAAGGGCATGTTCATGCGAGATTGTTATCTCTGTGTCGTCCCTTGCTAGTTTTGTTCCCGTGGTGTCAACGATTGGCATCGGTGCCCATCATTCGGTATGCATAGAGGTAAGGCTCGGGCTTTGCTTGCGAACGAGCCGAGATTTGTTTGGGGGAATGTGGTAGCGGGGGGTGTTACTTTTTCTGGTGTCTGTATATGACACCCTGATGTCACGTACCTACACCCCTCGACGGACAAAGATATACGAGCATGGTGCTACGGACAAGGACAACTCGAAGAACTGGACAAGGCAGGGCACTGGGCCTGCCCACGCATCGTGCTCTTCTATGTCTGTAGTGCTATTTGTTTTTTGCTATGTTTACCCATTTATCTGAACAGTTCATTTGGCACACCTTGATGTCTGTGGTTGGGTTAAGCTTAAGAAGCGCAGGCTGCAGTGTGTCTTGAGCACCTAATCCTCGCAGCCCACAACATTGCGAAGCAATGTTGTGGGCTGTGGACAACATTGCAAAGCAAGAAGCACGAGCACAATATGATGCGCCCTGCCCTTTTTAAGTTGTCAGCGGCTGTGCCAGGCGTTCTCTCGAGCACGCAGGGCCGCACTCTTTACTCCCGTGTCTCTTTCTCCCCACCTTTTCCCTCTCCCGGCTTGCAGACGGACATCCTGAGCAGTCAGGATGAGAGCATTCCAATGTTTGATATTATTGCTGCCCTGAGTCACCGCGAGTTCAGCCAGAAGGTGCTCGAGGTGCCGGAGTATGTCGGCGGCCGGAAGGTTCTGGCTGCGCTAGTCATGAAGAACGGAGCCACCGACAGGGGCACCGTCGTCTGCTTCGGCACCGGTGGGTACCCCCGCTCCGGCTCTCGTGCTCTCTCCATCCCCACTGCTAGCTCGGAGCTCTGGGTGCGAAAGTTCCAAACTTGCCGTTATCTGATTCAAAAGAAGCAATTTTCTTAAGTTTTCAATGGGAGCTTTTAAAGGGAAGCTACGGAGCTTCTTGGAAAAAATGAGTTAGAGGTGAATTCTGGTGTATTTTTACCCCGTGAACCCGAATACCCAAACCATTTGCTGCGTAAGTATTGTTAAACGCGAGAAAAACGCGAAAGACAGTCGCTGTCCGTGACGTCATCGACGGATCTTTTGGCTGCCCAAGGCTAGGGGGGCGGGGCTTCAGCCCTATTTTGAAATTGCTCTTGTGGCTCTCCGGCACGTCGCATTGAAATATAATTATGATATCTGTTATTCTAAAGGCCAAATGAACGCAATTCAAGCGTTTTTTCTCAAATGTAGAAGTGCCCCATCTTCCCTTTAACGGCAGCTGACCCCATTCATGTTCCATGCATTTGAGAGCTTCGGCAGCCGCTGTTTTCCCAGTGAAACTTCCCGAAAATCGCTTCTGACTTGAATTAGATGACGGCAAACTCTGAAAGGTTGGCATTTGATCCAGACTGCCAGCGCAACGTCTGGGCGAAGGGCGAGCTTTCGGCTGTGCATAGTTCATTTTTGCGGTAAAAAAAAGTTCCTGTAAATTTTGCTCGAGGTCACCTGGTATGTTCATCTAAAGGTTATTTTATTTGTTTATTTGTACAGGTTGTTTCTCTTTAAATTTATCCGATTTGGAACAAAAAAAAAAAAAAACCACGAAAGCTACAGTAATGTGGTTTGTGCAGATGAGATATACAGCCAGGGGGGCATAATGTAGGGGGCTAATCATCGTAACAACTCAAATAATTTGACTAATATTTGTAAATTAACTTTTGAATTAGGGAGAAGAGACATGTGGGTTTCAATACGAAACTTGCTGAGCTTCATCGAAAAGCACTATAGCCGGTGACAGGTCAAGAACGAAGTGGAAGCTCGTCCCGCGCCTTTCCGCAACCACGCTGGCACGTTATCGCATTGGTAACTTTGCTCCTGCTACACAAGTGGTATTTTTAGTGCCCCACCATACCTCCTAGTCTTCCTAATATTGACTGATTTAGTGGTTTACGATGATGCTCAGCAAGTTTCTAATTGGAACCACATGTTTATTTTCAATACCGTATTTACTCGAGTAATAGCCGCACTATTTATGAACAAGGCCCTTGCATCTACTTTACCGCAGAACACATATACAGCTAGTCATCGCGTTGCGCTTAAATAACATAGCGAATAACCAGATGCAGAACACGATTCTCCATACAGATGCAATTTTTACGGATGGTATCTTTGCGCGAAGACGTTGTCTCTTTCCTGTAAACCACTGGAATCATGCTGCCAATCGCAGTGATTGGCAAGCCGCGTGCTCTGCGGAAAAGCAAACCCTCAGTTTTTTTTCATAAACAGTGCGGCTATTACTCGAGTAAATATGGTAATTAAGACATTAATTAACCCGTTTTAGTTAATGAGCCGACCGATTGTTACCATTAAGTGCCGTTGACACATATGCAATCGAGTAAGACCGAGAGAGACTAGACCGGTTTTTAAGCCTCTTGCGACGTCTTAAGGACCAAATGTGCTGCAGCAGAGATGGTCCTAGGACGTCGCAAGAGGCTTAAAAACCGGTCTGGTCTCTCTCGGTCTTATTTGGTTGCATATGTGTGAACGGCGCTTTAGCCCCCCTGAAGTATGGCCCCCTGGTCATATAACTCGCCTGCACAAGCTGCATTAGTGTAGCTTTCACGGCTTTGTTTACACAAATCTGTTGAGCTTGAAAAAAAAAAAAAGAAAAGATGCCCTGAGTATTTATTTAGTGTTTACTTATTTAGAAGCAGAAAATTAGGGCAATGACAAAATACAAATTACAAATTAGGCGCAGTCAACATGGATGTAATTCTTGTAAGATTTCAAAAAACTCGAGAGCGTATGGCTGTGGCCACTTTCCCGGGAAGGTGGTGCCAGCCCCGGGATGTACGGGGGATCAGAGACGAACGAGATGTCGTCACGATCAAACTCGGGATGCCAACTTTCTGGCTATTATAAGAGGCAAGAGGAAACATAAAAAGGGTCGGTGATCAAAAGCGTAGGTTTATGAAAATAAATTTTATGAAATGAAGTTAGGACCAGCAATTTGAGTATGTACCGAGTAGAAACGACAAAGGTCTGAGCATGACTGTGATTTGGCTCCATATTTAAGTTACCATTTTGACAATACTAAAATCCACCATGAATTTGGCACGGATGTCGGTGCTTCCCTGGTGCCTTTCTGGTACTGCCAAAATGGTAGCTTTGAGATTTTATTTCGGCCAAGAAGTGGGGCGTAAAATGCATGACCCAAAATTTGCAAAAAAATAGGCTAGGTTTACTCGTGGAACACTGCCGTAGCTGTTCTGATATAGGTGAATTCTGTCTAATGTAACTCTAGGGCCGTTTTTTTTTTTTTTTCTTTTTCGTTCCTAGTCGCTGTTTTTGTTTGTTTGGTTCCTTTCATGCTTCCTTTTGTAAGACTGCTGTGTCTGGTCTTTTTTCAACCAGATCCTCGCTAATTGTATTTTTGTAAAGGTTTCTACCATGTGTAAGTATTTGTGCCCCTTTTGTTTTGACCAGGCAAGAGCTTTCTAGACGCGCTCTTTGACGCAGTCCGCCTAGCGGGTAGGTCGTGCCAGTGCCCGAGGCTCTTTGTGACCTTTTGCAGGAAGTCGCTGCATCACCGGTGAGCAGCTGAGCCAGGACGGAACCGTGGTGAACGATTCACACGCAGAAGTAATAACAAGGAGGAGCTTCCTCAGGTAAGTCACCGGCATGCAATAGCAACTCCGCCGACTAGTTTTGGGGGCATTGTCGGCGGCAAGACGTGTGCTGAAAAGTGCCATGTCCCGTGTGTGACAAAAAATTGTCATACACGGGTCATCGGTCTTGGGATTAGCGTATTTTCCGGACAGCAGTGTCCAGGTGCATAGCCCGCACCTGGCTTCCAGTTCACATGTAAATAATTCTCATACACGGGTCACTTTGAGAGATGCCTGCTTTATGAGCTCACAAAGAAGCTTGTATCACACGTGAATCATTATTAACATACTCGATCATTCACAAGGCCCGTCACGCCTCGTCGTGACGAATGATCTAGGGTGAGCAAGTCCTTGTATAGTTTGCGCCCATAGATAGTCTGCGTGGCATAAAATTTCACCTTCAAAACACGTACAGTCCGGCAGATGTGGTACTTCTCACTAAAGACATATTTCAGTTGCATCTGCCACTGCAGTCGGTGGCAAGATAAGGGTTCAGGGGACCCTTTTCTCACCTCTTACCGCTTTAGCGGAGTGACGCTGGAGAGAATGTCATCTCCTCTCCAGCGTTCGCTCTGTTCTGCTAAAAGGGGAAGAATCTGGGAGGAGCTTCCCCTGAACCCTTGACCTGTCACCGACTAGCTTGCTATAACCTGTAGTCATAGCAAGGCAAGGTCTTTCGGACTGCTCTGTCTTAGACTGCTCCGAGCGGATCAGTGTGTTTTTGGGGGGTGGGGACAGCGAAGTGTTGTGGAGAGGGATAGGCACTCAGCAGGTTGCTCTGTGGCGGTGGTCCTTCAGGTTTCTCTACCAGCAACTGAAGAGCTACGGGCCGGGCAAGGAACACGCCATCCTAGAGCCCACAGAGGACGGCGAGAAGATTCGCATGAAGCCAGACGTCACTTTCCACTTGTACATCTCCACAGCGCCCTGTGGTGACGGGGCACTTTTTGCACAGTGAGTGGACGTCGGTCTTGCGTTGCCGCTCTCGTCTTTGTCTAGTGTTCCCTTTGGTACTAAAAAAAACAAGAAAACAGCTGGTTGTACAAACAAAAAAAGGAAGAATGTTGTTTGTGTGAGGGGGGGGGGGAGAATAGAGACGTTTCTCATGTTCCCATTGGGATTTGTTTTCAGAGGGATGTTATATCGTTGAACCCGTTCATAATGAACTGTGTAGGATGGGCATAGTATTAGTTCGGCATGTTGAGTAGTTTGTTACGTTGGATCCTGTTATATGTGGCGAATTTCAAGGCTCAAAATCGTGATGTACAATTTTAAGTCTTGAATTGTAATGTTGTAATGTACAAGCCTCAAAATTCGCATGTACAATTTTGTACATTACATAATTGCAATGTACGAAATTTTTATGGTCACTGATTTGTCTCAAAATTGGTTCAACACATAATTAGAGCCATCTGAACTAGTAACCCAAATTACAGGTCATAATAAATGTTGTTTTCCTGTTTTTTGTTGAGTTTTTAAATTTGGCTTGAGGGGATGGGGGGCTCTACTGGCCAAACTGAAAACGTTGTCATATGACGTAATAGGGGGGCAATGCAGCTCGTTTCCGACGAGTTGCAAGAAGTTTGTTGGTACGAAACGAACGCCAGGGAAGCTCACATCAGCAAAACAAAAAAAAAATAACTCAAAATGCCACTTTTTCTTTTTTTTCTTTTTTCGACTGCCTGCTTGATTTGCAAGTTGAACAACATGTGACGTCGCCCCTATGGGGGGAGCGCAGGAAAATTTGAGTGCTGGTTTGGGCATAACCTTCACTTGCCGTTTTCTCAATAGCTATTTCGGATTTAGAAAGAGCAGATAGTGTGCCGGAAAGAGCAAAGCTAGGGCATTCCAAAATTTCGTTTAGTTCGGGTAGTTCAAAAGACCGCCGTAGCAACTCCCCTTTAATGTTTAAAGTAAAGTAGACACCTTTTTTCGTATTGTTTGACAGGAAGCAATAAAACTAAACAGACGACTGATCCGGTAAACATAGTAACAAAAAATCCAATTTGCAGGCTAGTCACCGTTTTTTGAAAGGATAAAAAAAGAGCACGAAAGTCGGACAAACGGCACGTGAAGTGGCAGTTGTGGAGCATTTCATGCACACATAAGATCGCCGGTCTTTGCCTTTCCCCTCTCAATGGGGGCTAGATGGCAAGGTGGAAAAGAAGACCTCTCAAAACATTACGCAACAACCGGCGGTGTAGGAAAAGGGGACGGAATGTTGGGGAGCCTGCATTGGGATGGTACGGCAGACCCCTCCCCACGGCTCGTGTTGGCCTCGTCTTTTTGGCATGTCTTGTTGTTTTTCTTGTGTTGTATGTTTTATCTGTGCTCGCTCTTTGTTTTGCCCTCGTAAATGTTCCTTTCTTTCTTTTTCTTTTCTTTTTTTGATACTGGGACAGGGACTGCTACAGTTTTAGAAGCTACACATTCTGTTTTTGTGAGAACTATTTGAATGTTTGATATAGGCAATACTTTGCAGTGTCCGGGTTCATCACAAGTGGGGTCTTGGGCTAAGCCATATCGGCCTCCTTTTTAGTCCACGCCGTGCTGCATTATTTGCCAGTTCCATGGCAAACTTTGGTAACAACGTAGAAAATCAATGTGTGCCCGTCATAACTCTCATCTTGGGGTTCAGATGTTCACATAGTATCACGGTGTTGTAGCTTCGATGCTTTCGCTGCTGACGTAAGACTGACGAAGGGGGCAGCGAGGAGAGATGGCGAAGGCTGCCACGTGAACCTGCATCGTAATGCTCTGCTAACGCTGCGTCGTCTGCCTGCCCCCTGTGCCACAGTACGACCAAACCAGACGACAAGAACAAGACACAGGATCAGAACAGTGAACAGCATCACCCACTCTTTACCAAGAGCTGCCAGGGACTCCTGCGAACAAAGCTGGAAGCAGGTGAGCTCTTCTCCCGCTTGGGCTCTGCATAGATGCCCCAGTCGATAGCGTGTCGCGTCGTTTAAAGGATTAATTTTGTTACTATTTGCCAGTGCCATTGTGCGACAGGCATGTGGGGATCGTTAACGACTTTGCTGACAGTTTTGCCTGTTTGAGCACTGAAAACGTCTGCCGGAACAGAGAGGAACTCGGAAAAAGACTTTAACGGTTCTAAGCTTATGCTTCTGTGGTCCCAAATCCACGCATTGCGGCCCCTTGAATCACAGTCTGACTAGAACTCAATTTGCCAATTTATGGCCTGTTAGAAATCACAGCGAATGTTTTCGATAGTGACTTGCGGAGACAATCATGTGTGCTGTAAATGTCCCACCGAAGTATATTTTCCCGAGTCATGCTGACTAACTGTTCTGACTGCGAGCAGAGGTTGACTGTCACTTACTTACCATTGCAGTCTGTCAGGCTTATCTATCTCTCTTTTGCTTTAAAGTTCTTTGAGTACCGACCAATTAGTGTCATCTCGGCCTTCTCGTTTACATCGACACCATGCTCTCAAATGCGGGTGGTGCATAGCCACTGATCCTGCATGCAGGGAAGTGGTTATGCTTTCACCCTGGAGATGGTACTGTCGGCGAAATCATCATTATCACCTACACATATGTGTCGGTTCTACAGTTAGCTGAAATGGAGCATGCTGTATGTATGGCTTCGTGGAACACTTCGGCCGAATCGGATCTATTTAGAATCGTTTGGCTCTGGAACAACTCGTTAAAACTTGCGTTTTGTCTGCTGTGAACATGCGTAAGGATGGTCTGTTCTCAATCTTTGAGACGTGTGCCATCTGCTACTGACATCCACAAAAACGGTTAGTTGCCCTTCCGGCTACCTACTCGATCGAGTTATTAATCTGCTCCTGAACTTTTGAGATACATACCATCTGCTAGTGGCGTCGGCAAGAACAGTCGGTTGCTCTCGGGACCTTCAACTTAATCAAGCTGTCGATGCTTTCCCAATCTTTTGAGCTGCGCACATGCCCCTCCTGACCCCCCGACTTCTTCTGGCGACGTGCAGGGGAAGGCACGGTCCCCGTGGACCTGACTACAGACTACCAGACCTGGGATGCCATCCTGCAAGGTGAACGACTGCGCACCATGTCTTGCAGCGATAAGATTGCTCGCTGGAACGTTCTCGGTCTGCAAGGGGCTCTGCTCAGCCACTTTCTGCAGCCGGTCTATCTGAGCTCCATCACCCTAGGTATGCCTGCCTGCCTTTCCTTCCTTTTTTTTTCATTGGTAGCACATCTGTCCTATACAGGCATTAAAAATAATGTTTCCTGAGGGTTTACTGTCCCTAGGAGTAATTCCTGCACATGCTTCTATCAGGGGTGGGACAGCTGCGCCAACTACTCCTTTTTGATAGATTCAGTTTCCTGTGCCTAGCGCCGCCAAAAGCGTGAAATCAACCAAAATTGCACCATGCTGCGCCGAAGATAACGGTGATGCTAGATTTAGTGGGAGGTGAGAACTCTGTCGGCAACCTTGGCTATTCCATTGCCACGTGGCGCACACCGCCGCTTGATTCCTTGGTTCAGCCATATCTGTCCATTCATCCATCAATCCGATGAATTTGATGTACACATCCATACATCCTAACCATCATACCGTTGCGTCCATCGTACATACTACGATGTATGATGCTACGTAGCATGTAGTGTTAATGGTCCCGAGTTGTGTCCATTAATTCTTTATCAAAATTTGTTCCTAAAGTAAAATATTTCTCTCTGTGCAATTTCAGGTATCAGTAAAGTTCTATTCAATACTTTCCAACACTTGTAGTACAAACTGAGGTTGCTCGAATTGTAAGTGATAGTAAAACTGGCTGAGAGGATTTTTTTATAATGGTGTCGCAATTACTCCTAATGCAGATTTTTTTTATTTTTATGCCTGGTGCTTTGAAATGCGGGTTTTTATGCTCCTTAACTGCTCCAAAATGCACATTTTTTGTGCCTAAGCTGTTCTAAAATGCGGATCTTTCTGCTCCGAAAATTGCTTCAAAATCAGTTTTGTCCTTCCCACCCCCGCTCTATTTCAGGGTCGACGGCCGAGTGGCACACGAGCGCTACGTTGGCTTTCAGTCGGGACCCGGCGTCCAATCGGTGCTTTACCTATTGAACGGCGAGTGCCGACCAAACGCCGACGTGGCGCCCAATCTGTGCACCGTGGTTGATCCAGTTAGGTGACGTAGTAGTAAAGCGGTGCCCGGAATGTATCTCCGGCTGGTGCGTTCGGCGTTCTACACCGCCCGTGCATCGAAAGTGGTCCTGAGATAGCAACAAACGACTTCACAAAAGCCGGTGTGTCACGCCGCCAGATATCGCGACCCCGGCGATTGGTCGTAGAAACGCCGGTGAAAAGCTAGAGCAAACGCGAGTGTTGCCGTCTTTGCGTCGTCCCATCCCCGGTAGATCTGGCGCGCGGGCTCTGCCACCTTCGCGGTGTCGACAATGCTCGCTGCGGAAGGTGGTGTCAAGGTGTTTCCGGGCGTCCCTGCAGGTAATCTGTATCACCACGGGCACCTGTCGCGGGCGGTGTGTTGCCGCCTAGAAGGGGACCCGGTGTTGGACGGCCTGCTGCCGAGACGCTACAGCCTGCGCCACCCCGTGCTGGGATGCGTGAGCGGCCACAACCCGCCCCGGGACACGGAGAAGACCAAGCCGTACAGCATCAACTGGTGCATCGGAGATGAGCGCCCCGAGGTCACCAACAGCGGCACCGGCATGCGGCAGGACCGGTGAGGCAACCGCTCCTGGCGGCCGTTTGGCTCGGAGGCCTGCTTCGGACGGGGGAACTTTTCCGGCAATCCGGGTGTCGCTGGCGAGTTGTTCCCTAGTTTTCCTTAGATCCTGGCACTGCGACGCGAATGGCTTGGATCGCGTCTGGCTCGAAACGGACGAGCAACTCCGGCAACCCCCGTTTATAGCGTGTAACTGAGTTTCCTAATGGTGCAAGAAAATTAAAATTTAACTGTGGTGATGGCAAATCATAGCAATTCGGTTGCTGCGTTGCCACCCCGTGTTGGTGTTGCGACGTCGAGTTGCTGGGAGAAATTGCCCCGTCTAAAGCGGGCCTAAGTTACTGGTGGGACCTCACAGAGAAACTTCATTCCTAATCTGTTGTAGGTTAAGGGGTGACTAGGGTCTTTAAATATTTTTCTTTATTTATCGAGACTTTTCTGAAAATTGGCATGCAGACATGACTTTTAGTGGTGATTTCATATCTGCAATTAGATTTGAAATATGAAATCTAGAATGAAAGGTATGACAAAATATTAAATTCCAATGGGGTAATTCCTTATGGGTCGTTATGATAATTTATAATTAAAAAATATAGAGAACTGTATATAGGAAGGCATGTTCTCTTGTTATATTATTCATTAGACGTCATCACCATTTTTAGTCCCACGTTTCATATCTGTGTAACTACACTTGTTAAAATTCCTTTGAGATCCCATGTATATTTTGCCTAGAGTCCTTTGTCATATCTATTGCATATTGTAAGCATCAGTTCTATTATTCTCACTAGTGTTGTGTTCATGTCGAAGTTCCTATGCACTCTTTGATTTATGTCGAGTTTTCTGGGTCCTAATTATTGTGTCATAATGATCTAAATATTGAATTTTAAAAGAAAATTTATGTATTCATGCACCTTTTTTTTTTTTTTTTTTGTATTTTTAAATTTTGTATTTAAATGTCTACCTAGGATAATATATTTTTTTTAATTATTTATTTATTTAGCGGCCCTTGAGTCAGCGACAGATCCCCGATGCGGCCCCTTAGCCAAAAGGTTTCGAGACCGCTGGTTCTCTAAACTCGTCAAACACCAAGTTGGGGCCGAAGCTCCCGGAGTTTATCGGGACGATTGCTTCGCGCTTTTGTCGCCAACCTCCAATCGGCGTGCTCTGCAAACTTTCGGCCCCAACTTAGTGTTTGATGAGTTTATGTCCCATGCTGTAGACCATCCCACTAATTGTCTTGTGCGTGCCACCATCTTTGTCTACTTAGCGGTGGATCACGTTCTGGGTATGCACAGTGGTTCTCCCGCAGAATATCAGACGCTGCATGTATTTTGTGCCCTAGCAATGAGCAATGAAAGGGTCTATAGCAGGGGTGGCCAGATGGACATATTTCCAAGAGACAAAAAGCCTCTCTGAAAAAAGTCTCTTTTTATTGAGACAAGAGTCTCAATAAAAAAAATTCCGAGGACACCTAAGCACTTCTTGCGAGTTGTGAATGCGAAAGCATGAATGTTGTCCTTCCGCTCCCCTAGGTCGTCTGCAATGTACTGGCGTGGACGGCCACGTTTCGCTACTGCTGAGGTTACAGACGGCGGCCAAGGGCACGCTCTCGTGAAGTATCACAGCCCCCTTTCGGCAACGCCTGCCACGAAAGCAGCGGCCACCAATGGCTACCTAGGAGCCGTTTGCTCGGCCAATGGAGAATGGGCATTTGTTTTGCGTCATTTTGCAGTTACAGATGCCGCTGGCTCTGCTACGTGGGATAGTTGATGCTTTTGCATTAAAAAGGAGGAGGCACTTTTTTTCAAATTATTCGTCTCAGTTGGTGGCCACGGCGAATTCCACTTGTACAGCGATGGCTTAGTATGTTTCCTCAATGTGAGTCCCCATTCATAAAACAAGGTCCTTGTCCGACAGTGTTTTAACCTTAAAAAGGCTTAAAAAAAAAAAAGTTTTTTGTCGGCTTTGTTGTTGCAGCATAAAGCCGACAAAATTCAAGCTTTTTTTATTATGTTTTTCGAATTTATCTTGCAAGAAGTGGTGGGTGGGTTAGGTTTACCTGGGAGTCGTGAGCTGCACTTGGGCCCCCAGGAATCACACGAGGCTCGTGATCCATGGTTTGACCATCTCTGGTCCATAGACGCTTTACACACACGCCAGATTACAGCCGCCATTGCCGACCTTCTCCTCTCTTATTGAGATGCCAAGCCACTGAAGTAGGCTTTGGCAAGCCTTCACAAAGGTAAATGCTGGGGAGAAGGACACAGTCGAATCTAAAATGGCAGTAACCTGTCCTGCTGTGGTAATGACGGAGCGAAGTGATAAAAATAAGAGGAAACAAAAACTGAACGTAGGTAATGGCGGCACCCATGCACAGCTGCTGTAAGGCGTCTATGCACCGGCGACTGCAAATCGGGTGTAGGGGGCGACGGTGCAGGTCCCAAGGGAAGCGCCGCATGACCTCTCTCCGTCTGCGTGCAGGAGTGGTACAAACCTGGAGTCTCGAGTGTCCAAAGCCTCCCTCTTTGGGCTCTTCAAGGACACGTGCGACCTTCTTGGCCGGGAGGACATCCTGCGCAAGACATACGGCGAGACGAAGGAGTCCGCCCTGGGCTACCAGAGTGCCAAGAAGGTGCTCTTTGAGCGCTTCCTCAAGCTAGACCGGGGCCGCTGGGTAAGGAAGCCGCCCGAGGAAGAAATGTTCCACTAAGAGTCGCAGCCGCCAGTTTTGCCACCTCCCCCTCCCTCCTGCCCTCCCCCATCCTGCGACTACTACTTGATTGTATCGACCATTGGAGAGGCTCGTCAAAGTGGCGCCGACATTGCACCGGTGTGGGCCCGACGCCGGGCCAGTGTCGAGCCGGCATTGCTTACTGATGTGTGGTCACCGGATGACAGTTCCGGCCGAACGTGAGCGGCCGGTCGGTTTTGTGACGCTTGCCAATGCTGTTCGATGGCCGGAGGACATTGGAGTGACGTCGTGGACAGATTTTGGGTAGGAGCGGCCTCGTCGAGATATAATGGGGTGTATCTGTCGGAGACCGGTCAGAGATGTTGCCGGGGGATTGTGAAGCGTGCGAGATATCTGATGTTGGCACTTCGTCGGGAGCTCGTCAGGTCCGTGCCGTGAATCCGCCCGTTCTGTACCGGGCCAGTAATGGAAGCCTATGCTACCAGATGTTCACCGGCATTGGGGGAGAAGGAGTTTGAATTTTCATCTTCGTTTAAGAGGAACTGGATGGGTTGTCATTGTGCGTGATACGGCAGTAATGTCTGGCAGCCTTTAGGCGTGGAAGAGAGCTGTTCGAGTTGAAGTCGGGTAGTGGACGAATTCTGTCAGGCGTTAAACTGATTCTGAAGTGCCCCACCGATGTCAAAGGTTGTATATTGCCGCAGGGGCCGTAAACCGGCGGTTGCCTCACCTCAGTTTAGGGGATAACATTGTCATAAACTTTTCTAATGGTCTGGAAATCTGCCGATTTTTTTTTTTGTTGCTTTTTGTGGGCGGAGTTTTTTTGTTGTTTTATTGATAAAAAAAATTTTGGGACCGCGGTCTCGATTTTTGCAAGGACGATAATACTCTCGCGAATTTCCCGACGCTTGCGGACCTCCGAACGACGGGGAGTGCCGGAGTGCACGACTCTTCTCGCGGGTGCTCATGCCGCGAAATGGGCCATGGCTCCTTCCATCTTCTCGAACAAAGGGAGACTGGGGAACGTTCCGGAAAACGTCGCTTTGCGGTGTCTCGATTCTGACGGTCGCGCAGCACTTTGCGCTCAGCTAGAGATTACAAGCCGCTCGTTCGCGCTTGCGGGACAACCCCCTCGAGCGTTTTTTGGCGTCTTCGCGTTTCTTATCGACATCGCCGAGTTCGGACTACCTGTCTGCCGTGTCCGTTTTCCGGAAAAAGTCCGGTGGAGGGGGTGGGCGGGAGGGACGGTGGGAACTGGCTCCGGCGAACCTTTGTATCTCCACACGGTCGAAATCTCATGGGAGGGGACGAAGAGAGGAGTCGTCACTCCCACTGCGTGAAAGGAAGCGTGAGCGAGCAAACCACACACACACAAAACAGACGAGAAGAAAGACCAATTGCAAATGGGGCCGGGAAAGAAACGAGGAAAACGAGTTTCACCCGAACGTCGTGACGAGTACAAATGCGGGAAGTTGAGAAACAACGCTTGTCTGCCATGTTGGGGCCAGAAGGGAAGATGCGCTGTCCCTGCACATGTATATACTGTGTGTGCGTGCGTAACCGATACACGCGTATGTAATATGTTTGGGTCTTGTCGGGCAGCGGACGGTTCAGCGGGGCGACGGCCGTGAGTGCGGGAAACCGAGGAGCTTCTGGGGCGTTTTAATCTTTTTTCGTTTTGTTTTTTTTTTTGCTTTGGTTTGCGTGGCGGAATCTGGACGTGCGGCACGTTGGTTCGATGCCATCGAGAATTGTAGGCCGGTTGGGTCGACATCATTACTTTACAGCGTAAGCGGACCGTGACAGACCGTACAGGTGCGGCAGAGCGCCGCCTCCTTCTCTGGGCACCACCGGGGTGCCCGGTTTTTAAAAACGAGCGACAAAGTAGAAGAAAAAAAAAAGAAAAAGAAGGAAAACCTGGAAGCTCCTCTTTTGACATCTTTTTTTTTTTTTTTTTAAGCTGTTATATCTTCCTTTTTTACGGAAGAGCTGGCCCCCCCTTGGTTCCGGGTTTTTGTAAAAGTTCCTTCTGACACTTGTCTCACTCTTCCGCATGCACAGTGTTGTCATTTGTGTTGTCAAAATTGTCAGTGTACATTGTGTTACTTTTTATTTTTTATTTTTTTTTTCTCTTTGGTATGCATCATTTTTCCTCAGTAGAGGATTAGGGAAATGACGCCGAACAATCATTGTTTTCATCGGTCAATTATGTTTTGTGTCTCATGCTTTGTAAATACAGACCCACCATGCAGCTATTTCTACCTTGGTGTCTTCGTTATGAGTATTACTATTATTATTATTACGATTACTATTGTGCCTCATCTCCCTTTTTTGTATGCATTGTATCAGCATTTTTAAGTTTGCTCATGAGCCATGAACTTGTTCGTTCTTTTTTTCTCTTCCTCCAAATGCGTCATCACCGCCCGTAGCATGTCTCGGTAGTTGTCATAACACCGGCATGCTGTTTCTCTTTGCTTGTTTTTATTATTTGCATTTATGGTAGTGCTTATGCATTTCATTTTCACCCATTACCGGCGTAAACAGCCTTTACCGAGCAACCACGCTCTTAATAGGACTGCCGGCTCTTTTCAAAATCTCGCCTTCCGTTTCTCGGTTATGGGATTTTTTTCCCCGCGAACTCGTCAGTTAACGGCAACCTGCCATTTTTTTTTTTTTTACCGCCCTGATTCAGTGGCAGGTGCCAGTCTTTTTAATTTGATTTCGGTATCGTTCGGTCGTGAAAGGACTTCAACGTCTCTGCCTATTTATTTCCTTCGATTGCCACAGATTCGTTTTCCTGCGGTCGCTCGTCTGCGATGCAGAGTGGTCGGGTCGTCCGCACCGGACAGACGTGACACCAGTTCGCGTTTCTCGCCTCGTTCAGCGGTCGCACGCTGGTTTTCTCAGAACGGGACGTGCCAAAAAATGGTTGGGAAGATTCCGGGGGACGCCACCAAAATGGGCGGGCTTGCCCTTTTCGTGGCGTTCCGGAGGGAATGATGGAGTGCCCGGAAGGTGATCTCGCTGCCTTTGAGATGCGCCGTGGCGGCGAAACCAGAGGCGAGAGAAAGAGTGTCCCCGCACGCTTGGCGTTTCTGTTTTGCGCACACACAACACTTCTTCACACCTCCGGCATGAGCGCGTGTCGTTAACGCAGCGGGGCCCGCAGACACTGCGGTCGACTTTCCGTTCGCCGCGACGCTTTGCAGTCTTGGAAAAACGGGAAAGGGCAAGCGGTGTGCACCTAAAGGCTCCACGTCCCTTCGTATCCCCGCACTGTACTAACCGAAAACACGTGCACACACTTGTCGCATGTACACACAATGTGCACAGCACTGAAACGACCCTTTTGGCAAAAAGTTGGTCGGTTGCGGAGCGCGGGAGGATTGAAGAGACAGTCGTCGAGGTTGGAAGCAGCGGGCGTACTTAAGAAACGGAGCGTAGCGCAACCCTTCTCTGCAGGAAAAAAAAAAAAAAAAGCAGCGAGTCCTCTTCTCGATGTAATGTGCATGTGATGTGTGTCTGTGTGTACATGTGTGTGTGTGTGTGCACATAGAAGGCACACATGCTTAGCTGGGAGGGGATGACCTGCCAATTAGTTGCATGCTTAGCAGTCAGGCTTTGGGCCCATAGGCGCATAATAGCCCGCCGTTCCGTTTTACTCCGAGGGTTCGGCTCTCGGCTTTGGAAAGCTCCGGCGAGCGTGTGGGACCCCGGTCCCTGCCCGGTCTCTGCCCGGCGTCGACCGGGGCTTCCCCGGCGTTCCGGCGGAAGCGAGTGCGTCGGGCATCGGCTCTCGTAGAACTCGTGCCGCTAGCGCAGTTGTTCCAGCGAGGATATACACTCTAGGCCAGCGGGTGGCGCCCCACCGGAAACGAAAAAGGCCACCGCGAAACGTGCGACCCGTCTCGCCGCAGTCGCCCTTCCCGAGTACGGCCGGGGCGCGCCCGGCGATCTAACCTAGGCGTCGTCTATAGCTTCTGTTTTTATCTATTCTCTTTCTCTCTCTCTATCTCTCAGTAGTAACATCATTTTATTGTAGCTTGAATGTGTAACCCCCCTCCCCCACTCGTGGCTGTTTTAGTAATCGAACCTAATCCGACCTAGGGCCGACGTCTGCGAGTCCTTCGCGGACGTCGGCGGTAGATCGTCGCGTCGTTGTGTAACCTAGCGAAAACGCGGCTTAGGAAGGTTCGCCGTCTCTTGTTGTGCTCGTGCATCTTGTCCGTGTGGTGCGTGCTCGGAAGAAAAAAACCACCAAAAGCGTTGACTTGGAAAAAAAAAAAGACAAAAACGAGGGAACCTGGTTTTTTCGGCGTTGCCGCATAAACGTTCTTTTTTTTGTTATCGTGCTTTCTTCTCTTGCACGGATTTTGTGCCGTTGCATTTGCGCGGGTTTTCCCTGAGGGGGACGGGAAAGGGGGGGGATGTAGTGTCCGGGGACGCGCGGCAGTCCCCCAGGTTCCGGCCCCGCAACCGACGAAGGCGACGGCGGGTTTCCAGGCGACGCGCCAAAGCGAAGAGGAGTGTGAAGTGGCGCAGACACGGGGAAAATGTGCGTGGCAAACACGACGACGAGTCCCCTCACACTCGGAACTCTACGGTCGCCGTCGTCGGCTTTGCAGGCCGAAGGACTGGACGTCAGGAACTTCCGACTGCCGGCGACCCCGCGTTGGGGAGAACTGCCCCCCTCCCCCCCCGACACCTCCCCCTCTGGCGGCCCGCCTTCTGTTTCTCGCTCGTTTCTTTTTTCGCAGCTTTTGTTTCTTCTGGAGAGAAACGGTTTCTTGCGAGTTGTACGCGGTCAACATTCCGAGGCAGCGGGCCGCCTTTGCGCGGTCCGCGTCGTGGCATCCCTTCGTCTCTGTTTTCTAGCTCGTCTTCAAGCTTTGTCACGGGAACGTGAATAAGAAAGAAAAAAAAAATGTGCGGCAGAACGATCGCGCCGGCGGCGTCCGATGCGTGACGATCGTCTGGCACATTTGTTGCTTGCTTTGTCTTTGTGTAAGAGCCGACAGGAAGACAAACATACGAACGAAGCGGAGAAAAAAAATCGCAAGCAGACGGTGTAAGATGCTGTGAAGCTTTCTTTTGTTCCCGTTTGATTTTTGTCTTCTCCGGAATTCAACTTGGAAACAAAGACCTTGCCCTACCCCCTACCCTCCCCCATTTTAAAAGTTTTCTTTTTTCTTTGTGAGAGTTGGCTTTTCGGCAAAGTTTGATACTGACAGCAACAAAAAAAACACATTCCACCGTGCATGTTCGTTTTGTAGGGTTTTTTTCTTTTTCCACTCACGCCCGCGGTTAAAAGCCCCGTTTCCCGTTTTCCGACGGAGCCCATTTTTTCTTGCGTTTGTTGCGACGTCCGTCCCTTTCTGCGATCCCCTCATTTCAGGAGGGGAGGCTGAGCCCGTGTATATATACATATATATATATGTACATAGTCATGTATATATATGTATATATGCGAGCAGATAGGGGGGATTTTTTTAGTTCCCCTTTCCACCCCAACATTACTTTCTAGCCCCTCCTCGACTAATGGAGAGAGTCCGTTTAACCGCAGTCCTCGGATGCAAAAGTTCTTCACACCCCCCCTTCCCCCTTTGCCTCACTCTGGCCCTCGAAAGGCATCCTTGTTTTTAACCACGTGGAGAGCCGAGGGCATTGCTCATTGCAGCAACATTGTGCGAGATGTCCGTCTTGCAGACAACGGCCAGTTGTTGCAGACGACGGACAGTTGTTGCAGACAACAGCTTTTTGTTGCAGCAGACGACAGCCAATTGCCCCTTTTCATACCCCTCCTCCCTGATTTTCCTGCCACATATTTAGAATTTTTTTTTTTTTTATTGTCCTAACACCATATTTAATGTTGGGAATGTCGAATCTGAGTGGACATTCTCACGATCACCTTACACGAGAGGAAAGCTGACCGAGACTTCCGTTTCACTGTTGAGTTGTTTTTCGTTTTTTTTTCTTTTAAAGCATTGCGTTATTTTTTTTAAAGATGTGAACTTGTGCAGCTATCGGTAGTATCATCAAGCAGCTCAAAGTACTGCTGGCTACGTTCGTTAGAAACAAAAAAGGGTTGGGAAGAAATAAATCTGTTCTGTGGGGAATGCACCTCCTTTTCGTCGTCAATGTTTTAGGAAATGGCAGTCCTGCTCGTTGTCGTTTTTTTTTTCTCCCCTTCCTAGAACCTTCACAGCATTTTTCATGACCTGCACACATCTCCAACTGTGATCTTGTTTCATATTTGTTCTTTTTTTTTTTTTTAAGTAGGAATTTTTTAATGAGACGGTTTTCCTATGTATCTGTGTGGGCTTGTTGCGACGTCAACAGGTGCAGCAATGCTAGTCAACCAGTAGCAAAAACTTGGTTAAGACGCGGAAAACAAATTGTCATCTTCGAATGAACTGCCTTTTTGCAGAGTCTTTTTTTTTTTTTTTTTCATTCTTGTGTGTCTCTTTTCATTTCCTTGTTGCGATCGGGTGTTTAATCTGCAGGTTTAAAAATGAAAAAAAAAGAATGGAACAATAGAAGTTACACGTTTGAGGACGGTGTACACTTAAACATCCATAGTGTTGTGATATGTAAACTGGATATCCGAATAAAGGTCACAAATGCAGTCCACAGTCTCTGGTTTCTCGCATGCTTCAATTTGTTCCCTCCATCCTCATGGTGGGAATCTTTTATGGCAAAAACTTTGTATGGGAACCCTGCTTGCCCTACCTTTCCCGACAGTGGTGAAGTCTGAACAGCTCATGGTAAGCAGCTTGAATTAGTATTGAACCAATATCGATTCACCAGTGATTCCAGTCCCACCAACAGTACGCCCCCGGACAGTATGAGCTAAAACGCTCAACCTGAATACCTACAGTTCCCACAAGCTTTATTATCTCTTAAATTGTGAAAGAGAACAAAGGTTGAGACATACGCTGTGTTTTCCATTGCATGTTTTCACCAAAACGTCCTAAACTCGTACAAGCCAAAGAGGCCTGGAGGGCTGTTTCAGCTCGTAAAGTCCGCAAAGTACCTCGTACTCTGAAAAAAGTGCCCGTATCAGCTCGCAGCGCTCTATTTGTACAATTTGTTGTGTTTCGTTGTAGACTGAAAACTGGCATCGCACTTCCACAAAGCATTTGTGCCAAGAATTTTGACGGAGGTTGACCTTTGCAACTTTTCATACTTTGATGTGCTTCACCACATATCACCCAGCGCATTGCTGTGAAGCACTATGCGCAACCATTGGTAGATTTCTATTTGGGCAAGTTGTGTATGTTAGCTACTTCGTATTTGGTGCATGCTCGGTTTCACTGCAGTTTGTTTGCACGGACAAGGAATGGGGAATTTTTCCGGAACAAAAGGGAAATCTGATGTCTGCTTCCCGATTTGAAGGAAACGTGAAAGTGCCCATTCCAATGAAGATGTTTCACTGATGCGAGGTTTTGTGTCACGACAATCGGGGGTTGGGCAGAGATACTCTAAAATGTATTTAGAAATACAAATATTGGGGTACTTGGCAAAAACAGCTAAAATACTGACACTGGAATACATCTCTACACAAGTTTTGCAATGCATTTCAGAAATAGAATTGAAAATACAAAAGTATTTGAAAATGAAAATACAGGAATACATCTTACGGTGGCAGAAATACTGAAATACCTTTTTTCCTAATAAAAAAACTATTGTAGATGTCAACTTTCACATTACCTGTATTTAGTTACTACCGTAGGATACTGTGCATCCACCCATTCCACTCTAAGTACCCACCCCCAGCATCTGAAACATCTGGAAAAATATCCACAATACATATATAGAATCCCGGAGAAAAGCTCACCGGAGATAAGCTCACCGGAGAAAAGCTCACCGGAGAAAAGCTCGCCGCAAAACCGGCGGATGCGGAGAAAAGCTCACCGGCCCTTGAGCGTATGCGGAGAAAAACTCACCGATTTTTTTTTCTTCTTTTTATATGGAGGTTCTTGGATCATGCGTAACATATTTCATTTTGTTATCATTAAAATTCCTCAGCTTTGTAAAAAGAAAATGTCCTTTTTTGCATTATTTTCAAGCTTATTGGGTATATTGCTCCCAAATTAAAAATTGCGGGCGAGTGTTTTCTGTGGCTTACACTCTAGGCAACGAAAGCCTAACTGAAAACTTCATGAACATGAAGAACAGGAAAAAGTTCGAAAACTTAATAATGTCTGCCTAAAACCTAAAAATCCAAGCTGTAAATGCCGAAAATCCGAAAGGGATGCGCAACCATGCGGTGCCTGAAATTCTCTTTGAAGCTTTTGTTAACCTTTGAAAACAGGATAAAACAGTCAGTAGGATACCGAGGCTCCTTTCTTCCACGGACATGCACGTTTTCTAGCCGTTCGTGCTGGTGTTTCAACACATTGCCTTTATGTGACAGAGCCCTTCTACGGTGAGCCACCCATGACCTTCAGGCTGCACATTGCCACCGTTGTTACTCGTGACCTATACAAGAACTAGTCTTCTGTAAGGTAGCGAATAAGGCGAGTTGGTAAACGTTATACATGATGAAAACCGCTCACACGACGACGACGGAGTGAAGACAACAAACACTACAGGACGAAGCTGTTTTCGCAACTGAAGTTTTGTTAGTGAAATTAACAGAAAGAAAACAGCGTAGCCGACACTGATTACATCAACACCTACTTATCTATTAGGCACTATGCAATATTTGGAGCTGAAGCGGTTCACACACCGCTGTTCTTATTAGCTCACAAAGAACAAACCTCTTTATTTGATAGTGCTACCGACGGCGTACAGTCAGTTGTCAATAAATTGTCTTTTTTTTACTGGCAAACGATGTTCTGATTTTATACTTGCGGCTTCATTAATATACAAAATAGGTGATTACTAACTTCTGAGGATTTAGTAAGTATGCCCAATGAACCTCAAGAATATCACACAAAAAGAGGACATATTTTTAATGAAGTGACGAATGCGAATTGCGTTAAATTACCACGTTTGACGTAGAATCCGCTAAGTTAAACAAAAAATCTGTGAGCTTTTCTCCACATCCGCTCAAAGGCCAGTGAGCTTTTCTCCGCATCTGCCGGTTTTGCGGTGAGCTTTTCTCCGGTGAGCTTATCTCCGGTGAGCTTTTCTCCGCCGCCCACATATATAGGGGGTCCGAGGTCACCAGGCCCGATCTAAAATGGACCGTAGAAATCGACGCCTGCACGTAGCAATCTAAACTTCTCGTCAAAGGTGCGTTTCACAGGTCGGTTTTTTCTTGTAAAATTACAAAGAGTAGCTCCATTTCTGTAAAAAATAGCACCAAGAAACTTGCCAGGGTCAACGGCAGGCGGCGACGCAGACGACCAAGTCGAGTAGCGGAGCACGTTGGGTGCCCTTATTGATAGATGGCACTACCTCTTTATCGAGACTGCTCGCAACCACCGTGGTTTATTAATATGAACTTAATATTTTTGTAATGTACCTTTGGCTTAAAATTAAATGCGGACAATAAAATAAGAACGCTGCCCCCGACGCCATCTATCAGTATGTGCACCAAACGCGCTTGCCACTCGACTTGGTCATCTGCGTCTCCGCCCGCCATTAACCGTGGTAAGTTTCTTGGCCTTATTTCTTACAGAAAGGAAGCTACGCTTTGTAATTTTACAAGAAGAAACCGACCTGTGAAATACACCTTTGACGAAAAGTTTAGATTGCTACATGCAAACGTCGATTTTTATGGTCTATTTTAGATCGAGCCTGGTGACTTCGGACACCCTATATATGTCAAATTGATGACCTCACATGCACCTATCCCTTATTTTTTCGCGAATATCTTCAAATTTTAAGTCTGCGCTTTCTCGGTATTTTACGGCATTCATAGAACAGCAATAAAATGCCCTTCTGTTACATATTTTAACTTTTTATAGGGTATAGTAATACAAAATAGTGATAAACACATGACTGCGCTGCTACGTACACTCGAAGGAGGAGCTTTTCAAATAGCTTGTTGGTCCACCGCTACCGATTTGTGCAAAGCGTCATGTTGACAACGACGCCAACATTGGCAGGTAAGGCCTTTTACAGATGCCGACGAACACGGGCTTCTATTAAAAGGAACCAAGACCGCCTTTACACTGAGAATGTTTTTTGAAGCATGCAAAGGTAATTTCTTTACACTCGTAAGTGTATAAAGGATTTGCTCGGAGGTGGTAATGGGTTGGTTTTGTCGACGGAATTTGCACTTTGAATGCAAAAAAAAAAAAAAAAAAATCAGCAAAAAAGAAAAGACAAAACAAAACAAATAGAAACTCTCAGTCATAGAGTATTTTTATCCATGAGATATACCTTGAAGTTTAACATGGGCGGGCTTAACCTATACCGCTCCCCAGTAATAAACGCGCAGTCCGTTTATTTATTCATTTCTTTTTTTTTTTTTTTTTTTTTACGAGATATGAAGGAACGCTGCTACCGGTTTTTAAATCTCACCGGAATCCGCCGGAAGCCATGTTGGGGGCATTCGTCGCTGTTACGCCGCTGTAGTTACACTATATTACAGTGGCTACATGTTGTGTGCTTTGGCGCCGTGTCCGCACTGTAGTTCCGCTACTCGAAGTTTAAAATGGTCATTTGCGCCGTACTTGATTGTTCCAGCCGTAGAAGTCGGCGACAAAACGGAGCTACGGGCAGCAATATTTGTTTCTTTCCTAGAATTTCGGCAATCACTGGGGACAGGACAAAAATGACGCTCGAGCAATCGGATCGCCGGCGTCACGAATGACTCCGACGAATACGCCGGCACAATCTCGAACAGGCGGTTAAAGAGCAGAACGCTGCAAATCCTGGGAGCTAAGTCCCGAGAGGAAGAACGAGAAAGAAAGCAAACGATGGGCTGTTCGTTCTACCGCGACAATTTGAAGTTGCTCGAGCCCTTGTCAACTTTATTTAATTTTGTCAATGCGCGATTCCGGCGTTTTTCAGCAAAGTAAGAGAAAACAACAAGGCACAGACCTTACAAGTGATGTTTTGATGCTGCTTTGTACACTGTCGCAAGCGATATGGACTCCTCAGGACCGCGGGATCGCTGATATCCGCGTCCATGCCCCGCCGTTCCGAAGCGACCAAATGCATGGAACCTTTCGGAGCTTCGTACCCCAACTAAGGGACTTTGTACCCCAACTAAGGGTCTGTGGACTGCACTTCGTGTCAGGTGAGGAACCTCTTTATTTTGAAATGTGATTATTCAAAGACAGCTTTATAACTCTACGGCACTACTGCTGCCTCAATAAGACGCCGAATGCCTCGCACATGGCGCCAAGGCACAGATAGCAGACGAGAATGTTAGTTTCGATTTTGAGTCTAACCGGAAGTGATGCCAAGTGCAAAATGCCCAAACCTCGTTGAAAATGCCCAAAGTTGAAAACCTCCGTTGCAACCAACAAGGTAGATGGTTGCAACTCAAGAAGGTAGGACGAGGGAAAGAAAGACCGGGAAGTAGGAAGCAGACGAAACGCTAAAAAGAGGAGGAGGTTTCCCCCTCTCCTACAGCGATCCGCCTGCTTCCTCCTCCCCGGCCTTCCTTTTCCTCGCCCTACCTTCTTGGGTTGCAACAGACTTGCACTCAGGTAGATATTTTTAGACGAAAAAAATTAAGAAGTCTGAAATAAATAAGAGACGAAATTACATTAATTTTCTCTAAGTTGCTGTATGGATGTCTTGAGTTATGTTCAGGGACATCGCAGCGTAACTTTCAAAATGATAATCGCATTTCAAAACATAACTGTTATAATCGAGTAATCAATACTTTGATACGCACTTGTTACGACAAACTATTCATTCGTGAAGTTTCTTTCACAAGGGCTTGGCAGTTTTTTTTTGTGTGCGTTTTTTTCCCCCTCTAATTTCTAAAATACCAAGAAACTGAAATATCAGCCTCCAGTAAAGCGCTTATAAAGGTTTTCCGATCCAACCAGTAAAGCTCTTGTAACCGTGGCATGTTCGTTTGATCAAACTATATTTCATAATAGTGGAGGAAGCAAGAGAAACACCGCGAAGGCAGCTTGTTTCGGTTTTTACACGAGAAAAACAATGAACAAATACAAAAGCGCGCAGCGCTGATCCAGGCCAATCGGATCGCGACGCGCTCGTCACGTGATCCCAGCCGAGTCCGCCGTCACACATGGCGACGGCGACCATGGGGGTTGCCGATGGCTGCCGCTGGCGAATTTCTCACCTTCCGGACGTCTCGGAGCGGCCTGGGACGTTCGCCTAGGATCCACGATGGAGCTACGGCTACACAGCCCGGCCGGAGCCGATGCGGCCGTCTACCACTGGCCGCTCTCGACCTCGGTAAAAGCACAACCATACAGTCCTACGAAGACGCGTTCCTCCTCACGATCGCGGATTCCCATTAGAGGGGTTAGGCCTAGGCATGAAAACATTGTGTACGCGATGCGATACGCCGACTCGGAAACGCTCCCTGATCCACGTTTACGTGTCTTTGCCCGCGTAGGACAAGCACGATGGAGCCATCGAGATCGTCGAGACGATTCGGTGAGTGATTTCGTCTCCACTGTCCTTCCTTTCGATCGCGTTTGTAGGGATTTGTGATGTGTAGGGGGGGAAAGGGGGGGGGGGGGGGGGGTTTGTCGTAGTAGCGTTTATCATCACAGGTGACTCCACGGTTACGCATGCATGCTGACACGGCATCCTCAGTGTACCAAGCGTTCGCACCTGCCCTTTTAAATGACCGCTTGGTCGGTTTTGTCGTCACGTTGATCTGTATGATGTTTTTATTCGCGAAGCGTGGAGCCTAGGCGGTTCGCAACACCGCCGATTCCAGCAAATCCCATCCGCGTGCTAAGTGCGGTGCGAGCACGGTGCGATACGGGACCATTTATTTTCCACCACGAGGCCGTTTCTCTATTGCAGCTGTGTGACTCCCTCCCTCGGGGGCTTTCCCTGCACATGAGCTTTTGCCTTTCTTTTCTGGCTCGGTATTCTTTTTTTCTTTTTTTAATTCTCCGCAGAACACTTGTGCGAGAGGTGACGATATAGCGCGGAGCCACGCAGAGGAAAGGTAGTCTCACTACAAACTGAATTGTTCGCCAAATATCCTTTATATATATTTCTTTTTATCTGTAGAAAGAAGTATACCTTTATTTTGTCCTTTCATCCTGTTATAATCCTTCGTTGAACATAAAAAAAAAAAAAAAGTTACTGACGCCGTTGGATTCGTTGCATTTAGCATGCTTTTCAGCGCGAAAAAAGTGGAGATACTGCCAACTGCAACATATAAACATAACTCTTAAAATCAATAAAAGAAATGAAGGCTATATTTTCACAAATTCGCTTTTTTTTTTTTTAGAAATTTAAATGGTCTTATTTCTAGCGGCCTCTTGTAGTTCATCATTTCAAGCAGACAAAACCCACAGATTGTCGCAATTTTTTTTTCGTATATTCTTTTCTAGGCGATTGCCTTTGTTTCAACAGCGGTAACATCTGCCATAGCCTCCGGCAAATTAGGCCGGATGCGCTAAGAACCAAACAAATAACATCAGACATGATAAAAGTTTATCAAGTTGTCCGTGCTTTTTGCCTGAAGGCATGAATTAATCTTGTTTAGTGTATTAGGACGCGGTAACCAACTCTTCCGAGCGGGCAGTGTTGCCTCCCTAACAGAGAAAAACGAAAAAAAAAAGCGCTTTATTTTACATAAAGTTTTGGAGAGGTCAGCGAACACTTTTATCGTGTTTGGTATTCCGGCCGTTTACGCTCAGCGGCTTCCGCGATGCTTGAAACAGGCGCGGCCGAGAGCAATCTTCTCCGCTACCGGTTTTCGAGTTTATGGAGGACGCGTATTTTAGTATTCCGCCATCTCTGGTCGCGGACATTGCACCGGATGACCTTGAACCGGTGAACGCGCGAACCGGTCAACTTTGTAGCAGACGACTCGCGGTCGTCGTCGCTCCCTGATTGGTCAAAACCGGATAGGTGGCGGACATTTTTTTTTTTTTTTTTTTTTTTTATCGCGAGCTTTAATTTGTTGTTTAATATGTAAATAATACATTTTAATAAAGTAAACTGCTACACTTTCGGAGCGCACCAAACTGCTGTTTCTTGACGCATCGCAAAAATCGCCGATTTGATTTTCTGCTGAAAAGGTTCGCCATCAAATATGGAAGCTGCCATTAATTTTAAGTTAGTTTCTGGTCTCCTAATTCGTGATTTTTTACCGGATATCCACCGTGCTTTCCGCAGATTTGTCCCGAGAAGTGAAATCGTATTTAATTTCCTCCTTTCTTTTTCTATGAGAGTCATATGACCTTTCGTGCCTGGTGCGGGCCTCCCACGGGGCTTCCATAGATTTTGTGTAAAAACAAACGAAGGTAGGAAAGCGTGACATGACTTTGCAAGAGTGTGTCAGGGATTTGTATCACTTCAGCCCTGTGAGACAGACGACCTTGAACGTAACGAAATACCGGTGTAAAGTTAGACCGCGTCATGCTATCGCGACGTGCCGCGTCGTCTGCAAAGTTCCGCATCGTCTGCGACCGGCCAACTGATTGCGAGGTGGATCTGCTATCGTCTCTCGCGTTCCACTTTTTAATACGAAGTTTCCAGACTTCGATGATTGTCTCGTAGAGATCTCACATTCATTGCGGCTAGCTTAACTCCCCCTGCCCCTGAAACCAGCGGTCAATAAACTTTAATTTAATCCAGTTCGTTTGCATTTGCATCGAAGCCTGCGTGGTTCACATTTTCTCCGCTCGGGACTCGGCGCCGTGGACGCCGCGTGTTACCGTTGTTGGCTGCGTCACTTTCCCTCTCGTCGCTGTGGCGTCGTCGTCAGCGCTTTTGCTTTGTATCGATCGGCGGGACATTTTTATCGCTTTGTTTTATTGTTCGCGGAGGAATTTGCTAGGAAAGGGAAGTTGTTTTCCGCCGACGTAATACTGACCTCCAGCCGGCCTAGATTTGCACTTCGCTTCCGCGCCCTTGGATGGGGCGGCGAGAAAGTGCGCGTTCTTAGAGATCATGACCTACAAAGAAATTTTTTTTCTTTTTCTTTTTTATGTTGACGTTGTTGTTATATTTGTGTGCCAACAACTGCCTTGCATCAAAGTATTAATTTTTTTTTCTTTTTAACTGGTTGACGTTTTTTGTTTTTTTTTGTTGTGGAAGTGCCTAAAATGGGGGAAGAGTTAAGGTTGTGACAAGCCATCATAGGCTGATCGTAGGCACACCTTCATTAATAATAATAAACAGACATTATTATAATTTTCAAGTCAGCTAAAACATAGTAAACGAGATTAGAAAAAAATTGTAGAGGAATCAAGGAGACTGGAACAAAACCAGGCGAAAGTCAAATTTTGGGGTTTTACATGCCAAACCCAACGACGGGCATCTGGCACGCCCCAGCGGAGGACTGGGGATTAATTTCGACCACCTGGGAATCTTTTGACGTGCAACCGAAAGCTCGGTTACATGGCGCCTTCTCCGCAATAAGCCTCCGTCAGATTGTGGGCACCTCGGCCGGGATTCGAACCCGCCACATGGGGATCCGTAGGCCGGCGCTCTCGCCTCGGAGCGATCGAGGCGGCGAACAGAACCAGGCGATTTTTGGTGTCTTATTTCACCCCTTTTCTGCATATATTGTCTGGTTTCAGTTGGCCCCCCCCCCCCCCCCCCCCCCCCCTTTTTTTTTTCCCCAGCATATATGCAATTCTGCAGCAAGAATTCAATTGTGTGGTGTTTTAATGTTTTGAACAAAACACGATTATTTTTGGGCGGTGTCAGGAGACTTTTAGTATGGCATGACTCGGCCGTAGACTTTCCGGTTTGAGCCAGAGAGTACCAATGAACATCCGTCAGTATCAAAAATACAAATTCAGTTCCGAAAAACAGATTCTTGGCAATGTTTGCATTGAAGGGACTATTAAATGACTTTCTTACTTTTTCCCAAATAGCTTTTACATTAAACCTTCAAAGTTCACTGCACTCCGAACAGGTGTCCGTTTTCGTTTAGGTTTATTAACTTCTACACGAAAAATTATTGAAATATTGAGTTCTTCCTCTTTAACTCACTGCAAAAAAAGCCGCGGCATAATTTTGACGGTCGTGAAGTCCCCTGTCACTGAAACCAGAAGTTCTCGGCAGTAGGAGAATGAAAGCATTAGCGGCGAGTTGGCAGTGTGCCGGTAGGTTTTACCACAAGGTTTTACTGTGCTGATGGCGCCACTGACATATTTTCTAAATCGGCGCCTCTCATCACCACGATAGCCATGGACGCATCGCAGCTGAATGAAATTCAATTAGATATGTTGCGCTACAGTGACAGTATGAAACTGGTCCCATACGCCGGTACGCCTATTGGAAACTGTGGCGACCCTTCGACGGAGACTCCAGTTCCTCGTCGGACTCGGACGACAAGGAGTGGCGACTCCAATGTACGGAATGTTCCGAGCTTGCACAGATGACCTTAGACCTGGGGTCCCTCAAACCAATGAGCCTGCACCAAATGCTTCGACGTGGTTCCTCCAGTGGCAGGCGGTGAAACTGCAGCTGTTTCTTTTTAAGCTCCAGACTGTGCAAACTGTAATTTGGGCACTCGCAACGAGCACGTTAGCTACGACTTCGTCCGTTGTGACTGGAGTGACCGGAACAACTGCTCCGCACCGCGCTTAAACACTCCTATAACCACTGCAAGAAGCTCAGCGGGTCGTCAGCACGACAGCCGCTTCTCTTTCGCTGTCAGCTGTTTCCGCGGTATTGCTAAAAAGAAAGGGGCGCACTGTCACTCACTGGTGTAGCAGAAAATGCACAGAGTTTTTTATCGGCTCAAGCTTTATTGACTTATTTTGTCAGGATAGGCTCGCAGGGCAGAGCGGATGAAAAAAGAAAAAGAAAAATGCAGTACGCCGTCTTGGATGATCACGATTTAAAACACAACTTTACTGATGGTACAAATCTTACCACAGGCCTTTTCTACGATTAGAAGAGACAGTGTAATTTTAGCAGAGATATAGCAACGTAGAAATATGATTTCGTGATCAGATAGACGTTGCAATCATTCAGGAATGCTAACACTAATCACTTTTCTCGGGTGATGAAAACGCGTCCAAATTGGCATCTGTCATACACGCCTTTAAATACAATATGCACCAGTAATACCTTGAACTGGAGCATACGCATGGAATGCACAAAATAAGGAATCCGGGCGATGTTCGAAGACACAAATGCTAAGAAAGCACCACTGTAGTCGAAATAAACAAAGACGACGGCACAAGTGTTCCTACTGTCTTGAAAGTGGCGTCACAACATCGCGGCACGAGTAGATGGATCTTCCCTTCAAGGACGTGCTGGGTTATCATTGCACACACGAGGAGGAGGAGGAGGAGAATGTTGAGGAGGAGGGAGGATGGGCATACCCTCCCCTGAGTACCCTTCCTTCCTCCTCCTCAAGAGCTGCGCTCTAATTCGGCGTTACAGGGTGTTGTAAACATCTTTAATTTTTTGATGCTTTCATCTTCCTTCTTTGTGTATTATATTTCAGTTGTGAGTTAGCGCTTCTGTGTTCCTTCCCCTTGTGCTTGCCCTTTGTGCACTGTTATGTTCAACATGGGGTCATGGCACCTCTGGGTCACGACCAAAGTCATTGTTTAGGCTTCTAGTCTGGACCATACTGTTTGTGTACCTAGAGGAAGGAGAGGTATTGTTTTTAGAACAGTGATAGCTGTGAACCTGTATATTTCAATGGAGGAAGAAGTGCAGCTGAAGCCTCCAGGCTTCCTATAGGGGAAGTGCAGCTGAAGCCTCCAGGCTTCCTTTTTTTTTATAGCGACTACGTCCAGGAGTTCAGTTGTTTCGAAGTATTGGCTGTTGTTGAGGCAACACTTCTTTGCAATATTTGTCGTGGGATTGTTAATATTGCCAATGGCAAAGTGCTCATGCCAAGTGCAGCAGCAGAAAAGAGTCCTGATAAATTTAGGGTATGTTTATTTCTGAACTCTTTTTTTTTTTTTTTTTTTTTTTTTTTTTATGGAATTTTGAAAATTTTGGAACAGAATAAAATTAAACTGTGAATTTCAAAGAATTGGGGAATCTGTCAAAAATCAACCCCGACAAACCCCGATTTTTCAGCAGAATTTTGAAAAACACCCTCCGAATTTTACCAAAAATAAACTCAGAAAACACAAAATCCGAGCTATAGCCACTGACGAGCCTATGCTTACCCCTTCTTTCTGCACATATTTACTTCCCTGATACTCTAATACCGGTGACTGAAGATACTGCTCCAAGATTGTCAAAAAATTGTCAACCGAGATGCCGAAGCCCGATTTGAACCTTACTAAATTTAGCTCCAGTGCTCCCCTCACCCTCTTCATTAGTCTACCCTTTTCCAAAGAATCCAAAAAGAATGTCGAGCATTCTTTGCCATGATGCATCTCCAAACTACCAAACAATTCATTGGTGTTTCTCAGTGATAGAAAAATCCTCAAGCTGTGCATACTCTCGAATGTTTTTTTGTTCTTTTTTATGGTCAGCATGACTATAAATAGTCAGTGTGACTACTACAGTCAGAGAAATTCTGCGCAGTGGATGGCTGACCTATGTCCCAACTTGCACGCGTTTGCAATCTGTTGGCTGTCACCCTGCCTGGCAGTGTCAGTTGGCAGGCTGCAACGAGTTTGTAAGAGATGTGGCTTTTATTTTAAATGCGATGGCCTTTCTAGGGTCATGAAGTAGTGAGATTGTGTCCACAATCACCTCGATAGCTAAGTTTGGTGCCAAAATTTCCCCCACTAAACTTAGCGCAGAAATCTGAAATTTTGTGTATTTGATGTAACGTGATGCAGTGCCACGTGGCACTCACTGCATCACACAAAATGCCATCACTGGTGACACTGACGTGTCAAGTTTCATACTGGCCACGTGACACTGTGACATCGAGTTACATGATCACATGACACTGGGATGTCGAGTTACAGGGTCACACGACACGTGACCTGACGTCATGTGACCACACTAACCTATAGTGGCGTGGCATCAAGCATTTATCTAGATGTCCCATAGGGGCACCAATCACGCGATTGCCATACGCCTGTGTTGTCATGTCTGCGTTACAACTCTTTCTGATGCTCTAGACTTAGTAACCAGCCCATAAAACCACTCTCCTTTAAGAAAGCGCAACGCACAATTTCCTTGCTATATTGTGGGTAAAGGAAATCGAATTTGTGTACCGTAAGATCCCGGGAGATAGCCCTCCTAAAATCGAAAGCGAACTGGGTGAAAATAAGGAGTGGGGTAAATTTCGGTGTGCGATAAAAACAAATTGCAAGAATGTTTTATTTTTAGATTTTGTGACCTGCGAAACTTGTGATCGCAGGGAGGTGCAATGAACCAAGGACTACTGTCCTTCCCAGTCTGCGATGTGCACTTATCTCCCGCCTTGGCTAAGTAACACCTTTTCTGTCAAGATCACCATTGGCCAGGGTCCTGTACTTACTAAAAATAAACATCTATCAATGTTTAAAAGAAAAAAAAATAGAAAATTATGCCTAAAATAGGGGTCGGTTATCTTTCGGGGGTGGAGCGTCTCTCAAGGCATTACGGTATAATTGTACGCCAGCCCAGGTTTTTCCTCAAAGTTTATCGGAGGAACGTTTCCCACCGATTTCTATCAGAAACGACAAATGAAAGCATAAAAAAAAAGCGCGAAACAATTTCCGCTTTACTTTTTGTGTACCTCAGCTCAGAGATCAAGGACCCTAATATGTATTTTTTTTTTCTTTTTGCCACTTGTGGTTGCGTTGCTAACGGAAGTCTCCGCGTCGCTTTTCAGGTGGGTGTGCGAGGATTTTCCGGAGCTGAAGCTGGCGATGGAAAACCACATCCTGCACGACTACGATACCAAAAGGTGAACAGACTTGCGAATTCGCAGCTGCCAGCACCTGCCTCTCTGCCGGCCACAGATGTGGTTGCGCAAGACATCTGCGGCGTTCCGACGATGGATCATTCGTGTCGCGGCTTTGGAGAGCACCGCATTGTTAGCTAAACACGTGGGGAGTTGAAAGTTTTTTTTTGCTTTTGTTACGGCTTGGGCTACGGCTTTTGCTACGGCTCTATTCCACGTGACTGTTGCTCGCGGGGTTGGTCAATGTTGTCCGTCTGCTCGACTGCGAAGTGTAGCTCTGAAGTAAAAAATGAATTCAGTCTCCCAATTAATGACTTAAAAGTCAACGCACCCGTTGGTTTATGGCAGCTTCATTTATCGAGAGCTTTTTTTAGTTTCCTAATTTAGTGGCATTGAAGTAACTGCGATTTTCGATCCTTTGTTGCCCAGAAAGCGATTTTGCTTGCAAGTCTCTCGACTTTCTGTTTAAAAATGGTCGGCGGGGGTCGTATCAACTCTCGGACGCAGACTTCTTACGGAGGAATCAAGAGAAGTCGTAGAGGCAGAGAGGATAGGCCACCGAAGCAACGTAGGCATCAAATAAATAAAATGCATAAATGAAGTTGTCTCAGGTGCTTCGGAATAAAAATCGCCAATTCTAGATAATGCGGTGATGCAGGAAACTCAGTGTCTTTGTCTTAACATAGTCGCCCTCTTTCTGCACATATTTGCTGTCCATTCATCCGTCTGTCCGATGGATTGTACACGGTATGATGAATGTACGATGAAACCTAGAATGTAGCATTAATGTTCCCAAGTCGTGCCCCATCATTTTTTATTGAAATTTGTTCCTAAAATACGATATCTCTCTGTATCTTCAAATATTTCGCTGTAGAATTCTATTCAATACTTTCCAGCACTTGTGGTACAGTAGAATCTGGTGGATATGTTTTTCAGGGACTGCGGGAAAAAAACCGCATCACCCGGGAAAACATAACAACCAATAACGCTGTTGGTGCGGTTGCAGATGTGACGGGAAGCAACCCTTACACTGGGATTTCCTCCAGAATGACTTTTGGGGGTTCGGAGAACTACCATGTTAATAACCATATAGCTGGGCATTCTTTTTCGGCACAGTTGTTTAGAACCAGCAGTCGACCTATGCCGTATCTACCCGATTAAAGCGTGACCACGATTGCTACCTCGAGGGGCAACTTTTCATATTGCTCAGTGGGGAAAATAGAACCACGAATGTTGTGCAAGGCTAATAGAGAAATAAAGCGGTACCTTTATTTTGCTAGAAATCGTTTCCAGCACGATTTCTGGCAACTGCACTCATTCACGTCGAGCAGCGACCAGGTTTTTCTCAGCTCTTGCTCCACTTCCAAGGTCGAAACAGGCGTCACACTGAGCCCACCGCGTTGCCATCAGTTCCACTAAAACGTCCGACAGAAACGGAATCCGTTAACGCTAGAGACTAGCACGTTAAAACTTTGTAATCTTTGAGCTGGTTGAGCTATCCTAAACGGACTCCGATCGTGCCATCGCTCGCTCGCTAGCCGCTATGGATTCAAACCGATTTGGATTCGGATTCGACTAGATAATTTGAAGAATCCAGCAGAGAGGCCGAGAGGCATACGTTGCCAACAGAAGACCGAATATCCGCCGCATGCGGCCCAGGAGCGCAGGTTCGGGAGCGCCGAGGGGCAGATTCTGGACGTAACAACCGGGAAATCAAATGTATGAGACAGGAAACTAGTACATGTATCTCTATGGAGTTAAACGGGACGGGCGCTCGTAAACGTAACGGCCGGGAAAACATATAAACCGGGAACGTATGAATCAGGTTCTACTGTATATAATTTGTATGAATTGTAACTCATTGTACAACTGGCTAAGATGCTTTCTTAAAATTATGTCGCAGTTACTCCCAAGGTGCTCCAAAATATAAATTTTTTATCCTTCGTGCTTCGAAAAGGTGCTTCCAAAATTGTAGAGCCCATCTACTTCACATGAAGATGGACGACCAGCGAAGCTGTTATCTTTACAACAAATTTACGACAACTATACAACATCTATACAATTTACATACGATTGCATGAATACACGTAAACAACTTTGTTGCAACAACTTTACGACATCTATACGATTTACATATGATTGCATGCAGGGCCGTAACCAGGGGGGAGGGGGGGTTAGGGGGTTCTGACCCCCCCCGAAATTTTTTTCTGGGTACGGCCCTGGTCGGTGCACTTGCAGCCAACCGATTTTAATCTCCACCTCTGCGCACGCGAAATGGCACCGGTCGGCTACCGCATACCAAACCGGGACCGGTTCTTTGGTTTGCTATAACTCTCCATTATATGCCACCGATGCACATGATTCATAGGCGAAAATAAGACAATAGACATTATCAAAATGGCCGCCGTTGTCCCCGAAAACCCCCCCCGAAATTTTTTTCTGGGTACGGCCCTGATTGCATGAATACACATAAATGACTTCATTGTTTAATTGTGTTTATTTATTTCTTAGTGACTAAAGTAATCATTGCCTTATGGTCACTATGGTAAACCGCCATTGGTTGTATTTTGACTTCGGATACATTCTTGCTAAACGTGAGGTCGATATACATTCTGTTGTTGGTTGTTGGTATACATATATTGTAGAATACCGCGCATCTGCCCATTCCACATTAAACGCCCATTCCCAAATTTCTAAGATCTGAGAAAATATGCACAGTAGATTGATACGTAAAATTGATGACCGGACAAGCGCCCGTTCCCCATTTTTTCGCGATTAGGTATTTGAGTGGGCACTTGTCCGGTATTTTACGGTAGGTGTTGGTATATGACTACTTTAGGTTTTACAGCGACTTGGGCTCTTTATCAGCGATGGTGCTAAAGAGCCCAAGTCTCTTTATTAGCATCGCGGAAGCGAAAGAAAAGACAGTTAGATTGGCGCGGTCTGCCCTCAGCCTCGTCACAGCACACTCTTAGCTGAGGTAAGTCGGTGCCCGTAGATGATCACAAGGGTAACTTGTTGAAATCGCCGGATTACTGGGAAGCACGCTTATGTCGGTCTCTGAGCAGCTAAACTTAAGTGATTCGAAAGCCTCAATCTTAAAGTTGTGCTGGCATGCCCCGTACATCTGCGCACCTTACCGTGTATTGCCTTCCAGCTACGAGAGCATGAAGACCCTGTGTGACAAGTACAACCGGGCTATCGACAGCGTCTTGCAACTCGTGAGTTACTTTCTGCTTTCTACCTCGTTAGGTTAGGCAGAGTTTAGGTCGTCTCTGGCGTCGCTCGGCTCGAGGTGGCTAGAATCGTGTTCACCCTTCTTAGTTTTGCTGCCCCAAACCTTCCCTTGTTACCTTTGTTGCTGCAGTACTGGATGGATATTTTGCTTCGCTCCCGCTCTGGCTTAGCTTTGTGTGGTCGTGAGCTTGCTGCCACCGCACGCTCGGAAGTCTTTGCGTTGCTGCACTCTTTTTGCCCCGTGTTTGTGTCTGGGCCGCGGGGTTTTACCGTTTTTGCACGTCTTTTTGTAGCCGCTTAGCTGGTTGTCTAAATTTTGCACATTGCATTATCTAGTGGGTGTAACTTTCCTCCTAGAGTTTCTGCGCATGTTTTTGGAGCCATTAAGCCAGTCTTCTAATAGACTACTCCCATAAATCCGTTGCCCCGCACGTTGCATTCTGGAAACTTCTGGTCCAGGAGCGAAGCGAGTGTGGATTTTGCTTCTTTCTGATTTTCACGGTGTGTAATGTGGCATTGCTCCGCGATGAGGGCTTCGAGTTTTGGAATAAGTTTATTGAACTATTGGTTTTGCTGACGAACAACTACAAGATGCGCTGCAGTCGACAAAGAACTTTTGACCCTAGCCATTCTTTACTTGCTGAAGGGAATGCCCTCTGCCGGTGCAGGGATTGGTTGCGTACGCGGCAGATGCCTGTTGCCACTTTTCACGCCTCTTCTTTCGTGCACCAAGGGACGCATTTTGGTAGACTTTCCCGCCGTAAGGAAACAAGTCCGGCGTTGTCTTTGGCATAGCTTTTAAGGCCCGTTCGTACATGCACCACGGCGCTACCTCAATTAGTATTAGTTAGCGATGAAAATACCAGCGACCTTGCCGATGCGGTGTTGACTTTGTGCTATAGACCCTTTTTCCATTATATTTTTTTCATTTTTTCATATATTTTTTTTCATTTTTGAAGACTGTAAGACGACCGACCGTCTCTTTTATGTTTAATAGCACGGCATAAGGACCTTGCTAAATCTGTAACTTAATCACTTTCGTCTTACTTCAACGTCCTAACGGCTGTGGGTTAAACAAGCTCAGAATTCCCTCTGAAATAAAGCGACTGGAAGTCTCTCAAGTGGGGGTACTATATTAGCAACACAGCACCGATACAGCACCGCATCGGTGCAAAGTTACGTTCGAGTCCCCGCTACATCGGTGCCATTCCTAGTGTTCATTTGGCGATTCAGCAATGCGACGTATGTGGGAAATTGGCCTTTAAAGGCTCGCCTAGGCCCAGTTAACCGTCCACCGTCGCCCTCCCACCCCTCCCTCTGTTGTTTCCCTTTCTGCTTCCCCGCTGCCGTCTGCTGCCGCCCGCCCCAAACCGTTGCTTGGCCGCCATTGCGGCTCCTCCCCCTGCCCGCGCTTCTGCGCTGCCCTTCCGGAAACGGCCGTTTCCGTCGTTGCGCGGGCGACCTTGGACGCTGAAGCAGGGCACGGGTCCCTCCGACGCCGCATTGCAGTGGAAGGGCACCTCCCGGCCCGCCCGCCTGCACACGAGGCCTTCGCCCGCGCTGCTGCGCCACATCCTGCAGCAGGTGTACAACACGGCCATCACGGACCCGGAGAGACTCAACTCCTACGAGCCCTTCTCTCCCGAGGTGAGTGGAATCTGTAGCCCTTGGCATAAGGCTGCGCACTACAATACTCCGTTTCACGATAACTTGGCGAACTGTGGAGGCTTCAATCCCTCGTGGCCCAATAAGAGCATCGGAGAGAGGCACGAGACTACACGTCACGGGAGAGTGTGTGTCACAGTGCCAAGGAACCAGTTGTCGTCTGCTGGACAAGAGTCGTCTGCTGTGAAACCCACTAACTTCGGGTAAACGTTCGCGGCTGCAACATTGCCGTTTGCTGGAGTAGCGAGCTCTTTGGGAACAGTTGGTGAGACAACCATACGCTCAATTTACATGCGCATATGTGGCGGGTGCTAGGGAAATGTTTTGAGCGGAAGCGGTCGGTTACACGGCTGCGATCACCAATGGCCATGGCTGTACAAGGAGAAAAAAATCTGGAGCGGATACTGATATGGAGTCACTTCTTTTGGTATAAATATAATTGAAACTCATAAATATGTCAATACTTATTCCTTATTTTTAATATGTTCTCGGTAGAGATGGATTCACGCTAGTTTAGTTGCTGTTAGAAGAGAAAGAAATTTAGAACTACTTTTTGTTGTGGACGGCGCTGTAGCTGCAGTGGTAACGAGGCCTCCGTGTCATCGCGCGACTTGCTCCGGCGCTCTTATCGGGTCGAGGGGGCCGCGGCCTCAACAGTTTGCTGAGTTATCGTGAAACGGGGTATACCACGATGCCGTAGCTGTTGCGTAGCCCCCGGTCGTAGAAGTGCTGGCAAAAAAGGCAAACCAAAGAAGCATCGCCGTCTTGCCGTTTGTCCCGCAGGAACCGCCTCGTAGATGTAGCGTTTGCGTTTGCCGTCTTGCAGGTGTACGGAGAGACGTCTTTTGAGTTTGTGGCGCAGATGATCAACGAGCTGGAATTCACCACGGAAGACATCTTCATCGACCTGGGCAGCGGTGAGTGTGCATTGGCTCTCCCAAAGGGGCTCGTCGTTGACCTCGCGGTCGCCGGTGGGACAAGGACGTCGGGGCATCCCTCTCTGATGTCCGACCTCTGGTGCACTCCCGTTGCATTCTGCCGGGCTCTGGCTACGTCTGCACTCTGGAAGCTTAGCTTACTAGCGGCGAGGAAGTTCGCTCTTAGTAACAGCTAAAGCGTGCTGGCTCGCGCGCTTTAGCTGTTATTAGCGACGAGCTTCCTTGCGCTGCACGTGCTGAGTGAACAATGACAGTGGTGATAGCTTTCAGCGCACTAAGAGGCGCACTTACCGAAGCATGGGGAGCGCCAAGTGAAGGGCGTAAACACATCGCAGTAGGCCTCGCACCGTCGCTCCTAGGCTCACTTCCAGGCGGCGCAGCCTGTACCGCGAGCCACGCGCTCTTCTGTTCGCATTTCATTTTTTCTCCGATAGTACGTGGTTTTGATGTAACCCAATTAATTTTGTTAATTTGGGAACTTTTATTTGCAAAGATTATGAGAAGGATTAAGACAAATTGAAAGAAGAAAACAAACATATATGGGTAAACTAAAAGGTCTGTGGAATCCAGTAAGGTATAAATGAAACTCTAGGATGATCTATAAGCCTTTTTGGGTACTTTTTGAATTTTCCAGTTTCAAAATGATTTTAGTTCAGGATTCCTAAAAGGCACCTAAAAAAAGCCTGATACCATATTTAACATATTTACCGTACCTCTTATTGCATACGTCACACATGCATCTGCCAGAGAAAGAAAAAAAAAGATGAAGATTGGATATGTACAAGTGGAGGTATGGCTTCCATACAATAACAAAATGTATAAATAGTCGTCAAAAGTAATGATGAAAAAAACAAAACAAAAAAAAAGACATCCACAGGCCTATCTTACTCTGTTTCCGAGACAATATTTCAAGATAAAAGAGTCTTTTTTCACGAAAATCCTTCAGGTCAAGATGAGAAGTGCCTGCCAATTATGAAAATACACAATTTTAAAGATGTTTTTCTTAGAACTTTTAATCTTTAAAAGGGCCCTCCAACAGTATTTGAGCATCTACTTTTTTTTGCGGTTTCTACACGCTAGTGGTCCCGGAAACCGAGTGGACAACGAAAGAGTTTGAAAATATTAGCACATCATATTTTAATTTGACAACTCGGAAACACCTCCTCCGACGGTGGCGCCGTGAGGTGCCGAATGCGCGCGCATAACGGCGCTCCCTTTCACTATACGTCACATTCTCTGGGTTTCGTGATTGGCGAGAGCCGTCCCAAGAATTTTGAAGCGAAATAAAGTATATCACACGTTAACCGTCATTATTTCTCTAACAAGTCATTTTTATAGAGCTAATAAAGTTGCAAAGTAAAGTTCGAAAAGGGCGAAAACAACGCCTTGTCGCTCATGCGCGCCTCCCAGCGGCGTCCGCGACGTACCATTGCGAGCAGACGACAAGTGATCCATGCAGACAACGCGCACCATATTTTCACTTGTGTGCCCCCGGTCCCGGTCAACTAAAAGCAGTAAGAGGAGCCAGGGGAACCCTTATTTTCTTTTAGTGCTGTGACAGACTTTTCACTGTTCGAGTGAAGTGCGGCGACGGGACCCAGCTTTTGCCAAACGGGACCGCTCACCCATTTGTAGCTCCAACTCGCCGAGGTGGGTCCGGTGGCGGAGTTGCGGGAGACAAGTCTTCCGCGGCAGTCGAAGCGAACCGAGGCAGAGACGCGTCGCGGCGCTTGCGTGGAGTGTCCTCGTACGGCGCGACGCCCAGCTCCGCACTCAAAATCCGATAAGCCCGGTAAATTCATCGATGATGGCAACCCGATCCCAAAGCTACGATGGTTGCAGCTAGGCCTAATGGCCGACGAGCCGACCGGGCCGACGCTTTGCTCCAATCGCCCGGGCCGGCGTTTTGCTCCAATTGGCCAACCGCTTTACTCCAATTGCTAAACTGTTTCATTTTACGTCATGAAGCGCAATGTTTTGCTTATTTAAAGGTGTTTTCTGCAATATTTAGTTTTCTAATAACTCACAAAATATTGCGAATTTCTGTCATATTTTTTTTGCTCTGTGTTCCTGCTTTCATGGAGCTCCGTTTCAGCGTGAACTTCAAACCGGTCAAAAAATTGTTGGTGGGCCCCTTTAAAGAGCAATGGCCTCCAATTAAGCCATTGACTCAAGACTCGTTTACACACTTGCAGTTCTCTCTTACGACGAGAGCAGATGAGAGGACACACTGGCGCCATCTATTGGGTAGCACTGGAAATTTGGGGGTCCCGCAAATTTATATTTCTCTCGCGCATCGTCCTTTCTTTATTGGCTCAAAAACCTCTTGTCAACGTTATAAATGACCATTTCTCATAGGTTTACGCACATTTGACCTCTGAAATCCCGCAAAATCTTAGCTCTTGTGAAGTGCAGTTCTAGGCTCACCGCATAGATGGCGCCAGCGTGCCCGTGTGTTCTCTCGTTCTAAGAAACTTTAAGAGGTCTCAAGGCACTCGGTTCTAAGGAGTTGCAAGTGTGTGGATGGGCCTTTAATAGCAGTGACGAAGCAATTTTTAGAGATCCACGAATCTCAAAAAGTTCTCGTCGTTGACTCTTTTTTCATACTCTGGTGTCGACTTCCCAGGTGTGGGTCAAGTGGTCCTGCAGGTGGCGTCGGCCACACCGTGCAAGATGTGCATCGGCATCGAGAAGTCGGACGTGCCGTCGAAATATGCCGAGGTGCGTTCTCGCCCCCCTTCGTTTCTCCCGCTTTTCGGTGCCGGTGACGAAACACTGCCGTTGTTGTCCGTCTGCATAGAGTATGCAGATTAGAATCGTTCCGCGACGAAGCCGTTTCCTAAGGAGGACAAGTTTTAGCCTAGATTAGTGATTACGTTATACTGGAAACGACTTATTTCTTGCGCGACTCAAAAAATACTGCGAAATGTCAATTGTGCAAATGTTCTCCCCCATAGTTATGAACGCATACCGTGCAACACCAGTTGCAAAGTTTTTTGCCCACAGATCTTCCTCTGAAGGCCACACCTCTCGAAATTTGCAATGCCCAATGTTTTCTTCTGACCTTTTGGAGGAGGGTGACCTCTTTGTTTATTTTTTTTTTTTTCGGACAGTCAATGGACACCAACTTCCAGTTTTGGATGCGGTGGTACGGCAAGACCCACGGTGACTATCGGCTCATCAAGGGCGACTTCCTGCACGATGCACACCGAGATTTGGTGATGAGCTCCTCGTGAGTCACCCTTCTTCCTTCTCCCCCTTCCTGCTGCAGAGTCACATTTCTGACTGTGACAACAAAAAAAAATCATAACTATACGTTTTTTTGTTTTTTTTCTAAGTTTGTATTTTGAACATTTAATGCAGCTTCAGTGTAATGCAGTTCAGAACAGCAAATAGCGAAGGGCAGCTGACGATTTTTTTTAACGACATTCACATGCCCCATTTGTATATTGTCGTGCAAGTCCATAATTAAAAAGTACTGTTCGGCACTTTTTTACGTACCGAAAGTGTCATTTTATTGTCTCGTCGAATTGTAAAGCATAAAAAATGAATCATTCGTTTATTAAGCTTATTTTGCTGCGACCTGCAGGTCTTTTGTAGGTTGATACGGCAATTCCCTGATTTCGCTTTTCGTTGTTAAGTTAATCCTTTGACTGTCTCATTTTTTCTATAAAAAAAAAAGTTTTTAGCAGTCGGTTTTTACAGCGGAGCTGTTAAGGGCTAGGTTTCCCAGGATCGTGTCCGGTATGTCGACATAAACCTACCTGGACAGCTACCGCCATCTATAAACGACGGCGGCAAGCACACACCCAGTATGGTTGCCGCCGTCGCTCGTAGATGGCGGCAACCTTTCCAGCTATCATAGAAGAATTGATAGTTGGGCGCGTTGGTGAGAATCCATCGTGGGGAACAGCGCGAAAGACAGATGACGAGGAAGAAGAAGCACACGTAACGAGCACAGCGATCGTCACGTTTGTTTCTTCGTCCTCGTCTGTTTTGCGCGCTGTTTCCTACGCTCCTGTGCTCTTATCAGTTTCGATTTGGACTCACGATGGGTCAGCCGCGCGCCCTTTCGGCGAAAGGAGACAGGCTGTGGAAGGAGCGGCGACGTACGCAGCAGCGCGAATGGGTCCGCAATCGCCGCAAAGCCGCTGCGCCTCGACTTCCACTGCGTCCAGCGCTTCAGATTCCCTTGCCAAAGGGCACATCGCTCGCCTGGAAAGCCGCCACTGAGAACAGAACCAGCAATGTAAAGGGCGCCAGCGGGCCAACACCACGGACGACGATCGTGCCACGGAGGCCGAGCGCAAGCGCGAGGCCCGGCGATGACTGCACTCCACGCCGGCTGAGCAGTTCCCGAGTGCGACGGCGAGGTTCCAGAGGGAGTTAGTGGAGAACACGTTCGGCGTCACGTGAGCCGTGTGCGACCGACTCTGGTTCGCCGGAGACGTACCCACGATCGGCGGCGTGTCAGGCTAGAAATAGCGGGAATTGGGCGCGTGTGCGTTGTGGCAGTGTATCGAGTGCAGCTCCGCTGATCTTTCTTCTTTACGAGGGTGGAAAGGCTGAACGTTTTTTTCCAGTTGCTCGGGGGGGGGGGGGGGGGGGGGGGGGAAAGGGCTCATTTGTTACCACTCTGCCCTGCATGAACAATGCAGCATGCATGGTGCATGTGCCCAGCACAAAAGCCGAAGCGGGTGAAGCTCGCATTCTCTGACCAGTGCTTTTGGGAGAGATCTGGCACTAGCAATAAATTCCACTTCGTTTATTGTAAGTATTGTTCTGCTGCACTGTGCCTCACGCTCTGTTGAAGAAGACGACGTGGACGTGCCCACAGGACCTGCACGCATGTCCATAGACCTTGTGTTGGGCAAACATTGAAATGCGGGGACACCGAATGGGTCAGAGCGCCCCCTATATTTCGATCTCCTCGCAAATAGAGCTCGCTCTCCTGTTGCCACTACCACCAGAGCACCCGTAGCAATGCCCCCCCTCGGTGTGCGCGGTATCGCGTTTAGGCAGGGACCTTCAAAGGTGTTCTTGCTGATCGTCGAAGGGCCAAGAGGTCACTGAAGTTCTCCAAGTTTCATTTGGGCAATGTTACCTAAAGGTCACATGCACTTTGTGTGTCTCTTTCAGGATCATCTTCGTCAACAACTTTGCGTTTGGACCCCGGGTCGATCACATGGTGCGTCCGACGCCTCTTGCGTTGAGCTTCTCTCTTGTTTTCTCGTCCCTTGAAATGGGTTGGAACCGAGTTCACCCCCAATACTTTGCTTTGCCGCCGCAGCTGAAAGAGAGGTTTGCCGAGCTGAAGGACGGCTCTCGGATTGTTTCCTCCAAGGCGTTCTGTCCGCTCAACTTCCGCATCACCGACAGAAACTTGAGTGGTGAGGACCTTTTTTTTTTTCTACTTTCCGAGCGGTGCCACGTCGTCGGTGTTGACGGAACTCCTCCGGATTAACTTATTTCTTGCTTATTTGTCTGGTATTGTTTTATGAAACTCGCCTAAACTGATTTTGGCCCTTAATTTGTGAATGTGCCATTGTGATAGTTTTTTCAGCCCCCTACCGCTTGGTAGTCCTTGCTATTTTATAGTGACTACCAGGATGAGAACAGCAGGCGATTTCTTTAGGGGCTCGGCCCCTGGCACGCGCTTGTCGCCTTCCGCCGTGCTTTAGCAGCGCGTGCACGCTTGAAGCTTGTGGCGACACTTCGTAGGACGCTTGTCGATGCCACTGTTTTTTCTTTCGAATATCTCTCGCCTTTTTACTCCGTGTAAATATTCAAGCGAGGCAGAGCACTGCCAATAGTTAATTCGTTGACTTTGTACGACTTGTGCAATCGGAAGTCTCATTGTGTCGTTGTTGCTGCCACGGAATTTAAGCCAGGTTGCCGAAGCGCCAGTCTAACCCAACGGTTCCACGTGTCCAGATATCGGCACAATCATGCACGTCAAGGAGATCCAGCCCTTGAAAGGGTCTGTCTCGTGGACTGGCAAGCCAGTCTCCTACTACATGCATCTCATCGACAGGGCAAAGGTCAGTGCTTGTCCTCTGTGTCTGTTAACCTCTGTGTCTGTAGGCTGGAAATATTTTTCTCCTCTGTGTCTGTAGGCCGGAGGAAATATTTCTTTTAAAAATGGGCTTTTGGAATCAACTTTTAGTGAAAACTCGGCACACTGCACTTTAGAAGTGGGATATAAAGTCTATATATCTCGAGTAATTTGCAGCTTGTCGCAAAGTTAGCAGGCTTAGGACAGCTTTGAAGATCTTGGTTTTTGTAGTGTCTAGACTAAACGTTGACCTCTAAGCATTTGCATGCTTTCCTTTGGCCCTCTTATGTGATTTGATTTGAGAATAAGTAGTTGGTGCCTAATGATGGTAGTAATATTTGTTAGGTGCTGTTCTTCCTTCTGATGTCTAATAGTCACATTCATTAATTTAAAGCATCAGCTTAAATCCCAAATTGATCTTCATTTCGGAATGCTGGTTTGGGAGTTTGTTACTCTTTGTGTCATCGCAGCACAGGTGGCAAAAATGCCCTTTGGGTACCCTTCTAACTGCCTGGCAACTTGTGAACCTAAACGATCTCTGCCTTGCTGTGAGTGGCAAAGGGTCGAGGTTTTTTTCCTCGTCTGCCAGTGCTGTGCAACTTGCATTTCTCCGGCAGACGAGGATCTCTATACCCTTTTTACGTCTCTTTGGTGCCGGTGGTGGTGGTGGTGATGACGGTGATGATGATACTGGTGTGTTCTTCGCTGTTAATGTGGCCCTTTTTTAAATTTTTTCAGCTTGAGCAGTATTTTCAGCGACTCAAGAATCCTAAGCTGAGGGTGAGGCCTTTGCTCTTGACCTCTTTTTTTAGTTACTGGGAAGGTGCAACGAGAAATTGCAATCAAAGAAAAACAACTTAAAAAAAATAAAAAAGCAGGATGCCAATGACCTTCCCAGTGGAATTTCCATTGCAAATTGGGCTTTCAAGGAGATTGTCTCACGGAGCCTTGGACGACTGGCAGCTTCTAACGCGTGGTACACTCGGACCTCGTTTTAACTTGCACGAGCGTAATGTGAGAGTGCCTTGTAATAAAGAAGCTCGTTGCATGCTCTGTTTAGCTTGAACACTCTTAAAACGCTTTGCGAACCCTTTGAGTAGGGCCTACTCTGACAAGGAGCGTTGAGCGGTCGTGGCCGTGTTTCTAACGTGCCGCGAACGTGCTTCGCAGTGTTTGGTTTTTGCCTTCAGTGAAGTGCACAAGTTAGAGTAAGATTGTGGTGTATAAAAATAACTACCTACCTAGACATCTGTGCTTCAAGCGTTGCATGCAAAACTACAACTTGAATTGGCTACACGGACGTTCCGGCGGAACTCTCGTAACACAACATGTCGTAAGCAAGACAGCGCTATGCCAATGGGCCTCTATGCAGCTTGCACATTCCTAATGTTGGCGTAAGGCTGACTGCACAAGCTGTGCCTCCGTTCCCGACATGAATATAAGACGTGGAGGTTAGTTGTCTGCGTAGAGACATGGTGCAATTTCCGTGGTAACTTGGCTATCCTCTGTGCACCCAAGTTATAACGAGGTTCGGCTGTAGTGCGACCTCGATTTAATTGCTCCGTTGGAAGGTAGCCTCACCCTTTGTGAACAGGAAGAAGTAGAGCAAGTAGAGCAAATTGTGACTGGCCATTCACGGCAAGACTGTTATCTCGTGCTGCCTTCGGCAGCTACAGATTGCAAACACGTACCTCACATTTTTTTTCGTTTTCTGAACATCACAAATGCCTCACTTGTGCTTTCCTCTTTTGAGACCTGTGCTGAGATGAGCTCACATTGTCATAGCCAATGCCTCGATGTTCGGACCAACCGGCACGCACGGTCCCGCCTTGGATGCTGCGCCAATTTGATGGGCTGAAAAAAATATCTGGAGAAGCTTAGGCCATTGACCGCTCTCTTTTGAGGAAGGGCATCGTGCAAACTGCCCAGGCTGTTTGTTGAAGCGGAGCTACAGACTAAACAGGTGCAAGTTTGCGCACCTTGCCACAAAGCGGGAAGTTGCATAACTTGTATCCGTGTCTGTACAAGGGGCCAATTTAGAACCATGCTTGATAGTTGCAAGCCAGGTTTTAATCGAGTTTTGACAGCATTTTTTTTTATAAAATCAGTGGCCTTGGCTTGTTCGACGACGGAGTACCTCTCCTGGATCTTCCAGCAGTATGCCACGTTGTGGTTGCAGCATTTTTTATCATTATTTATTTCACTTCTCTTTTTGGACAACAAAAATTGTTTAGAAACAAATGACTACCGTAAAATACCGGGGAAGTGACCACCTCACTTTCACTGAAAAATTGGTTAGTCTTGACATGGGCGCTTGTCCAGTCAAAGCAGTAAAAACAAAGATGGCGGCAACGTGCGCGAGAAGTGAGGGAACCTCGGCAGCGTGCACACCTTATCAAGATGTGTCTCGCAAAAGCCCCGGGACCACTGGTTTTGTTTCCAAGGACTGTTCATTGTCACACCGCATTATCTTCAGCCCCATCTGTCCTGACATGGCTACAACAGGGCTGCCGACCCCCAGCATTGTAGGGACCTCTCACTGTACCCAAGTGACCTAGATAAGGTCACTTGGGTACAGTTAAGTTTCCCTTGCTTAAGAATTCTTTCCCTTTCCATCGTAAGGAAGCAGATATCCCATGGCTCTGCGCTGGTTCTCTCGTAGCTGCCACTTTGTGGTGAATATTTGCGGCGCTTTGGAGGGGGTGGGTTGCTTAACATATGATTAGAATTCTGAAGTTTGGGAAATGTTAAGAGTGGGCGCTTGTCCGAAAGTGGGCAGTTCCCCAGTATTTTACGGTAGGAGCAGTGGCATGAAATAACTACCAGTGGATTGCTACGAATAAGTCACTTCTTGGCAGGACTTGTGCAGAGTACGAAAAGATTGATACGAAATCTGGTTAAAATTTGCACCACATGCATTTTCTAAGTTCTCACGTTTAAAGACCTGTTTCTTAACCTGAGAAACGATTGCCTATGGGACGGAATATAATGGCCTAGCAATGTTTTTTTTTTTTGTGGCGTTCTAGTGACAGTCGGTGTTGCTTCACGTGCGAGCTTTTGCAGTTGGCAACGGGTTAAGAGTGCAGAAGTAGATGCTCTGCCTGCGGACACGCTCGTGGCCCTTCGCTGGACCTTGGCTGCACGTGCGACAATGTGTTATCGAAGACACAGCACCTAATGCATTCTTAAGGCCCATTCACGCACCCGCTACCGCTTGCGACCGGGTGCCTTAAAATCTCTTGTGACAAAAGAATGCGCTACTGCCATCTGTCGGGTGGCCGTGAAACACTTGACAGTTTTGTACATTTACTTATCTTCTTTTTCGTGCATCACTCTTTTTATTTTTGGCTCGAAAGACTTTCGACATTGTTGTAAGCGACCATTTCTCGTAGTTGGTACGTACGCTTGACGTCGCAAGTGCCACAAGAACCTTCGCTTCAGTGAAATGCAGTTCAAGGGTCACCTCGTAGATGGTGTCAGCGTGCGAGTGTAGAGAGCCTCGATTTAAGAAAGGGGGAACAAGTGAAACCTAGGAGAGTGTTTGCAATTCGGTGGTGGACGCCTCTACCAATGAATTGCAAACAAGGAGGAAAGTGGTGCTGAAGGCAGAGACGCCCACACGTGATCAACGCGTTCATTACTTCCTTGCAGCTCGTATTGCAAACACGCTCCGTAGACTGCGAGCCCGGTCGGGCAGTTGGAAACTCTCCGCAATCTAGGCACACTGGTGTTCTCTCGTAAGAGATAGCAGGGTAGCGCGACGCACTTGGTTATAAGCAAACGCAGGTCTGGGAACCACCTTTAAAAGAAACACTAAACCTAGGAAGAAAAAAAAAATTTTTTCTACTTGTTTAGGACAGGCAGGTCCCAAAAGAAATGTTTGTCAAAAAAAAAAAAAAAAAATTTTTTTTGTTTAATATTTATGTGACAATACGAGTTTTTTTACTTGCGGGCAAAACCGAAATTGTACCCTTGTGAGATGATGATAGCGTTTGTACCCAACTATACTTGTTTTCCCCTCAAGAACCGTAGCAAAACAAGTCCGGCTCCTGGCGGACGGAGCATTACTAATTTTCCCCTTTATGTTGATAATTAAGACATATATAGGTGAATTTTAGATTAAATATATGTTATCTTATCAAGACATACACGTTCCAAACGCCAAAAGCATCGCTTTTTCCTCCGACAACCAAATCTCGTAAGAACTATCCAACCAACCAATTAACCAACCAACAAAAACAAATATTAAACAAACAAACCATCCATCCAACCAACCAACCAGTACTTCGTGTCGCGTATGAACAATGCGCAAAACTTGCTGTTTTCTTGAGGTGAGACCGGGTATAGTGTGCGCTCTGAGGTCCAGCGAATTGGTAGCGCACACTGATTCGGTACTATTGGGCAAAAAATAATTTTTTTTTATTTTCGAGAAACATTCCTTTTGAGACATGCCTGTCCTAACAAAGTAGACTTTTTTTTTTGGGGGGGGGGGGGGTTATTTTAAAGAGGAAACGGAGTATAGCGTACCGTGTCAGTAGCCTGGAAGGCGCTCACCGCAACAATGGCGGACCGGGAGGAGGGTGCGCGACGCCGTTTTGGTGGCCGCCGCCGACCTTTTATGAGGCAGAACGACAACCGACGGCGGTCGCAGGAGGACGACGCATCGAGCAACTCGTCGCGCAGCCGGCGGGGCAACGGGGCTGGCAGCAACGGCCAGCGATCGGCCAACGGGAGCTGCTGCAACGGCAGCCTGAGCCAGGACTCGTCATCCAACGACTCGCGCAGCGAGGACTGCCTGGTGCTGGGCCCCACCACGCGGCGCGCCTGGTCTGACTGGTGCAACAACAAGGGCCCCTCGCCCGGCAAACCCCCAGGCTCCGCGGGGCTCAGCAGCGGCCACGAGAGCAATGACGAGAACGGTGAGCCCCCGTCGCCTTTCTGGTGTCTTTTGGATTGCGGTTTTTGAAGGTGCTTGGTACGCATTTCTAACACCCTTGTTGAACTAGAACCGGCTTGGGTGTCTCCAGGAGCTCGACGGCAGGGACTTTGCACGTCGCGACAATGGCAGCGTGTGCTTTCGCTTCTCTTTTTTGCCGGAAAATCTGCGACCAACCGCCGCGGTTACTGCGTATGACGACGGGATATGTGGGCTCTCTGCGACATAATTTGTGTCCACTTTGGGACAGCCTTTGTTGTGTGGGCGTCATAGGATGCTAAACCTGCCTGTCAAAGACACATTTTGGTCACCATAGCTAAACTGTGTCTGGAGCATGCCTGCGACTGGCTTGACCCTGCTTGCGCGACGGAGTGCGCCCGACGGGGCGACAAGGTGTGCCGTAGGAGCTGCTGAGTGTCGTATCTCTAGAATTGCGATCCTGGCAATTGTATTGTGGAGGCGCCGGCAAAAAAGACGAGCAATGCAATCGTCGCGTCTGTGACTCTAAATTTCGCTCGACCAAATCTGTAAAGGGATAATAAGTCCGTGCTCCTGCCCGACTTCGCTCGCGAGTGCATGGAGAACAAAAGAAAACTGCATTTTGCTTTGAACTCCTTTGTCAAATACGTGCCTCGTGAAATGCTTCATATAGTTCTTAAAAAACATATGCAAAGGAAAAAACAATTTTTTAAACTGCCTGAATGGAGAAAGGATGTCATAAAACAAATTTACAACGAAACAAAATCTTTTTAGAGCTGTATATACGACGTGAAACGCGTAAAAGCAAAAGCGCATGGAAGCGACGGGAGCAAGCGACCAAGACGGTGAGCAACGTTTTCTAGAAATCCAGAAACCGAGCGACACGACGGGCGACAGTGAGAAATTTCCATCGCTCGTCTCGTCCCACGCAAAGTCGCTTACATTCGGTTCGGCTTTACGGAAACAACGTCTAAAGCGCACACATGCAGTGGGAAGCACTACTGTGATAGCCTTACTGCGTCAGTTGAAATCTGCATATGTCGCAATGTTGTTGGCTGCCCTTTATTGGCGACAAAAACGTAAGAATGTGATGAACTTACATGGTCTCTAAAGCCTGACCCATAATCTTGTATCATCAATCCATTCGCTCTCCGATTCCATTCCATAAATAAGAAAATACTAGTGCTATGTTGAAATATAGATATCAAATGATTGAATGAAAGCCAGAAATATCGAAACGACCTAAAGAAAACATGATTTCAACGTGGAATGTAAAATAACACGAAAACAAAGCTCCGGTGGTGGCCGGTGCAGCACATATCGCGGAGCAACGGCGAGAAACTGAAGGTTGGCTATGGCAGCAGGGTCACGTGACGTCAAGATGGCGGCGCCCATGAAATGTTGCCTGAAAGGGTCTGTAGTCATGTGCTTCCGCTGTTTTGGAAGCCTCCTGTGGGCTCTAAAAGTTACTTATTATCTTTTTTTTTTTGCCCTTAAAACAAAGATAAATACCGTTAAATACCGGGCAAGCGCCCACTCAAACTTTGGAGATAATCACAAACAAAATGGAGGATGGGTGCTTGTCCGGTCATCAATTTTACATGTAAATGTATTGTGCATAGTTTCTCAGATCTTACAAATTTGGTAATGGGCGCTTAATGTGGAATGCGCGGTATTCTACGGTAAGTAACTTTTAGAGACCGTAGGAAGCTCCCAAAAGAGTGCAAGCATCACGTGATAGACCTGTACACCGGTCAGAAATTGATGGCGGCGGTGCACCGGAGTGTTTCCTCCGGCGGCGGCGTGGAGAAACGCGTTCAGCCAGCGGCACGCCGCGCTCATCGTGTGGCAGCAGCGTGGAGATCCTGGGGACTTCAGTGACGGTGCTGACCAACTCCAGCTTAACTTGCGACGCACAGCGTGGCAGTGCACAGGTCTACCACGTGACTAGCGGCGGCTCCCACAGGCGCCAACACGAACTCTTTTCGCGAGTAAACATCGTTCTACATTTTTTTTTTCGTTGTAAATTTTTTTTATGACTTTCTTTTCTCATTCAGGCTTTTTGAAAAATTTTTCTCTTTTTTCCGCGTAGATGGTTCTTTATGGCGCTTTGCATACATTCGTTAGGCCATCCCTGATCTATGGTGTTGCTACTCTGCGCAGAGCCGGTGAAACGGCGGCCCAAGGCACCGCGGAGGACGCCTCGGCGGCAGAAGCAGCGCTCGCTGGACACGGGGGTGGTCTCGGGGCTCCAGCCGGGGGCAGAGCCCCTCCGCAAGGGTCCCGGGCGCCCCAAGAAGTCCCCCCAGCGAGGAGGGGCCAGCGCCGCCAGTGCCCGCAAGGCAAACAAGCGGCCCCTCAAGTTCAACGGGCTGGACCTGCTGCACGCACAGACGGTGCTGAGCACCTCCAGTGCCGGTGGGTTGGTGCCTCTGTTGGCAAAGTTTTGCTGTGTTTAAATTTTTTCGTGGGAGATACTGTCGCGGATGGAAAAGGATAGACAAACGTTAAACTGTAAATCTAGGTTTAGTCGGCCAACGTATGCCAGAAGCTAGAGAGAGAACGAGCGTCGAAAAAGTAGAAGCAAGCGTCGGGGTGCCCACGTGCCGTCTGGCTTGGGCGAGACCGACTTCGCAAGGCCATGCTGGCCTCTTTCTCCACTGCACTCTGTATCTCGAACATTCGGCCTGGAATGTTTGAGCGCGGGGTAAGGGTAAACACGAATCTTCTGGAAGTACAGAGACGAACAAATGAATAAAAGTAATGGCCGGCGCCGGGCATCGAACCCCAGACGCCTGTGTCAGAGCCATGCACGCGGCGATATGACATTTTTATTTTGAGAGGGTTCTATGCAGCTTTCTTCCGAGGGAAACTGAAGGTAGTATAGTTGAGGATGTAATCCGCTGCAGTAATTAGCACCCAGGAGTGAAACAGCTGTGCCAGTTGCACCATTTTAATGCAATCACAATTTTCTGCGAATAGCAGCGCCAAAAGCGTGAAATCAACGAAAATTGCACCACATTGCGCCAAAGATCGGGGTGATGCTAGATTTAATGAAAAGTAAAAGCTCTGTTGACAACCTTGGCCATTACATTGCCACGTGGCGCAAGCTGCTGCCTGATTTCTTGGTTCAGACGTATCTGTGCATTCACTCATCATCCCATCATTGAATCCATCATCCGATGGATTCAATGTCTACTTCCATACATCTTAACTATCATACCGTTGCATCATTCATACTACGATGTATGATGCAAAGTAGCAGATAACATTAATGGCCCCGAGATGTGCCCCCTCATTCTACAGCGGAGCTGTTAAAGGCTAGGTTCCCCAGTATATTGTTTGCGGGCAAACAAATGTCGACACAAAACTCTGGACAGCTACCGCCACCTATGAGCGACGGCGGCAACTTTTCCAGCCTTTGAACTCTGGTTTTTGCCAGAGTGGAAAGATTGGATTTCTCCAGGCGTCGTCCCAGAAGTCATCCTTGAGGTCGTCCAAGAAGTCGTCCTAGACGTCGTCCTTGAGGTCGTCCTAGACGTTGTCCCTAAGGTCGTCCTAGGCGTAGTCCTCGAGGTCATCCTAGACGTTGTCCAACAAGTCGTCCTTGACGTCGTCCTCTAGGCATTGTCCTAGACGTCGTAAAGATAACAGCTTCGCTGGTCTTCCTTCTTGACCAGAGTGGAAAGGCTGAAAGTTTTTTAATTCAAATTTGTTCCTAATATAAAATATCTTTTTGTGCAATTTCAGATATCTCACAGTAAAGTTCTATTCTTCGCAAACTGACACGGACCCAGTGGCGTTGTCAGGACAGACTGAGTACACTTGCAAAGATTGGCTTGGTGCATTTAGAGAGGTGGGCTTAGCAGCCTTACAAAGATGGGACCTGGCGAACCTCAGAAGTGGACTTGGCCAACTTATAAAGATGGACTTGACGCATGTACAAGGATGGACTTAGCACACGAGAAAGGCAGTAACTCTTCCTGTCTCTGGTCCTCCAGCGGCAGCCATGCACACAGAGCCCGCGCCCGGCTGCGTGGACCAGAAACTGGGCGGCCTGGCCACGGAAGAGGGCTCGCTCTCTGGCGAGCCATCGTCGGGCTTCCTCGAGGTGACCATCAAGACGGAGCCACACTTGGAGTCGGGGGCGGAGCATGAGACCCCACCCCCTCCCGCCCCGGCCCCGCCCCCTCGTCCCCTGACCCCCCTGGCGGAGCCCCCCGAGCTGAAGCTGATGCTGAACGAGTTCCGCAACCAGTACATGGCCATGCTGAACCAGATGCGGACGGAGCAGTACAGCCAGGAGGTCCGGGAGCACATCGCCAGGGAGAGGGTAGGTGGTGCTCTCTACCTTCGCCTGCTAAAGCTCCTTGATGTGTTTGTGCTTGACGTGCGAGTAGCATCAAATGCGCCCATGCACGAGGCCGCCTCGAGCACCCTTGTGCTTGGAAAATGGCGGCAGAGCACTCGCTCGTGGCATGTGTCTCGGCTGTTCGCCCTACAGTGGTGGTCTGTACTTGGAAGGAGTATAAGGTGTGGATTTTATCACGGGGCTTCATCGCCTGTGACCCTGCACGGCGAAACTACTTGCCGAATTTGGGCTGGGGGATCGCCGGGAAGATTGGGATTGAAAACCAGAAGTTCCAAGGGTCCCGGGAGGGTTCGTTTCATACGTTTTGTAGGTACGTTTTCGCTGCCTCGGAGCGGCGGGGCAAAGAGGCAGACGTCGGTGATCCTTGTTTGCCCAGATTGCTGCCGAGGCTTTAATAAACCCGAGGGAGGAGCAATATGCCACGTGCAGCCTATTGAACCCAGTGTTCAATAAATTTATCTCATGTCAAAACACCGGCTTCGTTTACTGTGTAAAGAAAACTTAAAAGCCGACCAGCAATCCAACCACTTTAGCTTATTGCAGCAAAACAGATGTGCCTACCGTTTCGTTTGCTTTCTTTGTCTACTTTTCTGTCGCTCTGTTTCTCGTTCGTCCCCTCGGGAATGCGTTCAGCTACACCCCATTCCCATCTCTGCACCCCTGGTTGGGCGGAACATGGAGTCTATCCTTTGCTCTTCAGGAGCGCAACGACCGGCTGGTGGCCAAGGCGGCGCAGCTGGAGCGCCAGATCAAGCTGCTGATCGACGACAGCGTGGTACTGCTCAAGGCGCGCATGAGCGAGCTGGGTGTGGTGAGCCACACGCCGGCCGACCTCATCACCAAGGCAAGTTGCATCCCTTCATGTATACTGTGTCTCACACTTAGCGTGCAACGCTGTCAGAGCTGCTGGCGCAAGCATTGGGCTTGATCTCGTTGATCATTCGCACGTATTCTCGCGCAGACAAAACCATGGATGAAGCCACGCGCTCGCGCCAGTAGCTTTGACAGCGTTGTATATTAAGTATGAAACAGGGTATAGGGGTTATCTTTGAGTTTCTATTGATAGATGAAGAGCCCCCCCTGGCGTCGACTTAGTGAAGCACAAATCTTGCAGGGAATAAAGCAGAGGCTCGGGAATGTCCTTCCCCAAAAGCAGCGGGCCCGATCGCTCCGACAGAACGACGAATGTTCTGTGGGCCGGTCACAGATTCTTCTCAGCTCCCCACGAGCTTGGGGGATTAGCGAACATCCATGACGCAAAGCACGTGATTTCAAAACTCAGTGGCGTTTAATCCTTTCCTTGGGGAGAAACTTTGTCGTGCGAATACACCCTAAGGCGCAGTCATAATCATTCGCGAGTGTGTGAACGTGCCTCAAGGGGAAGGGTCGGCCGTTGCGCGTGCCGTGTCGGTGTGCAACCGCTCCAACCTGTGGCCTCCCCGGGCGTGTCCCCCTTTGCTCTTCCCGGAAGGCGAAGGAGATTGTGCTGCGCCACAAGGAGCTGCAGGCCAAGGCAGCCACCCTGGAGCGCGAGGTGGTTCACCTCGAGGAGCAACAGGAGGAGCTGCTGGCTCGACAGACTCCCAAGGGCGCCGCCCCCGTGACCCCCGGCGACCTTGTCAACGGATTCGTCGAGGTGCGTCCACCTCCTCCGATGGCCGTCGTCCTTTCGACGAAAAAGCAGGTTTTGCGCATGGCACGTTCTTAAGAGATTGGGTTGCGAAAGAGGAAACAATGCGTTTGACGTTTGAAAACGTGCATGTATCGATGAAAGAGCACAAACATAATACAAGATGCACCTGCCGCAATGTACCGAGAGATGCCCCACCCCCGAAAGATGCCACCCCCCTTTTAGCTTGATTTGCTTTTTTCTTTTAAACATTAGCCACTCCTGGTAATCGTAGTGTTTGGATCAATGATGACCTCGGCATAAATGCGGCTGGGTAGCTATGGCGGGATAAAAGTGAACATTGCTGACTGGGAAGTACAGTCCTGTTTGCTTCATTGTCCCTCGCCGCGACAAGTTTGGCAGAAAAACGTGATCTAAAAATAGTGTTTCTTTTTGTTTGTTTTTCAACTCTTCTTGGCTGTACATTGAAAGTTAGCCCACTCCCTATTTTCAACCGATTTGCTCTCGATTTTAGGAGGGCTATCTCTTGGGATATTCAATACATATACAGTGTAGACCGGATATAACGTATGTCTCGGGAGTCGCGAAAATCCGCACTATAAGCGGTACCGCGCTATAACCAAAACATCAATTTTTCAGGCCAAAATACATGCCATAAGACAACTTACCTTTGTAAAACAATTTATTTTATGTTAGATGAAAAATAAAGCTTAGTTTGAGGACAGTCTTTATTTCACCAGACTAGTACAGTTCTGTCTCAAGTGTGCCACATATTTTGAAAGAAATGAGCGGATCTTGCCTGGCGCAGCCTTTTAACGGTGTCGCGGGTTGCAGACGGACATTGCGAGCGTTCAGGATTGCTAACCCTAATCACTTTTCTCTTCTCCGGAGATGAAAACGCGTGAAAATTCGCATCCTTCATACGGTACGCGCCAGTAATACCTTGAACTTGAGCACACGCATGAAATGCGCCAAATAAGAAATCCGGGCGATGTTCGAGGACACAAATGCTTAGAAAGCACCACTGTAGTCAAAATAAACAAACACGACGACACGGGCGTTTCTGTTATCTTGAGAGCGCCGCCACGGCATCGCCACACGAGTAGGTGGATCTTTCCTTCTAGTACGTGCTGGGTTATCATAGCGACACACAACGAAAATTCACAGTCAAGGATAGCGCTTTTATGCAGAACGATGGGATGAACGCCGTCTACGACGACGATCACAACCGACGCCATGTTTGCGGATAGAAGCAGCCGGCCCGCGACCGGCATGCAACGCGCGCGAACACTTCTCCTCGACCTGCGATTGGTCTTTCGTTGTGGTTTGTTTCTTTGTTTCCAACGCAGCGGAGGGACGCACGCACGTGAACGACACGTGCGTGCGTCCCTCCGTCGCTACGGCAACTGCAGCCTCTCTCACCGCTTCTCCCCGCGAGTGCCGCTTGCGCCGTCAGCGCCGTTATCTACTGTCGCACAGGGAAGCATGCTCGCTGCTCCGGTCGTCGGCGCGGTCGGCAGGCTGTGCCAAAAACCGCACTATAACCGGTATTTCCCTTCGCGCGCCTGCATTTTAAGCGGTATGTAATTACATGGAGTTCTATGGGAGGTGAACCGGTGGTTTAAAAAAAATGCGTTATACCCGGTCTTGCACTATAAGCGGTTACGTTGTAAGTGGTCTATACTGTATCTGAATTCAACGCACTAAGGGGTAAAATTAGTGGCGTTCGTCGAGGAGCCTGACTTTTCCTACTGCTGTTGCCGAGCTGAATAGAGCATAAGAGACAAAATCCGTGCAGAATGGTGTTCTTAGTGAATCCCCGACCCGTCCCAAGCAGCAAACATGTTAAAGATGGACGGAAGACGCCGCACCACGGCAGATGCGTCCGTCGTGTCGCGCTCGTTGAGAGACGCCACAAGACGTGCTGCCGGCTGTGTCTCCCGTCTCCCTCGACATTTGTCGCATTGAAACACGCAAAAAGGTCTCTCGAGCGGTAGTGCTTGGGGCGTAGCCAGTTCCTCGCCGTACAATCGGCGACTCCCGCGCTTAGTGCCCGGGTAATAGCCCCACTGTATACGAACAAATGTCTGCTTGCTCACTGCCCAGCAGAGCTGCTTTTATTGTGTCCTCATTGGTGGTTCCTCGATTTCCGCTTCACGACGTCATCAGTGTCATATTGTTGCTTGCCACAATCGTAGCGGCGCTAGGCGCCAGAGGTGTACATGGCGGACGCACGTCGATGGGGCGCTGCAACAACCCTTGCGTCTGGTCTCTTTCTTTCGTCGGCAGCTCTACGACCAACTGACTGCGAAATACGCCAAATGTATCGGTTGAAGCAGAGTTTCATACGCGCGATTTTGGGTGTAGATTGTAGTTCTGGCAAAAAAAAGTTTTCTTCTCCCCGTTACTTCTTGCCCGAAACACCAGTATTTGCCATACGCGAGCCTCGTCGAAGATGCTGCGGTCGAGGTTGAAAGCAAACTGTATCGGAATTGCTTGTGTTAGCTGCAACTGCGTATGCACGCTCGTGGTGCTGGAAACTTTGACCGAACCTACTTCGTTGCGGCCAACGTCGGTTTGTCCCTGCAGGTCGACTAACGCGTTTGTTTCCTCGGTCCGAAATGCAGGACGTGTCCCAGCTCTCGCATGACCACATCCTGCGCGAGATCACCAGCACGCTGTCTCAGCGGCGCAAGCTCCACTCCAAGGTGCAGAAGCTGGAGGGAGAGGTCCATGCCCTGGAGCGGACCCTCGTGTCACCCCCCCACCGCCGACCCCCTACGCTGGCTCCCCCGTACACGGCACCGTTGACTCTGTCGTCCCCTCCGGAGGAGGCTGAGCCTTTCCCGAGTCCCGCCCCCGAACCCGCCCCACCCACGGAAGAGTCCGCACCCCTCCCTTCGGTGGCGAGGCTGCCGACTCCTCCCCCCCCGAAGCTCGGAGCGCAGGCGCAGCCCGGCACGGGCCACACGTGCAACTGCTGGTTGAAGAGTCAGCAGACGACGCCGTCTGTCGCAGAGGTTGAGAAGGTGACGCGGAACGCACCTCCACAAGACGGGGACGTCCCGGACTGCGCCGAGCAGGCAGACAAATCCACGGAGAAAGGTCCGGTCGCTCCGGCCGCCCCCGCGATCGGCGACATCGACGCGAGCTGCTTCTCGATGGTCTACTCTCCAATAAGCCCGGGGCGAACTCAGGCGTGCAGCGAAGCGGCGGCGGCGGCAGTGACGACGCCGCTGTCCCCCCGAGCTTCCGCAGCACTCCGCGAGGATCAGGCATTGTCCTTTCCGAAGGCTGACTCTCCGTCCGCCACACCAGAGCCAGTGCCCGCGGAGTCTCCACCCGCCGCTCCACCGGAAGAGAAGTTGCCACCTCCGAGCGTGTCGAGAAGAAAGAGCTCGTCGCCGCGCAAGAGTTCACCCCAGCGGAAGAGCTCGCCGTCGCGCAAGGGTTCGCCGTCCAAGTCAAAGCACAGGAAGTCGCCCAAGAAGCGGGACCAGTCCCTGCCCCCTCCCTCCCCCCCCTCCCCCGCCACCTCCCCCGCCGCCGCCTCCACCGCCTCCGCCACCGCCGAAGAAGAAAACGGAGCCCGACGAAGGCCCCGCCCCCCCCAAGCCCTCCAACGGACTCATCCTGAATCTGGGCAGCCTGCTGGCGTCGCGGAACGGCTACAGCCCCAAGCGGGACGAGAGGTCGTCACGGAGAACCAAACGGAAGCACTCTCCGCACAAGCGGGTGGTGACGGAGGGGGCGCTGGCTGTGACGGAGATGAAGGACAACATGCGGCTGGGCACGGGGGACAAGACGGTCTGCATCCGCATGAAGTCGGAGACTGGGGCGCACGTCGAAGGTGAGTGCAGGCCCTGTGTCAATGGTTACAAAACTTCAAACGATTCGTAGCTGGGACCGCTTTGAGTCTGGGTCGGATGAGGACCGTGGAGTCTTGTTTTTGCAACTTTAGGCTTGTCTTTTGCATGTGCTTGCTGCTCTTTCTTATACTTTAGAAGCATTGGTGAAGAGCTAACTGGTCGGAATTGTTTTTATATCTGGACATATAACAGACGAGGCCGACGCGCAGTATGCATTTCGAACTCTGGAAGCAGATGATGCAGGCCTGCGTTTGTCGGCAGTTAGCTGAACAGAAGTAAAGTAAAATTAAGACGCCAGCATCATTACATAGGTGCAAAAGGGATACGGATGCATGGAAGTCAGGATAATGTTCACTTCAACTGAATAAAGCGTGTTTTCGGGAGGGCATTACAGACCTTGGCAGCGTTTCACACCAATAACACCTTGTTTGTGAACGCCTACGTGCGTCGCGCACGAGGTGGGCACCTGGAGGCATGGTCGTAGAGGCTCATTTTTTAAAAAGTAATTTCTCAGCCTAACAAGAAATACTTCTCTAATTTTTTTATTTGCTGAACTTGCTTTTCTGGCTCTCGATATGGCCTTTTCTACACAAACTGGAGATCTTGTCATTTAATTAAAAACAACAAAATGAGGCTTTGAAATTTTAATACAAGCAATTCAATTATTAGCTTTTAGAGAACAGAGGAAAAAGGTATTGTAGCTAAGACCCAAATTCAAGTTGGCTAAAAGAAATAAAGAAATCTCATAGAGTATTGTTTTTTTCTAGCTCCTATTTGGACTCAAAATGGCGTCTTTAAGAGGGAATTTTAGCGTAAGATAGGGTATGTTAATAAGTAATTAGGCACCCACCTAAGCTTGTGTGGTGCGCAACTTATTTTATGCAATGTTTTTCTTAACTACATGGGTTTTATGCAAATTCTAGAAAATAAAGCATAATATCAGCAAAAATAAAATTAATTTTTTTCACAAAAAAAAAAAAAGATTTTTTTTTAGTTTAGAGTTTTTTTTTTTTTTTTTATCCAAAAATAATTGTTTTGTAAATATCCCAGACATGACAAAATTGCAGCGTCTCCTTTGTCATGGAATGATTCTCATGCTTTCACTCTCCGAAAGCGGGTCGGAGACTGCAGCTTGTTAGTGGACGAAACATCTCGAGGTTGGGGGGGGGGGGGTAGAATATTTTACGTCGCCTCACTATACCCTGGTGATTGGTGATTTGAGTGATTGTCGAGGGTCATTAGAACATGTGACTCAGCTATCCCCCCAAAAGCTACTTGTCACTGTCAGATCATGAAAGGTAACGAGGAAAGGTGACCTCTGTGGTTGCTTCAGAAAAATTGTCACTTTCCGGTGCAGGGGTGAGATTTTTTAAAAATTTATTTGAAATGCCGCAGGCTTGTTTCAGGCCTCGGCAGGTTACAGAAAAAAAGCAGTGCAAACAACACACTTGGCACAAAAAAAGTTTTTTATGTCATATTGTCAAGGATGCGGTGGGCCAATACGTGGTCCGGCTACTCGAGAGAGGTTTCTGACAGAACGCCCGTTCACTCGTCTCGTTCGCTCTTTGAGTCCGCTCGACTTGAAATGGTGGTTGTGAAGTTGATTCCCGTTCTCCTCTCCCTCTTCGTTCTCCTCTCCATTCCCACCCCTTCCACCGAACCAATCCCGTCACCCCATAGAAAAGTTCACCATCAAAGCAGAAACCTTGGCCCGCAAGCCGGATGGCTCGCACGGCCGTCACCACTGGCAGGCGAGGGTCAGCAGCGGCTTCGAGAAGCTTGTGGCCCTGGCGTCCTCCGGCCAGACGGAATCGCCAAAGAAGGACGTTGCCGCGCCTGCCGCGGCCACGGCGGCGGCCGCATCGTCCTCGTCGTCTTCGTCGTCGTCCTCGTCGGACCACTGCGAAGCCCCGCCCCAGCAGAAGAAGTGGGTGGTGGATAGGGTTCATCGGAAGGACCGCGGAGGAGAGAGCGGGACGCAGCTGGAGAGCCTCTCGATCAAGATCAAGGCGGTGAACGCGGGCACGCCGTCGCCGCAGCCGAGCCGCAAGCGCCACCGGAGCCCCAACGCCTCGTCTTCCGCCAAGAAGGGGGCGGGCCGCTCCCCGCTCCCCAGGAGGCGGGGCCCGCGCACTCCGCCGGACACGCCGCCCCGCACTCCATCTGCCTCCCCGGAACGCCTGCCGGCCGCCCCCCTTTCTGCGGCACGGAGGAGGGGCCTCGCAGCCAAGGCGGAAGAGCACAGCCCCGTGAGCAGCGCGGGGAGTCCCTCGAGCAGCCAGTCGGGGAGTCCGACGAGCGCGCCAGAGGAGGTGGCGACGCCGCGAGGAGCCGGCGACGAGGTGCGCCCGCCCGCGGACAACACCGTGTACAACAAGCTCGGGCTGGGCACGCGGGACATCTCGATGAAGCCGTCGGCGGAGAGCCTGCCGGTGCTGCAGCACGGCATGGCCCTGCCCCCGACCCCCGGAGCAGCCATCAAGACCGACAAGGAAGGCGCGTGGGACTGGAGTAAAGAGGCTATCGCCACTCTGTCCAGTCCCGTGCTCACAAGCACCACGGAACCCGGCACCCCCTCCTATGCTGCAATGTCGTACGCTCAGACTCAACTGGACCCGTCGACCCTCCACCCGTCGAAAGCAGTCGCAGCGTCCCCCGTCTCGACCATGCTCGCCGCCGCCTCGCCGCTGGCCCCACCCATGCCCCCGCCCCTGACCCCGCAGCAGATCGCGTCCCAGCCCCCTCCCCCGCCCCCCCGCCACTCGGTACCCCTCGTGGCCAACTTCTCGGTCCCCCCTCCGAGCTTCAGCATGCCGCCACCCTCGCCCGTCTTCAACCCATCGCAGCTGCTCCTGCCGGACATCTCGGTGCCGCCTCCGTCGCTCGTCCCCACCCCTCCGCCGCTGGCCCCGCCCCCCCGCAACTTCACAGTGCCCCCGCCCAGCCTCCAGGCCCCGCCCATGATGCCAAGCTTGTGTCACCCACCCCCGCATAGGGGGGCCGGGTCGGTGTCCAAGGCCCCGCCCCCTCCCCCGCTGGCCCCCCCTCCCCCTTACGTCGGGTCGCCCTATTCGTCGCCCATCGAGTCGTCGGGTGCCCAGCGGATGCCCCATTTTGGCTCCACCCATCCGCCGGGTCTGGCAGGCCCCCACAAGATGTCCCGTCCCGGTGAGCGCTCTGCTCTTTGAAGGGCCACTGTTGCCACTTGACTCTTCTGTCGTAAGTCCTGTCGAGAGTCGTATTGTATAGATTTTTCTTCCTCCAATCTCGCTAAAACTGATAAGTAGAGGCTTCTTAGTTCGGGAAAACTAGGTGTTTCCTTCGAAAAATTGTGTGCCCAAATCAAAGCGTGTGGTGTTTGTTTCTGTTCGTTTTTTACATGCATGGTTTTACCCCGCATACATTTTGGTGAAAGTGTAGCTTGTATGCCTATTGGGGAAAAATGGTAATAGCCATTTGCCGATAACTAAAGGCCCGTTTAGACACTTGCGACTTCTTAGAGCCGAGTGCTTTGAAACCTTTTAAAATCTCTTACGACGAGAGGACCCACTGGCACCACCTATGGTGCCAGTGGAACTTTTGGCATCCAGTATATTTTCTATTCCTTTCCTGCCTGATTCTTTCTTGGTGTGAAAAACTTTTGTCAATGTTATAAACAAAACATTTCTCATAAATACCGTATTTGCACGAATCTAATGCGAGTTTTGTTTCGAAATTACGCGCTAAAAAAGACTCATGCGCTCAGCCTCGAGGCGCACGAGTCTGGAGAAAGCCAGAGGAGAAAGTCATCCCTCCGGCTCAATGCAGGAGGACGGCTGGGAAAAGAAGTGGGCACGTAGGAGGGAATTTATTAGCTATTGGGCCACGGGAAGGGGCGAATAGAAAACACAAAAAGCATTTTTATCGCTCTTGTGTTTGCACAAAGCACGCACGCTGCAGAAACGCTGTGCAGCATGCGGGAATGTGGGCACTGGCTGATAGACCATTTGCTATATTCCCCAAGCGCCCTGGTTCGCGCTAAAATAATCATGGGAACGGTGTTCCTTCAGCTACTCAGCAATCGGTAATTTTGACCCTATCCTTGGTTACGCAGCTTTTGAGCGTAATTTGGAGCCGCCCCGAACAAGCGCCTGATATACCCCAATGACCTGTCATATCACCTTTTAAGTTTCTCCTCAATGTCGGCGTTTTTGATACTGTGCATGCTGTCCACCCTTCAACCTGGATGGGCTGCAGAAATCTCTTACATTATTATCATTCTTGTACAGCTTCAAAGGCGCTGAAATTAAGTTAGAAACGCTAAAAGTGGTATAAAGAGCCCCGCGGACTCCGAGCTAGATCCTGGTTTTTGTTGTTATGAATTCTCGGCTTTTAAAGCAATTCCTGCTAAAACAACAATCACGAGAATGATGATATTGTAAGAGATTTCTGCAGCTCAGGCCAGTTTGAAAGGTGGATTGCATGCACAGTATAAAAAAATGCTGACATCGACAAGAAGTTTCAAAAGTGATATGACAGGTCCTTGGGGTATATATCAGGCGCTTGTTCAGGGTGACTCCGAACTACGCTAAAAAACCGTGTAACCATGGAATTGGTCAAAATCAGCGATCACTAGGGAGCTGATGGAACACCATTCTTATGATTTCTCGTGTGCGAGCCTAAGCGCTTGGGAATAGCACAAATGGTCTATTCAAGCCAAGCCAGGCCAAGTCAAGTCAACACAAGCCAAGCCAAGACCACCAACCGTGTTGATTAATCGTGCAACACGAGGTGTTCGTTTATGCGGTGGGACCAGAACAAGAATAAGTGTGATCGTGCATCGGGTTCCGTAGTCTTTTTTTCTGCCTGCGCATTTTTTAGTTTCTGCCGCTGAGTGCTCTGGTGTTAGTGCATTGGTGCTTCTGCTTCATGCCTTGCTTTGCTTGTGGGCTGCCGAGGAGCTCGCCTGCCCGTGCTGCTGCTTATGTGCGTAGTCGTCAAGCGGATTGTAAACGGAAGGACCTGAGCAGTGAGGATGAGTGCAGTCAAAACATAAATTGATATTTCTTCTATTTCCATTGCATTTTCACTTCTGCTATGCCCCCGAGTACGGGAAATGTATGCGGACTGGGCTCGGCTTGCTCGGTTGCATTATAAAAGTGATAATATTTTTTTTTGAGGGCATCAAAACCTTTTGCGTTTTATTTGTGGTCGCGTTATATTCATGCAAATACTAGTACTCACATTTGACCTCGCAAATAACGCCAAACCTTCACTTTAGTGGAATGCAGTTCCAGGGTCATTGCATAGATGGCGCCAGCATGTCAGTGTGTTTTCTCATTGTGAGAGATTTTAGGAGGTTTTAAGGCGCTCAGTTTGAAGAGTCGCAAGTGGGTGAATGGGCCTTTAGACATAAAACTGGTTAAAACCGTTTTAAGTTTACTGGAGAATGACTATGAGATCAAACTGGTAGATCACGGTTCTCTATATGTTATCTCCACCCTTATGGCATTTGGCAACTATTTTTCTCACTCACATCTGCCAATTATGGTGGCTCCAGTGTTGAACAAGTCTTTGAGAAACATCAACCCTTCCTAAATGAAGAAACAAATCGGTAGGTTTTGAGTGCGGCTTGCCGGCGCTTAACAACTGTTATGTTGCTCATTCTTTTGTCTTTCTCAGTCCATGCCCAACACTTCCTGACTTGACGGCGGCCAAGCCGGAGTTCGTCTCGCAAGCGGAAACATCGTGACTCTCATCACCGTCACCACCGCCACCACCACCATCACCACCATGCTGCCGCACCCCCTGGAGGAGAGTCCGGGCAGCAGCAGGAACAGGAGCTCGCCGACCCTTAGCCCAAACTCTGCGAGCAATGCACGCAGAGACACACCCGATCATTAGTTGAGATGCCCTTTTTTTTTTTGCTTCAGACACAAAAACTAGTTGCATTGCAAGTGAGATTGGAGCTGGCTCGAGACAGTACATCACAACAGGGACAACTATGGTGTCTGCATTGCGTCACCATGCCCCATCTATCTATCCTCCGGCACGCAGCATGATGGAGGTGGCTAAGGGGAGCTCCTTGCATCCGAGAGTCTTCGTACCGAGTGGACGCTTGAAGAGTGGGGACAACTTTCACAGGTACAAGCGTTCACTCGGTCTTCGCCGCGCTGTGGTCTTGCGGGTGACTCTGGGAGGTCTGAGCATGGTTCTGACATAAGTTAAAGTCATTTACGTTGCATGGTCTGTACGCTCGTGGACCGAATTTTGCGGTGCGGCGTGGCGCAGAGTGCGTTTCACGTGTTTCATGTCGACAGAGTGCGCCTCTCGGCGGTGAGAGAAGCCCCGATTTCCACAGCTGGCTTGCGGTTTCCGAAAGGGCACGGACGTTTCGTTCTTCGGCGGGCCTACGTCAAGTTTTTCGCTCGTGTAAGTTATTGCTTTTCGACTGGTTTATCGACGCGGTCGAGCGCTGCCAGTACGCTCCACGCGTCAGTGCTGTCCCCGTTTGCCGACATTCTATTAGTCCCCGTCTTGTGTTGTAGGGTTTGCTTGTTTCCTCGCGTATAAGACCTTCCCAATTGCGCGACGCGCGAGGCATGCAGGCTTCGTGTCCGGCGCCATAGCTCAATCGTTCCATTACTGCCACCATCACTGCTACTCCCCCCCCCCCCCCCCCCCCCCCTCCAAATTTCGGAACTAGTCAGAACGTACTGTTGTATGTTTTCCTTCTCTTTATTACTACTATTATTGTCGCAGTGTAATTGTGTTGTTTTTGATGCCCCTTTTTTTTCGGTGGGCAGAAGAACGCGCGTAGACGGTGTGCTTTACCCGAACTGTCTCTCGTGTGCCCCTTTCGTTTGTTTCTTTTATGTGCCTTCTCGATTGCGTGACTCAGCGTCGCCGCGTCAAACTTTCTCGACGCGCGTTTCAGGAAGTTGAGCTCTGTCGTGGCGGTCAAACAGTTCGACGACCGCTTATTTCTTTTCCCCTCAAGTTTTGCGTTGTTAGGTGCGGGCACTTTTCATTTTCTTGTTTGATGGGTGCCCCAGTTGTGTTTTTAAGAAACAAAAAAAGGAAGTAACGCGTTATAAATAGTATCTGTCATTCAGCGCAGCGGCGGCCATTGCGAGCCTGCCTCCCCGTCGCCTTCGTCGGCCGCTCGGCGCAAGCGAAGTTGTCCGCCGCGTTTCCCCGTTCTTGGTTTCCGAAGCATAAAATGATCACTGCCAGTGTGAATGTGACTAAGCGCAAACCAGCCTGTTCATGACGCGACTGGGTTAGCATAGTTTATACGCCGTCTGACGACCGTTCGGCGCCGGTGCAACGGCACACCTGAGTGCAAATTACGCTTCGTCGCGGGACCGTCGTTAGTGCCCGACGATCCTGACGGGGATTTTTTTTTTTATTAAATAGGAAAGAAAGTGAAGTTTGCGTATTTGCCGCTTCCTTCTTTTTCTAACTTATTGTACGGTACCTTTTTTTCCTTCGTTCGATTCGCGTGCACCCGAGTCTTGCGAGCGTCCGCGGGGTACAGTAGGAGCCGACGCAAACACTGCCAGTTTACGATTCCTCGGGCGCCCACTCGTCTTTCGTTCGGGTCATGGGCGGTCGTCGTTTGCAACGCTCGTAGCCAAAGGCACCATGCTCCGCTCTTTGTTTTTTGACGGGAGGCGGAGCGTAACGGGGGAACGGGAACTCGAGACTCGAAGGCCCGCACCCACAGACTCGCAAACGTCTGTGGGTGCGGGCCCCTAAAACAGTACAAATTTTTCGCAGCTGCTGAAACCGATCCGGCGTCGGTTACGCCGGTAGCCTACCCGCAGTCTTGACAACTGTGCAAACCGTCGACGAGACGCGGGTGCAATTCCTAAAATTGACGTCGAGGTTTCTTTTTTTTTTTCTTCTTTCCTCGTGGGGCACTTTTCACCTTGAGAATTCTCGTTCCCCCCTTCTTGTTGTGGTCTGTTTTCGCGCCCATCCTGTCGGGCGACACGTTGCTGGAGAGCGCTCGAAAAACGATGCAAATATCTGCGCGTACGCGAGCGCTGCGGGGTTCGACGGAAACATAGCGTAGGAATTGTGTGGTTAGATGAAAGGAACTTCGGCGTTTTTTTCTTTTCGGTTGAATTGGTCTTGGTGACGGAAAGTGGAGTAAAAAAGCGAAGATAAAAGGTCGAGAAGTTGCTTGTATTTCAACGTGCGTCTTTCTGTGCATTGCCGGCGGCGATTAGAATGTGCAGGTAGCGTTTTGCTCGCCGATCCACAAACGAACGGTGGAGTGTGCAGAAGACGTGGCAAGCGTTCCTTCTGTCTAGAGGGACACGTTCCGGGTATGCCTGGTCGGTACTTCCCCCTCGATTTAGTGCTGCAATCAATTCCATGTGTGTTGCCGACGGAAAGCTTTCATGGATTCCCCTCAGCATCGCTGTAGGCAGATTGACGATGACGATGCTTGTTTCGTTGGTGACGCGTATGCCCTCTGGGGCCGTGTGTGTAAAGTGCATGTTACCTCAAAGTGTTACATGTTTGTTGAGAGAGTAATTGCCAGACTGCGCGTTGTTGTAGCGGTGTATCTTTCCCTTTTTTTTTTTTCGCACAGGATAACTTTTTTTTTTTTGTGGAGACAAGCACATGGGAAAGAGGAAAGCACTATGGGCATTTTTTGTCAAGGATTTTTTTTTATTCAGTTTTTGTGCGGTTTTGAGTTTTTCTTTTTATACTTGTGCAACCGAGGAGGGGAATTAGCTTTTGAGGCGCCTCCACTCTTGGGTGAACAGCAATTGAGGACTCGTTTTAGCATTTATCGGCTCAAAGTCTGACCACAGCCAAATACAGAAATGCGCAAAACATTTCCCGAACTTAGAAAGTACCATGGCACATTTCTGGCGTGCAGTTTATTAGGCTTTTTGAAGGGAACAAGCACTTTCAACATTAGCTGCAGTCAGTCTTTGGTGCATGGTAGATGGTAGACTTACATGCCTACATTTTTTGTTGACTATAGGTTGTTGCAACTTAGGAAAAGCAGGACAAGCTTTTCTCACGAAGCGCCCCCACTCTTTCGACTTTAGCAGAGCAAACATTGGAGAGGAGGCAAGTCTACTGTCGTCCTCTCTAGCATTTACTCTGCTAAAGTGCAAAGAGTGAACGGTTTTCTGGGAGGAGCCCGTTTTTTTCTTAATCTGCAACAGACTACAGGCGTACTGAATGCTGCCTGGGGTGTTCAGCCATTTCGACCATAGATTGCCGATCGGGTCGATCAGAGATTGGACCTTGCCTCATCTTTGCACAAGGAGCTTCTTTTTTTTTTTTTATTATTATTAATATTATTATTGAGGCGAGTGTAAACAGGTTGTTTATGTAATGTTGTTTTGGTGACGCTTGTTTCCGGACCTTTTGGAGAGTTTTACAATTCTTTTCTACCTGCATTGCACGCGCACAAGTTACGCTCGTTCACAATTCCGAATCCCCGAGGAAAAGAAAAAAAAGACGCCTTACGGGTTGGGTTGCAGCGGGCCGGTTCAAAAGCCAAAAGAATGGAGGAGGAGAAAAAAAAGAAAGGAGACAAGAAAGAAGCTGTTCTAGTTGGGTTTCTTTTCTTTCTTTTTGTTTTACCTTTTAGAAGCACTGCAACTGTTGCATGTTGACCGGTTTGTTGTTGTTGACGTGGTTTTCATTTTTTAGAGATATTTATAAACATGTACAGGAACACACACTTCTACGACGACTGCCGAAGACATTTGTACCATACCTCCGGACATTCTTGTAACAAAATCCACACTTCCAACTGTAGCATTGGAATTAAAAAGCCCCTCTTTTTTTTAAGTAAGCAAACGGTCCCGCCCATTGTCTGGCCGTTGCAGCTGTGTCTGTGTTGCCCGACCTAGAGCCATTAAATGAATGACGCTTATAGTACTGGCACTCCATTTCCCAATTTTTTCGTCGGCACCGCCATTTTGGTGCTTGGTGCACAGCAGGCACAATTAGTGATCGGTACCATTAGAAAATGCACCTTGCAGAGCTCTGTATAAATTACAAAATTGCAGAGCGGGAAGGGTGAGGGGAGGAATCATACTTTTGGTATTACGTTTCTAGGCTAGGTGGCGCAAGTTACCACCCGTTTGCAGCCATTAGCATCCATCCATCCATGGCTCAAGTGTCGGTACTCTGAAGCCGTTATCAGATTAGCTCAGTTACGGAACTGCTCATATACGCCGCTTGCACGAGCAGTGTCCCCCTCACTCACCACGACTCGCCTCCCGTCGTTCAACGTGCCAGATCTGGCTGCTATGGTAACCACAATGTATTCTATGGGCAGCATTGAGAAGTACTTTAAGTACATTGTGCTTGAAGTACTACTTCAAGTAGGTTTAGAAAAGTTGTACTGAAGTACATTCTCAGAGTATGTACTTTACTTTAAGCATTTTTTCTGGTACTTTCCATTGAAAGTACCAGAAAGTACCAAGCGGACAACGCATTGCTCCGTTTGTTCTAGGGGCAACCCTTTCCCGCAGCTTTTTGTACTCTCGCTACTTCTCGGTCGGTCAGCGCAAGCGAGGAGGTTTAAAGTATCAGGAGAGCAAAATTAATCGTAATGTAGCACCCAAGACTGTGGTGTGGAAAAATTAAACTTTCAAGTTGAAGGAAAAGACAACAGAGGAGAGCGTCACAATGTCTTCCAACATTCTCTTTCGCCTTTCCCTTCGACTTGAAACTTCCTTAATTTTTTGGCACCCCAAACTCAGGTGTCACATTATGACTAATTATCACCAGCTTGCTTGCACACTCACTTTTTTTTTTAATAAGGGGAGGACACTCCTCTATGAGAGGATTGCTTGCGGAAGCTACCGGGCTGACGTCGTGCTCTCATAATACATCTAATCCCTTGGGTGCAACAATCCAGTGCAAGTGGCACCAAATTCAGAGGAAGGACTTCTGAATTGGGCTCCATCCCTGAAAATAACTGCTCTGTGGCCAGTTGGTTTTATCAAATATTTGCCGCTGTTTTTAAGAATAGGTCATGTACCCGTGAGAATGCATACCATTTAAAAACTGACTGTATAGGGGAATGAAAGGGCATCATGAAATATTGTGTTAAAATACTCATACTTTGAAAGTACATTGTATTTATAGTACTTTACTTCAAGTACATTGCACGTCACATCTTATTCAAGTACGTCACATCTTATTTACTTTGTACTTGAAGTACTTTTTAGATGTACTTTATCCGACACTGTCTATGGGATACATGTGTTTTGAAGCACAGCGTGTAGATGGCATTCCACCATACTTTATGGAACACAGTTATGAAAAGAAAATCTAGATGGCACTTCAAACAACAGGAGGCGGACTGAAGTGAGTGAGCGGGGTACCCCTTTCCCTGGGAGTTCCACAACTGAGGTAATCTAGTAATGTTGCCTGAAGCATAGCTTATTTAGTGAGTCTAACCCAGGGTGTAAGATAGACAGGTGGGGAAACGGGAGCCAAATGAGTGACCGGATTGTGTCCCCCTCGGTTTTCTCTTTTTCTGTGGCGCCATCTATGTGGAGCACCGCGAACTCTCACTCCGGGTGGGGGACCAGTGGCGACCAACTAAACTGACGTAGATGATTTCTCGTGGATTTTCAATAAAGGACTGTCATACTCTCGGTTTATTTTGCGCACTCTCCCATAGAGTTCCATGCAAATCCGATTCCGATTTTTTTTTTCTTCTCGCTGCAGCGCCATATGTTGCAAATCGGGGGTACCCACAAGCAGACGAGTACACAATCCGGTCACGGTGCTGCGGTAGGTTTCTATGGGCCGTTTCCCCACCTGTCTATCTTAAACCCTGGTCTAACCTAAGATGCCGTGGCAACGAAAAAACAACTTGCTGCAGTTTTTCCTCTTTTGTCTGCCGCAGCATTTCTTTTTTCTTGGCGCCTAGTCTTGACTCTTTCCAGTGGTTTTTGGTAAGTTATCGTTCATTTTGTCGTATGCTTTCATTGTTCTTTGCCTCGTTTGAGAACCCAATAGAAATATCTAGTAATACTGCTACTCTACAAAATCCCATTTCCAGGGGCAATCTTGATTTTTTCTTTTTGTGATATTAAGAGATACATTTATCTATCTTTGTATGGACTCCACACACACACACAAGCAAACATGTGAGCAGACTGAATCCTGGTATCGATATTTTTTGTCAGCATAACCCCCCGAAAAAGGAAAACAAAAGCTTGCAAGTAACCCTGATCTCTTATTCCATGGAACTCCAGCAGATCCATGTTGTGCTGATACCAGTGATGTGTCTGCTTAGACAAATAGAGATGTCCATTTTAGCTCACGTCCACAATATGCCATATGCTCCTTTCCAGTGTGTGTCACCCAGGCAAATGATACCCGAGTCACTAGGCTGTGAATGTGTGCATGGCGTTTGATGTTTCGCAGAAGAGTGCTACTGTGCACACTTAAAATGCGTCTCGCAGCTCTGTATACAAGGTATGCAGAAGGCAGTTATTGGAACGGTCCACACAGCAGAGTACCATTATTTCTTTAACATGCGCAAGTTATGCAGTAGGCAATTAATAGAATGGTCTATTGGTGACTCCAGCGAAGTCGATGCCACGTAGCGGCAGCACTGAGAAGCTCAAGAGAGGAGGTCGTTTTGACTGTGTCGTCTGCTATCGCTGCTTGGTTCTCGTAGGCAGCATAGAAGCAAACATTGTTTCCACTAATTATTTTTATGCTTCTGCCGTGTCATTCCTACGCAGCAACTAGAAGAATGTTTCTACCGCCGAAACATCGCTTTGCTTTTGTACTTAACCAATTTTACGCTAGAGTGCAAGAAATTTATGGTGGTCCGCGTGTGGAATGACGAAAGCGACCTCCTTTCGTCTGCCATTTTGCATGACCAGTGCACCCCCTACAGTTCTGTAGTGCAGATACAGTGGAGAACCATTTTTTCTTTCACATGTGCAAGTGTTGAGCATATGGGTATCGTTTAAATAATTTATACAGCAGACATAACCGTTCTTTCTTTCACATGTGCCTGCGTTATACAGAAGGCAACTGGAACATTCCATACAGCAGAGAACCATTATTCCTTTAACATGTCCAAGAGGCATTTATTTACACTGTGTACAGTGAGCGTGGTACCACATAGCGTCGTCTTGGGGACCACGCGATGCTGCTGGGTTGAGGCCGTGCTACCTGCTGAGCCTGAGAAACATGGCATGCTTGCACTCCTTAGAGTCAGCCGGAAAGTACTTGTCGTAGAAGTCCAGGATGAGCTCCTCCACCTTGAAGCCAAACTTCTGGTAGAGCAGCGCTGCCGAGTTCGTGGCAGAGACGTGGAGCGTCACGTCTTTCCCCATGCAAGTCTGGTGGCAGAAAGCGGAATTAGACAACCTATTATCCCCAGTAGATGCTTTGCCTCCAGCATGCACCTGTTGCCTTCCGCCGAGCCGAACGAAGTGCCGTCAGTCGGAAAGCTCTCGCTCGAGGCTAAGCACCTACAGTCGTATCTCGTTAATATGGATGCTGCCATTCCCCGGAAAAGCCGTCCTTAGTGCGAGTCGTCCATAATAACAAACCGGGGTCAAAACACGCACATCAACAAGTGCGATGGTCTCTGGCCGCTTCTCACCTGACATCGGCTACTCTGCCTTCCAAGCGACTAGAGTGGCGTCCTGCCTTGCCTTTTATGCCAATGACGGGTTTATGACCTGAGTGGCCTTTCGCTGTGACCCGCTTCGAGGACAAAAATTCCCCCCTCCCCCCCGTCATAACCTAATCTATACATCCGCTTCACTGCAATTTGGCAAAGAACGATTGCCGTGGGTCTCTTTGAGCCAGTCGGAGTGACGGAGGCAAAGCACGTGACTGCTTTTACCAAAAGTATGCTAAAGAGCATAGGCGGCTTTCGTGTAACCGTTGGAGAAGAGGAGAAAGTGGGACTTGTATCTGGACCCTCTTGTGTGTTCCAGACGTCACTTTGTCCCCCCGTCACTCAAAACTTGTACAAAAGCGGCATTCTTTTCTCTGCCGCCTGCATCTTTGATGGCGCTGAGCACACCTAGTGAGTCGAGTGTCTCCCTCCGACGTGCTCGTTGGCTCGCTTGGACCGTAGCCTTTGATTCTCTGCCGTCCCCGAAAGGTGACAAGGTCTACGTTGAGTGGATCCAGCTGCTCTAGGGTTCTTTGTTCCCGGTTAAAGGTCCTGCACGAGCTCTAGCAACAACAGACTGCAAGTGGGAATGACCCATTTTACCTATACGACAAAGACATGTTTGAATGCACAGATCTTGCCGCAAAACCTGCAACAAACGCCCGTGTAAAACCTGCGACCTTGGGTTCGCCGGTATCTCGGGGGTGCTTTTAGACCTTTTATTTTGAAGTGGGTTACTGGCATCCATAATAAGGAGACAAAAGTGCCCCATATTTACCCTTCCCCAAAATAGCTGTCCATAGTCCCGACTGCAGGTTTCCATATTAACGAGGCAGAATTGCACGGGGAAAGATCGGTCCCCGAAAAGGTCGTCCATAATGCGGGGTGTCTATATTGAGTCCACATTATTCGAGACACGACTGCACTAAGTTCTTAACCTGTGGACCATTCATGACTCCAGCAATCTATAAGGGTCGCCACTATCTGGTGAACCTGGTGGTCTAAAACGGGCTGTGCCGCGTCCTGTGCTAGGTCAACGTGCAACGCTCGGATTTTGGCAGGCAAGCATTAAACTCGAAATGGTTTGCCGCGATTTTTATTCGCTGCATTTCAAACCTGCAGCGATGTGTTGGCATAATCAAGCTTCCAGAGGCTTGACTTTCTGGAGAAACAACGGAAGGACTGCCTACCGTTTTTCTATGGTAGTGATGAATGTTGATAAATGCACATTGTCTGGTTCGCGCAGTTGCATAGGTTGCGTTTAGGGTGACCTGGGAAATGCGCCAATATGACGGACTCGCAAGGACAACTGTTCCGTCGCGCCAAGTGCCCGCAGCATGCAACCGCGGAGCCTCGAGAGACTAGCAGAAATCGTGAAAGGGCCTGTGTAGACCAGTTCACTATTTACCCACTAAGTGGCGTCCCTTTTGCTGGAACTGCGAATAGAATATAGGCTGGTTTGCACATTTGTGTTTGACTAGGGCCAACTGCGCTACAATGGAAGTTTCAGTAACAAGTTGGTTACCTTGATTGGGTAACTCGTCAGCTAGTTGAATTAGTTACTGACAAATGTACTTAGTGCAACACTACTAACACAAACAAGTGATAGTCTTTTTTTTTGTTTTTGGTCTATTTTTTTAAAACTGAAGGGCCGTCACAAAAAGTACAAGTGTGGTAGAAAGTGCTCATTTGAGGCACTAACCGAGTGATAAAATCACCCATGATACTTGTGGAAAGGCGCCGATGTCGTGCTTCCCACTAAAGGCCTGTCCAAACAAATCGTGAGGCGTCGCGACCCTGACGTAAGTCGTACGGCAGTCCGCCTCGTCTGTTTTTTTTCTGCCGGGAGGCGGAAAGTTCCTCCCGTCAAATTTTGCCCGTGTCCTCCACGGGGGCCTTGAGTGCGCTCGTCAGAAGGATGCGGACAGCCACTTGCAAGCTCTGTCGGCTGTGGTACAATCGCTCGAGGCCTCAGCTTCTCTTCAGGTCCCGAAAACGGGAAAGGGAAGGGCTGGTGTTCAGAATCTTACTCAAATAGATCTGAGCTACTCCGGCGGGTCGTGTCACGTGATAACAGGAATGGAGTGACGCCGGACGCGGGTAGGTTTTCGAACGCAAAGGTACAAAACCCTTACCCTGGAGTAAGATCGAGTAAATTTCGAACACGGCCAAGGATTCGAGGGCCCGGCAGAACAGATAGACAGCACTGGCAGGTGGCGTGGGACGTCAAGTCTGACGAGCACCGAGGTCGTCGAAAAGCGGAGGAAGTGAGGAGGAAAATTGTGATTTTGGCTCTGTGGTGTTCAAACAGATATCGGACTGCCGGACACTTCACCTTTTACGATTTTTGCCGGAGTCATGTCGCCTCACGATTCCTGTTTGGACCAACCTTTACAGTGTTGTGCGGTGTCCATGAATTCACATTAATCTGGTCTCGATGGCAGCCACAATTTGTTGTACCAGCTCAAACCGTAGCAAGCAAAATGCAGCGCTAGGACGGAACTGCAAATGCCATTTCTGCGCTCGAAAACCGAACTGGTGGTCTGTAATCTCGACACGCTTTGACATAACACATTTAGAGACTTGACTAGTGTGGAACTTTGTTACTTTCTGCAAGTAACTAGCTGTAACTAGATACATCTGTAAATTAATTACATAACATATCGGTTTTGCCCCAATATGTTCGTTCATCGTGAACGGCTGCAACATGTTCAATTATGCACTCGGAATACAAACGTGCTAAGCAGCCTTGAGCCTTCAGCAGTTAGACACACAGCAAAGCCAACGAGATGTACCCACCTGTATCAAGTGGTACAGCATGAACTTTGCAATGCCTGACCTCCTCCATTCCGGGTGCGTGAAGATGAAAGGGATGTACGCCTCGTTGTACTTCACGTCCGGCACCATGAAGGCAAATCCGACCACCAGTTTTCTGTTCCGACGAGTGAAGTAAATGCCAGGTGTATACAAGGACTGGAAAACTAGTCTATAATCGGCACTCTGAGGAATAGACGGAAGATGCTGAAAAGTGTAGCAGAGGAAAGAAGAGGAGCTCAAAGTAACAGGCATAGAAGTAAGAACCAGTACTCTCTTGTAAAAAGGTGTTTTGGGTGCCATTACGGAAAGAGGAAAATTTAGAGAAAGCACTGATTGATAATAAAAATTTAAAAAATTTAATAGAACTACAGAACTTTCATTCAGAGAAGCATAAAAGTCACCTGAAAATTGTGTGGAGAAACTTGGCAGCTTGCCAAAGATCTGTTGTATGCCGTAAGGGTGCCCTCCCCCGAGATCGCCCATCCCGTTTTTCTTTGATAAATATCCGCAACATAAAAATTTTTAAAAAACGCCCACCCCCATTCTTGCGGACATCACGCGGTGTCCGAGGGAATCTCATGAACTGCGCGGCCTGCGGTACTCTTAGTGTGACGGGGGGCTTCGCAGGGGGTTCCCGCGGTTTTGTCCACGACATGCGAGCTCCCGTGTTTTTTTTTGGTCCGCCATCAGTGCGCACGACAGCGGTTCCTACGGCACGCAAGTTTGGCCTGTTTCCTCGTGTTTATCGCACCGCGAAACATAGATCTGCTGCACCTGCAGTCTGCGATTTCCTGTGACACAGGAGTTTGTAGCAGATTTCTGCATGTTTATCGCATTTTGAAAAGTGAATTTCAAGTTTTTGCAACCTGCGGTATTAGTTCCCATGCCACATGGTTTGTACTGGGTGCCCCCTGTGTTTATGATTCATTTTTGGTAAAATGTTGCTGTCTAAACCTCAAAGATGGCCCACGTAATGTTTTAGAGCGCAGCTCTTAGGCACCCGTTTCCTGGTTGCACGGCGTCGGCGTAACCGCACGCGTTGCATTATGGGACGCCACAGTTTCCCTGCTAAATTTAGCGGGAAAACTGAATTGGTGTTGAGGTCACGTGACATCAATTTCCCCGCTAAATTTAGCGGGGAACCTAATCTGCTAAATTTAGCGGGGAAATTTTCCCGCTAAATTTAGTGGGAGGGGAGGGGGGCATACTTTCCCCTCCATACCCTCCCTTCTCAAGAGCTGCGCTCTAATTTTACATCATAGAGAATTGTAAACGTCTTTTATTTATTCACCATTTATTTCCTCATTTTGGGTGGGCGCCCTTACGAGATTTTAAGGTAATCAAAAATGATGGGAAGTCTATGTTCCAAGAGAAGGCTTTCCAAATATACCGGTTTCTTGCCCGGTATATAGGGAACCTATGGCACATTTTTATTTAACTGGTACAAGCACATCATGTACAATCTTTTTTTTTTCATTTGCGATTTTGTAGTTGCTGGAAGACCACAATGTTTACAACTTACAAGACATCTGGAAGTAGGTCTAGGGTACCCAAGGAAGGAATTTCAATGTTTCTTTTATACTCTGCAACAATTCGGCAAGCTTTCAAACGGCCTACATGCAAGAGGACATTTCACATGTAGCAAATCTAGCCATAGTCACTCACAGCAGAGCATGGCTCAATGTATTTCCTCTTCTAGCTTTGCGATTGGTTCTTTGGCGTTCTTGTTGACTAAATCCGCAATTTTTGGCTGAGGAGTGAAGAATGAGATGCTCGGGATGTGCCATAGCCTGCACTTAAAGGGTAACTCCGCTCAATTCCGAATATTTCGGGATAATGAGTGATTTCGAATGAAAAAGCCTTAGTAAAAAATACTACGTTGTTTGCTTTGCGAAAAATGGGATATATATTTTTAAATCTAATTTTAAACACGAGCGGAAATCGGACCCGAAACTTTGGCTCCGTCCGGCAGCATTGACCCCAGGCTGCCAGGAACATGGCCATCACGTGGTATGAGATGTTACATGATCCTCGGCCCAACGATGGGCGGGATTGGGGCGGGCATGTGCCAGGTGCAAGTGTCGTCTGCACCACACTCTTCGCTACGTTTTGGTGTCTAAGACATTCGACGACGTCTGCACAACTGCGGCATAAGTCTGTGCACGTGGTGTCCGTAGTATGGACGAAACTCCGAGAGGCAATAATCCCAAACGGTGAGACGACGGTGGCGATTGTGATGCGCAAGACGGCGGTAACGGCGGAACCACGGCGGGCGGCCGGACGGCTCCCAAGAAGCGCGCTGCGCAGGCACGTTACGTCAATCACGTGGACACCATTGAGCGCCGAGAGGTAACGTTGCTGACATCATGCGCTATGCTCGCCCGGAGAAGTAACAACAAACAAAAGGAGGCAATAGTGATGACGTTTAGCTCAATGTTGGCTCCGCCCATGCCGTAGCCTTGACTGCGCTGTTGGTTGCGCCTGAATTCGCCCACTCGAGTCAACCAATTTCGGCAACTTGGCGAGTTGCAAAGTTTGCCGGACCGTTTAAGAGACATTTAGACAGAACTGCGTCGTAATATTTGATGTGTGGTCTTCCTAGGCGATACTGAAGAGGACTGCACTGTTTTTTCAAAACCAAAAATGGAGTGGAGTTGCCCTTAAGGCTGTAACTATAGCTGCAAAATTAAAAGCAAAAATTAGAGGCTGTGTTGGGTTTCTTCGAATTACCTGCATCAGCCTAAACAGGTGCAGGGCAGTGCACTTCCGGTTTGTGTCTGAAGATAGGCTGTACTCATAAATCGAGTACTGGGTATGTTAGGTGCAACAAGGTGTAGGTATACTGAATGAGCTCACTGTATTCAACCCGGCACAGGCCACAGCTTACCTGTACATTGCTACGCAACTGAAGTCTGGGTACTGCAGGCTTTCAGACACTAAAAAAAGCAAAACAATTGCAATTTATGAGTTTGGATATATGACATAATAGTCGACACTCAAGATCGCAGTGATTGCAGCAAGACTCACAGTCAATCCCAGGCCAGAAGAAGGTGCGGCACATTGCGTTGACTATCGGAATGTGCTGTGGCCGCACGTAGCAGAAGTCGATCGGGTAACGCTTGCTCTGGGCGCTTCGCTCCTCCTTGGCACTGCAGAATTCGGTCAATATCAAAAGTTAACCTCGGAGTCCTCCTAAAGAGGAAACTTCTCGCAAGCCCAGAGATGCCGTAGCCACTGGTTGGTTAGGATATCTGACGAAAGAATAGTTTGAATCTAAGTTGTTGCGTTGAGCTAAGTAAATAAACATTAACCTAAAGTTCTCCTCAGAAAAAATAAATAAAAATAAAATGAACCTAAAGTTATTTAGCTTGTAGAAATTTGCAGAATGTGCCATGTCACAAATTCGGGAAAAAAAAAAAAGTTGGACTGGAGTCCATGACATTAGTTACCAACATCTTATGAAATGCAGGTCGTGGTTTATTATGTTCACGTTTCCCGCGTCGTGATTGGTTCCTTGGCGTTCTTATTGGTTAATGCCGCAATCTGATTGGCTGTTGAGCGATCATGAGTTGCTTGGGACTCGCCACGCGCCGTTTCCGTCAGTGACTATGCGTTCACAGAAGCGTGAAACTTACCGCTCTTTGTTCAGTCGGTGAGACAACACTTCCTGGAGAAACTTGAGCCTCAGAGGCACGGTCTCATAATCCCTGAAGATGAAGGGCTTCAGGGTCCTAAAGATTAAAACAAAGTAAGTCGGTCAGCGGGACAAATGTGGTGGCGAGATCAAGTGTGTAGTATGTAGAAGGGATGTCATCTCGGGAAAGACATGCGTTTGCTCCAAGTGACAAACTTTTAGTTAGTGGTTCGATAGGGTCATATGCTTCCATCTCGGGAGAGATGGATGCACGTTCGAGAAAGATAAATGCTCGTGTAACAAACGAGCTGAAGTCTACCAGGATGCAGCGGCATGCTCTAGTAACTATCTGCTATACGTAGTCGGGGACAGGTTAAAAGTGTAGTAGACGCCCCGCCCCCAGCGCAATCTTTCTGCCTTCGACTATGCTTCGTCACACAAGCAGCCAGAGCCCGGCGAAAGGCCTCCACCACAAGCTTCTACTGCATTCCTAGCTCATCACCGACTATGCAGACAGCAAGTCGTCTGATTCTTGCGCAGGAGTTGCGGTGACGTCAGAACGACGCCAAGCGCCGATTTTTTTCTACCAGCAAAAAAGAGCTCGGCATTCTGACATCATCGCAACCCTTGTGCAAGAAGCAGACAAACTTGCGCTCCGCATAGGTTCTTGCATTTAACCATCCAATTAATGTGCACCATGCACTAGAGAACTTCCAAGCAATGTGCCTTGAATTGGGAAGCTTAAGTCATGTTTGCTGCATTGACGTCTACCAAAAACCAGAATTTGCTTGCTCTTTACAAAAAGCAAGCTGCTTTTTGCAAAAAGCAAAAGCAAACACAAACAAGCGCAACTTTCAAATAGTTAATTCTCTATGCACAATTAGTTGCACTTGTCTGTGTCTACTCCCTTGTAATTGTCCCTTGTGTCGCGCAAAAACTTCTAGACTGCATCATGAACCAACTAGGCCAACAACAAGTTTTCATTGCACAGCATTTGCACCGCTGGAAAAATGAACTTGGCATCAGAGCAAACGTTGCGAGCATATACGCCCCGACCCACCTCTGCGTGTAAGGGCTGACGATGCAGTCAAGCTGCTCCTCTTCAAGACCCAGAATCCGCGTCACGAACGACACGTGGCCGTACACTCCGCTCTGCGCCGTCCCCGTCGTCACCTGGAATGGCACGGGCACGTGACGGTTCGTCTCGGTGGTTACGGGAAGCCGGCGGAAATGTACCTGGTAACGGTCCAACACGCAGGCGGTCCTCTGCATGCTGTTGGCGGACGTGTACCCCCTTGCATCCTGTAGGAGAATGATCAGAAGGAAATTTCGGCCGACACTTGGGTTAACTTTGAATATATCTTGGCCCCCCCCCCTTGTGCCGTGGTTGAACTGGGTTTGTCCACAGGCATGTTTTGCTCGTGCTTATATGGAGAGTTCGGGCGCGAGATTGTAGTAGTCCAACTTCTTCCTGTTGCGTAAACAAGCATGCAGCAAGATCTTCTATCAGTGGCACCATAAGTTTGTGCTTGCAGCTTTTGTAGGTCGTACAAGTTAAGGCGATAGACTTTGGTGGGTGGTAGTGACTTTTAAAATTTTACTGACCTTAAATTGAACAATGATATTATTAGAATAGTTGTGGATAAAATTCGCTAACCTGTATCGCCTCATTATTTTGCCATGGTGTATGTAAAAGAAAAAATTTAGCAGTCCTGCCTTAATTTTGGGTACAGCCGCAGGATACGTCGCAGCGAAGTCGTTAAGCATTGGCGTCGCGTTCACGCACCGTGGGGTGCATGAACAAAAGCGCTCGAAACTAAATAGACGTTCTGAACGAAACTGACATCTGACCATTTTGTTCCGAAAGTTTTTGTTCTGGAGAGCGTGAAAGCACATTTCCCGGCATGAGTTCATACTACGTACAACATTTTGTTATCGGCTCTTTTTTTATTTTTCTTCCAGAGAAGCGTGTGCAGTGGGCATTGGGTGCAACAAAAACCCTAACTATAAAGCGGGTTGTCAACGCTGTGGCGCAGCTCTGTGGTAACGCCTCTGCTTCGCACGCAGCGGACCCTGGTTCGTTTCCCGCAGGAGGCGGGCAATCTTCTTCAAGGATTTAGGTAACATTGACGACGGACATCCTACAGCCTACTACACGAACTACAACATCCACGACGACGACGACCACCAGAACATCAACAACGCATGTCATATTCCAGTGGTGGGCAAAGCTCATAACAGCTACTGCCGTAAAACAAGCGTGCAGTATTACCATCTGCCGTTGGTCGTCGCCGGGTTCGCGGCAGAGTCTCCGCACCTCCGCGTCGAGATCAAACACGGGCAGGTTCCGAGCTCTCTTGATCTAAGTGAGGAATACCACAAACAAACCCAACAAAACAATAAAAGCAAAATCAGCTCACTGAAACCGGAGATTATCACAGAAGTAAACATACCCACGAAGCCACCTACAAAGTACTGTACAGACTTGATCATGCTAACAAAAACTGTTAAGCACAGAATGTGTTATAAGTCTTCCAGGGAAGAAGAGAAGGGAGTCTGAACGGCACCGCCTGCCGAATATTCAATTTCATATTTGACGCACACCGTGAGATGGCGCAGCATGATAGGAAAGGCCGCGAAGCGCTTGACCACGCCCTCGTGCACCACGCAAATAACTTTGCTTTTGTGTGCTCCGACCACCGACCCTGGACTGCTCAGTCGGCAGAGCACTTGGCTTGCAGTCTTAGGGTGGTGAGTTCATCAAATCCTGCCGAAGGACTGGAGTCTTTATATGGTTCCCTACGAGTGTAATGCTTTTCGGTGTCGCTTTTCTGTTACAGCCGGCTAGCTGTTACAGCCAAACATTGCAGAACTCCGTGAAAATTGGCTGATAAAACATTCTGTGTTAAAAACCAAACCATCTTTTTATCGATATCAACAAGTTTGACATGTAAAGGTGTTGTCAAGCAACAGCAACATCATTAACTTCACCTTTTAAGAACTGCAATTAAAAGATATTGAGGTGTTTAGTGCACAAAGTAGAGAAAAGAAGAACAAGACAGAAAAGAGTGCTACTCACAACTATAGGTTTACTGACAGGAAAAGAAAGAGAAAGAAGACAGACTGATCCACGTGAGACCAGGGGTGCTATGTTGCGCTTTTTGGACTCCCAGGAGACTAGGAAGAGGGAAGTGACGTCAACGACACAGCAAACGCAGATTGGATGTTGACAGAAGAAAACAAAATCAACACCCAATCTGCGTTTGCTGTGTCGCTGACGTCACTTCCCTCTTCCTAGTCTCCTGGGAGTCCAAAAAGCGCAACATAGCACCCCAGGTGCATCTACTCTACCTCGTTCACCCAGGTTTGTGTGGGGTCTTCATTGCCTGTTGAAGGAATTCTCTTTCCTTGTTTGATAGCATCACGGATCGTAAACTAATACAGTTCTCGTCTTCACAGAGGATGTGGACGGCCTCCAGCACCTCGCGGGTCAATTTGTTGTTGTTCCTCCCCAAGATGATTGTCTTGCCGAATAACGGTCCGTATGTGCACTCATCCCAGACTCTGGGGTACATCAAACGAAATTTGAAAGAAGCGCCCTCTCACTTACGAAAATTGGCCTATGAAACATATGTGCGACCGAAATTGGAATACGCATCAGCCATTTGGAGCCCACACCAAGCTTATCTCATCAGCCATCTTGAGTCCATCCAAAATCGTGCTGTTAGATTTATCCTAAGCGACTATTTCCCAATGACTAGTATTTCATCTCTCAAACGTCAGCTCGATATCCAAACTCTCAACGTACGACGTAAAATAACACGCTTAAGTTTGTTTCATAAGATTTACCATTTTCACCCAATACTACGTTCCTCACTGCTTCTTCCTCCTAGCAGATCATCATCACGGCTAAACCACTCACGCCATGTGTCGCGGATCACTGGTCGCACTAATTATTTTAACCAATCTTTCTTCCCACAGACCATCATAGACTGGAACGACCTGCCATTTGATATAGTGGCCATTGATGACCCCACCTTGTTTCGTGATGCTATAATTTCACGTTTTTACTAAGAATCAATCATTGTATTTTTTCACATCTGGTGCTTTGTTTTTGTATTTTTTCATGTATGACCCCCCCCCTAATGTAATGCCCTTGAAAAAGGGCCCTTAAGGGTACAATAAATGAATGAATGAATGAATGAATTACAATGAACTGGAAGGTGTCTACCCACTGTAACCTTCAAGAAGTTATCATGCTCACGGAGTCGATCATTCAGGCATCTGCCTGTTTGGCCGATGTAGCTCTTGCCACACGAAAGTGGTATCTTATATACGATGCCCAAAGCGCATGGGAGAAATGGCTTTGCATGCTTCTTGGTGCACTTGTGTTTTGTGGTACACTCAGCGTGCGCATTCACTCTAGGTCAAATTTGACTAATTTTTTGTGGTGCTGAAGAAACGTCTCTGACCCGATACCTACTTACAATGTTTTAAAGCGGTAGCTTGATGGGCGACACGTTGCAGAGATTTTGACATTGTCTCCTGTCGTCACCGCTACTGAAAAACTCTTATCTCTGCTCTTGGCACGAAGCCAGGATAGTCGGGTTTTCCCGTCAGCTGCCCTCGTATCCTGCCAGTAATTATGCGACGAAAGGAGTCTTCTGTGTCGTCTGCTTGAAAGACTTGTTTTCAAACATTACTCGCGTTATGCGAAATCCTGCTTTGGCAGTATCCAGTTGCTATGTGTAATGTTAGATGGCTTTAAACTTCCATCCCACTTACCCACCTACTTCACAAATCACCAAGATCTGGTGGCGTTCGTCCGTGGCATCCACAACAACTATGACAATTAACTATGTCGCAACTCTGTCCCCAAGTACTTGGCAGCACCATTCCACCCGCATTGCACGACCGTGCTACAGCTATAGCTTTCGTTTCTTCGCACATTGTGGGCGAAATATAAAACTCTTTTAATATTGGGACATCCTATGCAAGTACAGTATTACCACTGGCCTTATTGGTCTGGAAACCTATTGCTTTCTTCACCAGAGCGTTTGCCACATCAGCCAATACATAACTTGCAAGCGTCGCCATTGCTGGGTACTGACGGTTATTTCTATTTACTGGTATCTTCAAAGTACAACTTCTGCAGCGTGAAAATAACATGACGAACGGTCGCGGCGCAGAAAATAAAGGCATGGCCGTGAATGATGTCACATGCAAGCTATGTGCGAAAAGCTTGGAAGCAAAAAAGTGAACAAAATGGCCCACCATGTTGATGACTCTCTGGTAATTCTTGAAGATGGCGGACGTGTAGACATACAAGTGGCATATATTATAGTGGCCTTTGCTGAGTACGAAGGGGGTCTCATGTTCACCTTTGAGGTACCCAAAGAAAGGGTACTTAAGTTCCTGGATATTTCGCTCCCCCTGGGTGACACACATGTTTGTTGGCCATACTGCTCATGCCCCAAGAAAGGCATTCTAGACTATGGCTCGACCCACTCAAAAGTCGTCAAGGGGGGCATAGCTCTAACATGTGTGGGCTCTGCACTAAAAAAAGTCCTGCCTTCATACTATGGCAACCAGCGTCAGTATGCAAGTCGAGAGGCTAAGAAAAGCCGGCTATTCATCAGCCCTATTGGCTGATATGGCAAACACTCTGGTAAAGAAAGCAAAAGGCTTCCAGACCAAGACCAGGTCACTGGTAATACCGTACCTGCACAGGATGTCCCACAACTAATAGAAGCGTTGCAAGATTGCATTGACTCAAAGTCGTTTTTTCAGCGCTGCAAAAAAGGAGTCAAATTTGACCTAGAGTGAATGCACATGCTTAGGGTAATACAAAATACAAGTGTACAAAGAAGCATGCAAAGCAATTTCTCCCGTGCGCTTTGGGCATCATACATAAGATACCACTGTTTTGTGGCAAGAGCTACATAGAGGCCAAACAGGCAGATGCCTCAATGATTGACTCTGTGAGCATGATTACTCCTTGAAGGCTACAGTGGGTGGACATCTTCCAATCTATGGTAAGGAGTCCGCATGCAGACCATTATTCGGCAAGACAAGCGTCTTGGGGAGGAACAACGTCAAATTGAACCGCGAGCTGCTGGAGGCCGTCCACATCCTCTGAGAAGACAAGAACTGTATTAGCGTAGAATCCGTGACGCCATCAAACAAGGAAAGATAATTCCTCCAACAGACAATGAAGACTCCACACGAACCTGGATGAACGAGCTAGCGGTAGCTGCATCTGCCTGGGGTGGATCATTCTGTCTTCTTTCTTTTTCTTTTCCTGTCAGTAAACCTATAGTTGTGAGTAGCACTCTTTTCTGTCCTGTTCTTCTTTTCTCTACTTTCTGCACTAAATACCTCAATATGTTAGACTACCAACCAGCCCAAATCTCAACTTGACTGCAATTATAATATGCGACAGCAGTCTGAGCAAGAAAAGATTCGATTACCAAAAGGCACTTGATGAATGCATACATCCCCTTGTAAACTGCTTAGAAAAAAAAAACAAAAAAAACAATGTTTTTTTTTTTTTTTTTTTTTTTTTTTAACATGAAACCAGACATGATAGTAAGCTTAAGATTCAAGTGGTAAAGCAGCTGAAAAAATGTTGCAGTGTAAAATGTTGCAATGTTCCAACGTGAATAGGTGGGCGCACCTGTCTGACGAGAAGCTTCCTCCGCAACCTCCGTGCATCACAGGGCAGCGTGCTTTGCGTCGCGTACCTCTCCAGCTGCGTCAACAGCTGGTGTTCTTCGTAGATGCTCATGGGGATGCAGCTTCAACGAAAAAACAGTGCAAGTCAGTACACAGGCATTACATCCCTCACTGCGGTTGGAAGACAGTTCTTGGAGGGGGAACTATACTCAGGAAGCCGAATACAATAGAAGGTGTGTTTTATCGCAGTCGGCTTTTCTCACCGTGGCTTCTCGGATCCAGCCGTCTCGTCGGAATTGTCTTCTGCTGCGGGACCCCTGTCGCCGAGTCGCCTCTTCTTTGAGGATGATTGCAACCGTGACTGGGAAGCCTCGGTGGAAATGCTCTCGCAGTCGCTCGTCGTTTCCGTCTCTTCCTTGACGCTCGTAGCGGCGCTTTCGTCGCCTCTGGAGGACGGAGGATCTTCCGCGGTCACTTCCTCCGTGGCAGCCACGAGACCTGAGGAGAGAGCTTCTGCTCACTTGCTTTTCTAAGTGGCTCCTAAAACAGTCTGTGAGTGCTAAAGGTTGTAAATTCACCTTCCCTGCACTTCCTTTAGACAAGTGCTCACAGTGTCATATTTTTTTTCGCTTTTTTGCAAAGCGAAATCTCGCATAGTGGAGTCTCATAGGAGAATCTCACATAGCAGAATTTCTCATAATGATGTTTCACAAAGTTGTATGTTGCACTATGAAATCTCACATACAGGATTACCTCACAGTGAACGCTTGCATAGTGGCATCTCGTAGAGTTAAACCTCACATAGTAAAGTCTTGCATGATAGAATCCTGCATAAGAGAATATTTCAGTGGAGTAACTTATAATGGGGCTTTGCATAGTGGCATCTTGCATAGTGGTATTTTGCATTACAAGATCTTGCATAGTGCTTTTTGATGATATATTTTTTTATCAGGAGTGTCAGATAGTGGAGTCTCTTATTGTTGTTTATCATGAGTGCCAGATAGTGGAATCTCCCATAGTGATGTACCACATAGTGACATCTTGGTGATGTTTCAGATAGTGACATGTTTCACAGTGACATTTCTCACATAGTGAAATGTCACATAGTGAGGCCCCTCATAGTGCAGTCTCTCACAGTGGAGCCTTTCAGAGTGCAGTGTCTTGGTCCACTGAGACAATCCACATTCCATGCATAGCGAGGTCTAGCACAGCAGGATATCCCATGGTGGAAAACGCGATTGCACCTGGTAAGTCGATCGCCCGAGCAACCCCTAACGCAAACTAGAAAGTGCCACAAATCCCCCCAAACGATGAACTCACCGCTACCGTCCAGAAATCCCGACACGAGCTCTTCCACTTTGGGTGACTGGACTCCGAAGTAGCTGGGGTCGCAGATGGGCTCTTCCACCGTGAATTCGTCCAGGTCGAGCATTTCGTCCTCTTCCTTTTCCACCTTGACGGGGCAGTAGGCATCTACAGTATGCACCATCGAGCAGTTACTCGCACTATCCTCAGTGATGGGACGCCCTTTTCCAAATCTCGGAGCTTTCGCACAACTAGCCCCTTCTTGCCAATCCTCCGAGGTTAGAGGACCATTACCGAACTGCTGCTTCAACATAAATAATACGTATGAGGCGTGCAGGCTTTTTTTCCTGTCACCACAACCTCGAACGTCTTGAGTTTTTCGGATAAATATTAATAGACAAACGTTTTGTCAGTAAGTGCGTTTCGGCTTCTTGCGGTTTTATTTGAAAACACAGAGCCCTAGTTATAACTCTGCATCTTTAAACTTAGCTTACAAGGAAGTTCACAGAAGTACCAGCATGCTTTTACGAAAAAGAAGGCATAAAATTCCAACGAGTTTCTGAGATGTCCACGCTTTTGCACTTTTGAACAGAGGGTGTAAAAATAACAACACTTGAACTTCGAAAAAAATCTTGTCCTCGTGGCTTATGCAATTCAAATGTGGACGCTTTAAAACCCTGCATTTCTCATATAAAAATGCAAAGATTTACAGATTCACAAAAAAACAAGAACGATGCTTGATGAAACAACATGATTTAAACAATATCAGTCTAGAGGATGCTGCTGATAGCTGACAGCTCTGCTGTGCTATCTGGTTTCACTTGCCTTACAATATCAGGGATAGTTCTGATGACAGCAACAAAACATGCAACAATGACAAAGTCCATATACCTGTGGTGGTAATGTCAACTGTCTCACTAAGTGGCTCGGTGCCATGAAGCAAGTCTTGCCGAAAGGGGTCGTTGGCAAAGAGGTCTTGTTCCAAGAGAGTAGAATTCCAGCTGCAAGATGGTATTGCACTCGATAGTTTCGCTGGAATAACTGATTTTAAAGTTATTCTTGGATGGAACAGATCTATCCAGAAAACTTTGGTTGTAAACAAGCACTACTCCCACAAAGACTGTTTAAACACAAAAAACCCCACATCCAGACAACTTTAACAGGCACTTCACCTTGAAAATAGGAAAAGAAATGCTTTCTCTCATTACCGTAAGTCGTCGGGTGTCACATAGTCATTGTCACGTCCCTCCAGGGATGAATTTCCAAGCACGGGGTATTCGGCAGGCTCAGTTTTAACAACTACCCTCTGGAAGACGTCTGATGACTCGTTTGAAGGCCCGGAATGACGTTGCTGCTGCAACCAAAGAGAGACTCAAGTCATTTTCAGCGCACTACTAAAACTTTTTAGACAACATGCAAAGTATTTATTGTGCTATAATATTTTGCCGGCATATAAGTCATTTTTTCCCCGAAATGTATGTCTGCACATTTATACAAAGATACTGACTTGTATGCATTTTGTTTTGTTTATAAGGATAGACCTTAACTCCGACTTTGTTGCGGGGTTGATATTTTTTGTTTGAAGGACTACCTGTGTATACCTACATCGCGACCACATGACACATTATGCGGGCTTATCAATGTACTTATGCCGCACTGACATACAAAGAAGTGTAACTTGTATACACCAACTATTTCTTGAAAATAGCCATTTATTGGAGAAGTGTGACTTATAGACCAAAAACTATGGTAATTCCATTTCTAAATTCCGACTTCTCCAGGTTTTTGTTGTAGAGATTTTGGTGTCGTGACAATGATTTAATAATTGAAAATAAAGTAAAAAAAAAAAAAAGAGGTGTTGTCACCAAACTATATTCATAAAATAAATTTCCCTGGTGACTGATTAGTCAACTGGACGTACCTTGAGTAAGGAGCGTTTTTCCTTGAGGCTAATGGCCGCCTGCATGGTGCTTCCAATGTGGCGCTTCCGTGGTCCGTCCACGACTGAAGGCCCCTCGTGGTTGCCAGAGGTTCTTGCTTTGCGGCACTTGGCCAACAAAGCACTTGCGCCCTCTGAAATCGTAAAAGATATGGACGTACAGGAGCTACAACAGACTGGACATTAGTTTTGTCAAACGTATCGTCAGAATAGGGGGTCAGTACTATTGCTGTGAAGTCACTGAGCCACCACATTACTACCGCCAAGTTGCACATTTGATGGTTGCCTTGTGACGATCCAGTTCGCACACGACAACACTGTAACACTACACTGAATCTTCTACTAACAATACAGAGGTATCACAGTTTAATGTAAGCATGGGAGCAAGGTGGTTTAATCGCGGTCCAGGACGTAACAGAGCCGTGGTGTGAACACGCATATACAGTTAACTTACGAGGATGCTATTGCATTTAAAATAGTTATTGCCAGATTAACTTTTAAACCACATATCGTTGAGAAATTTTTAAACGGCTTGGAAAGGTAAGTAAGAAAGATGCAATTTCGTTTGGTCTCGATCACTCGAGACTAACGTTGAAGATATGTTTTAAGACCCTAAACAGTGGTTTCAGTCAACTTTCAAATCTCTCATACATCTCTGGAAAACTGGAATTTCAAATTCCAATTTTCCAGAGTGAAGGACACACGGGAACCCTGCCGGTTTCAGCGAGGCGTACCGAAGTCAGCCGGAGAAGGCGGCTTCATGTCGGTCAGCGTCCACCAGCCGTTCTCTTTGAGCTCCGCAGTTCCAGACCTGAAGAGCAGCGGGCAGCCAGACGAAAGCGCTCCCGCGACCGTACCACGAAATGTGGCTGTCCGTTTCCTGCAACGCCAGAACATTCAGTGCACACCGATATGGTGAGAACAGAAGAAAGATCTTTCAGTTATCCCACGTCCAGTGTGCAGGTGCAGTCTAAGTACGCTGGAAGGCAATGCACACAAACTGAAGACGAAATCAGAGGGAGAAGCCCTGCTATACTCATCCTGTCTCCGACTCCAGTGCTGAACTGAAGCATTTTCCCTAGTTTCACGAGAACAACTCGGCCGATTGGCCGCATGGATGAGGCGGCAGAGCGCGAGTGCTGCCGGTGAAAATTTGCATACCTTGACTCTCCAAAGAATGATGTCCAGTGCTTGTCGATGAAAGAGCAGATGTGCTCTCTCCATCGGAAGTAGCCGAGCTTCCCGTTGGCACCCGTCATGTGGAGGTTGTACAGCGTTAACATTATCACTTGAATCCTGTAAAAAAAATAAATAAATAAATATTGTGTGCAAGTTACTGACATTTTAAGCAGCACAAAATGATAGTATACCATTTGGTGTGCCACTAAGGGCTAGGCTCGAGCTTAAGCCCATAGCTGTGAGTCGCCGTACCACAACATGCCCGCCAAACTGCGAGCAAGATTTTGAATAATCTGCATCCCCGGTTAAACTCCTGCAAGGTACTCCTTCATCTTTCTTGCTGAGACTTCCACGACCGACTGGCAGCATTCTGAAACCGTCTGTTCATTGTTCGGTGGAGCCTAGACTCTCCCAGGACACCGGCCCAGTAGGTTGTGATGTTACAAATGGTCTTGCTGCTTCGATGCGTAGTCTTCGGTTTTCCCCAAAACAAAGTCGGGCAGAAAGGAAATTGTTCCAAAACCTGAAGAGTGACCGATGGCCCCCACCTCCCCTCCACGCCTCCGTGGCGCACGAAGGGCTGTTGTCCACCCCACGATCTAAAGATAGCCTCTGGCCACACCCAGACCGGAAATGAGCATGGGACACGAAAAAGGTTTCTGTGAATCAAAACACTCAATGTGCGAGCCTTCATCATCTTCGCAAACCTACAATGCCGATCATAACGATGCTAAACACAAAGTCCTGTTCTAGCCAGTACTATAACAGCGCTGCTGTCAACCAGTATTATAATGACGATGAAAGCTATGCAGAGTGCAAATTCGTCTGCCTCTTGCACATGGGTTGCAACAATGTCAAAACGCAAAACTCTAATTGGCTGATATCTAGCATTGAGGTCTACCTACTATCCTTTCAATCAAAGCCAATCGGAGCTCGGTGTCGTTCTGATGTTATCGCAACTCCTGCGCAAGAAGCAGGCGACTTGCTCTCCGCAAAGGCTTGGCATCAACTATTAGTGCTACACTGTCAAAGCTATACTCCGTTCATGAAGAAATTTTTCTACTTTTGCTAAATACTGCTTAGAATCACTCCCTAACGTTAATAACTGAATAAACTTGCCTCAGTTTTTTTGTTTTTTTTTCTAAGCAATGGCAGTTGGCAAATAAATTCTAGAAATATAAGCATCGTTCGTCCCCTTCAACTCGGAACCAGAACAAGAGGCCCCGTGGCCTGGTGCCTATCCTACGCCGCCAACCATACCTCGCCAAACCTCACTCATGAGGGCCCTCCCTCACCCTCGCTCACCCTCATCTTCACAGGTGAGGTGAGGGTGAGTGAGTTTCTGAACCAGGAAAATTCATGAGTGTGAGGGTGAGTGAGGGTGAGTGAGGGCCGTGAGGGCCGTGAGGGCGGTGAGGGCCGTGAGAACGGTGAGGGCGGTGAGGGCGTGAGGGCGGTGAGGGCTGTGAGGGCGGTGAGGGCGGTGAGGGCCATGAGTGCGTGAGGGCGGTGAGTGCGTGAGGGCGGTGAGTGCATGAGGCGCCCTTCAGATCGAGCGTCTTTCTCAGCAATTTTGGTGTTAATGGCGGGTTGTTCTCTAGCTTTCCCTAGATCGACACGAATTGCTGAGATCGGGTCTGGCTCGAAATAAGCAAGCAACTCGGAGCAATTCGAATACGTTTGAAGCGGCTGCATCCAATCAGGGACGCAAAATTTTCACGTGATACCTCGTGCCGGTGATGATGACTCCCAAAGACTTGGTTCTGGTTTGAAATCGATCGTTTTTTTTGGAAATAAACTGTTTCAGAAAGGTGCATTAGTATTCTTAACGAGATTTAAATGCATAAAAACACGTTTATAATGCGTAATTGTGTCGAAATAGTGCAAGAAAAATAAAATTTTATGATGACGATGGCAAATCGCAGCAATTGGTTGCTGCGTGTGATCGCGGGCGGCCCGTGTTGTTGGTGTTGCGACGTAAAGTTTCTGGGCGAAATCGCCTTATGAGGGCGGTGAGGGCTGTGAGGGCGGTGAGGGCGGTGAGGGCTGTGAGGGCCGTGAGGGCGGTGAGGGGTGTGAGGGCCGCAAGGGCGGTGAGTGGCATGAGGGCGGTGAGTGGCGTGAGGGCCGTGAGGGCGGTGAGTGGCGTGAGGGCGATGAGTGGCGTCAGGGCGGTGAGTGGCGTGAGGGCCATGAGTGAGTGAGGGCCGTGAGGGCGGTGAGGGCCGTGAGGGCGGTGAGTGCGCGAGGGCCGCGAGGTTCAGTGAGGGTGAGTGAAGGGCCGAAGGTGAGTGTGACTGTGAGGGTGAGGATGAGTGAGGTGCTGAAGGTGAGTGTAGCTGTGAGGGTGAGGGTGAGTGAGGGGCTTAGGTGAGTGTGGCTGTGAGGGTGAGGGTGAGTGAGGGCGACCTAAAATGCCGACCTCTGCCGCCAACATCCATCCACGCGCTGGGGTCGGCAAAGTAGAAAATGTGTGCTGAGCTCCACGCATTGTTAGAGTTAGGCTATTCTCATCACCGCAGTGGTTGAACACGATCCACTACCTGAGCGACTGCCAAGACATTAATTGTTACGAGCCGAAGTCGAGTGCTCGCGCAGTTCTCGTGTCCAACCCATGAGCCACGCTCGACTGTCGTCAGGCAAGTGGTTTCGATTCCAGAATTACGCCATCGAGCGTTGCGATATGCAAGACTGAAAGAAATGGTCCCCTTTTGTCCTCCTAATTTCACTGCGACCAAGAAGCTTCTGAATCAGTGGCAGTCCGTGCGAGCATACGGGCCAGGCTAGGACCAGTACGCCTCTGTAAAATCATGAACATTCCAACCCGGTATCATTTCATGACCCTTTTAAGCCGAGACTAGAAGCTCCGCCTTCAGCGCGAGCTTTCTGCCCTTGCTAACACACGTGTGAACATGCAGGCAAGCGCGACCAAAGCACTGCGGAAGGCAGTGAGCGCATGCTGAAGGTGGAGCTTACAGTCTCACTTTAAGGGTGAACGGAGTAGAGCCTAGCTTCCAGCGCTGCAGCCCCACAATGTTGTAGACCCCTTTAGATAGTCACATGCTCATTGTCAAAATGTCTGAAGCACTACTGCACAATGGTGGAACAGATGACACCACAAAATGTAAAATCTACATAAGCTAGAAATGAAGTCATTTGCAGAGGTTCTAGGGTTTTAATACTGACTGCGTCTTTTGTGTCTGCCATTGTGCAGGGATTCCACAGCTTGCAACAGAAAGCACAGTTTCGAAAGGGGTAGCCTTCGTCTTGGGTTTCTTTCGCACGCGTTCTGGCGTGTTACGGTAGACGCCAAACGAAGCCACGCACTCGCGCAGGCTTGGTGACTACAGTAAGTTGCTACACACTCTCCGCGGCACATACCACTGCATCTTGAGGCGTTCGCATGTTTCTGTGTTGTCTGCAGAGCAGTCTTGACAGGTGAGTTTGAAGAAAAGGTCCCCGATCAGATTGCTGCGTGGTGGAGTCTTTAGACACGCTGAAATAGTCACGAAATAATCAGACCACCGGGCAAACATTTTTTTTTTCCTCTGGCAATTGTTTACCTGTATGAAAGTAACGTTTGCACAGCGAGCACTGCAGCATGGCAGAAGTGTCGATTTCGGTTGTACCGCAGTAACAGTGCGGAGAATTCATCCTGTAGAGATAGGAATATTAGTCCGTACTTTCCGTTCGAAGTAACGAAAGAGAAATCATCTTCGTTTTGGCAATACCTACTCGTTAAACACGCACAGAGAGCAGCGCGGTTGCTCTCAAGCTCTTCGGGTCTCCCTTCACATTAATTTAAACAATAACGCAACCTCTAAAACACGCGTAGCTTTGACCGATACAAAGAAAAACAACGTACGACACAGCGTAGTTGCGTGACGATAACTTAAATAAAAAGAAAGCAGCTAATTTCAAACACCACTTGGGCAGTTCAAACGAAAGCACCGCTTCGCCTGTAGGCTGACATCTTTAATCCCGTGAATTCTCGTAGCCGGCGCGACGTGCGCCTTTCGCCACCTGGCCACCTGGCGACGATGTCTGTTGTTTCTGCAAGCGTTTCTGCGTCTGCGACCCGCCGACCCGCTTCCTAGCATTGTCACGTGTTCCAAAACAACAAACCGAGCGACCGAAAGTCTGAAAATGCTCTACTTGACTCGTTGGTTGTTTTGCTCCATAAATGTGCGATAACAGCGTGCCAAATTTTTAGGACGTATCAGATGAAGAACCATGGAGACCGCAGATCTGGAAGTTCGTACCGTTTTAATTCTGTACACTTTATAAACTCGTAATCATTCATGTACTGGGGGCGGTGTGAACCTAAACGAGTGATCTTTTCCTAGTCCAATTCCTTCTGACTGTCGCCGCCACGTTTTTGCAGGGAGATCTTCGTTGCTCTTAAAACAAAACCAAAAGAAAACACGAAAATACGTAAAACTGCACCGAGAACCTTCCAATCAGCCTTCAGAGATTTGAGATCGCTGTTGTCCCTGTCACCTTATCAGACTTGTAAACAAATCGGTTATCTTGCCAGTGACCATGTCGCCCGTTCGTGCCGATTTTCAGGAAATGCCGGCGACGCTGGAGGCCAACTGCGTCTATGTGCAGATGAAAAAACAGTACCGCGTTTCGAGGTACATCCGCGCGCAGTGGTTCGTCAGCCAGATCGGAAAGACCATACAGCCCAAACAACCCAAACAGCAGACTGAAGTAAGTGCGCATCTACCAGCCATCGCCATGCGTCCACCAAACTTTCTATCCTCGAAAGCTTTAGACGACTTCACAACAGGGAAAACTGTTCCTAGGAACTTTGGGAGGGGGGGTTTGCCTCTGGCACATGAGCACCCAAGTGCTATCAAAGGCAGAAAGCTCGCGCTAGAAGCAGTCTACTGCATTCTTAACCTGTCACTGCATCTACAATTCATGCAAACTGTCCAAAAGCTTAGGTCTTCTCTGTGGCATCTTTTAAGGTGCTAAGTTGAAGTTCTTCACCGAGAGGTTCTCAAGAGAGCGTGTTTTGTCGCAGGGTGAAATCAGCGGAGAAGTTGAAGTACTTTCCGCGATCCCGCGCGTCTGCCCCGCGGGCTGGTGTCCCGAGAGGGCCCACGAGTTCACCTACCTCGTCACTCCGGCCACCAAGGTCACCTTTCTTGCCAAGAAGTACCGCTTCGTCTTCTGCCTCGACCTCAGCGCCTCCGTGGCGACCGTGGTACGTGTGACGTGCCTGATTCTGGCTATACATGAGGACGCAGAAGTGTTGCCGGTTCCTTTACGCTCGTGTCACAGCTGTCGCGACTTTTCACGAAGCTTGTTGAAGCAATGCATGTGTTATGCGTTTGTTTAGCCAGCGGGAAGCTAGTCATCCCCAGTGGGCTTCTGGTGTCTCTGCTGTAGACTACAAATATAGCCAGTGCAGAACAACTGCTAGTCTGGGTTCTTTATTGTGCATTGTGCAGTCGTGATACGTGACTGCTCTCCAGTATGATGCTCATCCAGGTTGAAGCGGGCAGGGCTGAGAATCAAACCAAGGATCCCTGGGTTCTGCAGCACAAGCAATTGCTCCAAATGCATGCACCAAGCTTTGACCCCCTTTGTCCAAGTGGCAGCACACTGCATTAGAAAAGAGGGAACCTTGCTTTCAACAAATATTTTAGAATGTACACGCTGTGTTGAGGGCAATCCAGAGGACGTAAAGCTATCCGACGGGAGCACTCCGTAATTCTCTTTTGCTCTCTTTGTCATTTGTGACCTTGAAATCAAGTGCTGAACTGTTTTTTTTTTTTATGGGAGCTCTGTCATTGGTTTATTTGGGGGCTTATAAGAAACAAGATGGGGCAGTTTTCTTCCTGCGATCCAAAAGCACAAACGTTTGCCGACATCCTTTGCATCGTTAGGAAACCAAGCTGGCTTTACGGCATAACAAAGTTTCAGAGAAAAGCAGCCCGTCTCTAGCTTTCCGCAAAAAAGATTCTCTGAAAACGATTGTACTTTATAAACCCCAAACTGACAAGAAGTAAAAAAAAAATAAAAAGTGCAAAAGTAGGTTAGTACTCAGAACTTCGGTGTCATGCCTGGTAGTATGTTGTCTTTATCAGGTGGCCCTCGGACAATTTTTTCCCATTTCGCCCTGACAGGACATACGAAGCGAAACGCTCCTCTTCGACGAAGTCCTGTCCACACTTTCCCGATGCATCGAGAAACTCGTGATGCCCGTAAGTGTGCTTCGAGTCTCGCAAACTTGCCGCTTTTCCACCTAAATATTTTTTTTGTCTGTTGGCATTGATTAGTAACCTATTGGCCCATGCATCATATTATGAAATAGACCGTGAGATAGTTTGGTCATGTTCAAATGCATATTACGTAACATAGATTGCAAGCATAGTTTTGACCCTTCCGACTTCGAGAGCGGCGCGTTGTCTTGTCGGGTGGACGGATATTCGAGCCCTACTGGCGTCGTAGCAGATAAGCACCCCGACGGCGCAGGAGACGTGGGCGAATGTCTAGCCGGGTTTCTTCGCCGCTTGGAATGGTTCTGGTGGAACATTAATCGAACGACATGCAGGTCTTCATTTACGGCCGGTAACTTTCGTGTCGTGCGTGAACTCCTGTCGCGGAGAGGATTCGGGACATATTGGCGTACTGTACAGTTAAAAATATGACATAGTGGGTTGCACAATCTGTTTTGAAACGCATTTTTGGTCTTTGTTTTTTTTTCGTCTCGTCGATTGGGCTATTGGCGGGGACGGTGTCCAGAGGTAGTTATCTCAATGAAACTTTTTTCGTTGATGTCTGTGAGGTTGTGTTTATTTTTTTGTCTTGTTTATGTTGTACAACCTCCACCTTCAGAGATATTTCGTAATGACTTGCAGCTGAGGTTGGCTCGCACATTTGCATCTATGACCGAGTGTGTCGAGATTGCTTGGCACCTTTCACGACGGGAGAATGCACCGTCTGCTGGCTGGCCCTGGGACACTTCCGATCTGCGGACATTTCCTTATTTTTTTTATGCATCATTCTTTTACCATGGGCTCGAGATAACTCCAACAATGTTGTAAGCAACTGTTTCTCGCAGATAGTGCATCCATTTGATCTCGCAAATATCGAAGAACTCTCAGTCAGGTTGTGTGCAGGACAAAAATGTTTCCAGAACTGCCCTATAGCAGCGCCTCTACATTCTCGTTGCTCTTGTTGTAGGCGGTCACAAGTCGTAATGCGGTTGCGTGTGCTGAAACGCAAATGTGTGGCCCGGCCTTTATTACTGAGATTAGAGTTAATGGCATGGACTATGCAAAGCAGGTGCCTGAAACCTTCTCTTTCTCTTTATTACAGTTTTATGTCCCTGGAAGCTGCCTCGTCTTCCAGCCAGAGATCTATGTCACTGTCATCGCTTACATCCCTCACTATACTCCAGCCGTCCAGCAGGCAAGTCGATGTCCTCATTCTATGCTCGCACGTCCGTGCACGCTTCGTCCGGTGGGCTGGGCGTGTGAGGTGGACGCGTCGGCCTATGTTTCCTCCGATTTCAGGTCTTGATCCAGGGATGGCCGCTCACACTGGACAACTGGACGCTGTTCCAGACTCACGTGGAGGCGGGGCTGCGCGAAATCTGCATCGTCCTCGCTGAGGCGACAGCCGGAGTCGCCGAACTGCACGATCAGCTCAGGGTTCGTTTCTGCTCTCGTTTACGCGGAAGAAAGGCTGAATCGGGGTGGGGGGCAGTGCGGCATTCCTCGTCAGCGGTCCGCGTTTTCAAACTCTCCCGGGAGCGCTCTTCGCTGACAAGGCGCATGAGAACCTTTAAAGGCTGTATTACCATCTGTATCCGGATCGCAAGTTCGTTTGCTTCTTGCGCAGGGGTTGCTACGGTGTTGGAACGCTGAGCTTTCATTGGCTGATTGAAAAAAATACTGGTTAGACCTTGAGGCATCTAGCATTGTGGTCTACCCACTATACTTTCAATCTAAGCCAATTGGAGCTCGGTGTCGTACTGACGTCGCCGAAACTCTTGCGCAAGAAGCAGGCTACTTGCTCTCCACATAGTCACTGACAGTTAAAAACGGCGGGGCATGGCTTTCCGAAGCCGATCGTCCGGCGCTTGCTCATTGCCTTTCGTTGTGTTTTGATTGCGCGTGCGTGCTCGAGACTCACGAGACGTCAAAGCGTTGTTGGAAGTAGGATGCTCGTGCCGGAGGCAGGACGGCTAAAGGACCCCTCTGCAATTCTACTCGTGCCAGTGACACTAGAGAATGGGTTCCCAAACTGGGTTTTCAGCGTATCTTAAGGGACCTCGTGCGCCGCCGCCCAACGAAAATGCATTAGCTTTTTGTCCTCGACGGCCCGATGTCGTGAGGAATCGTTGAGGCTGGTCTCTAATTTCTCCACGAATTGTGGAAAGTCGTCTCTACCCAGGAATACAATAAGGTTGTTCGGCATTTTCAAAGGAATTCGAAAAAGTAGTGTAAACATTCGAGGGCAAAGTGTTTCGCGGTTCTGATTTATCCAAGAAATATCTGTATTTTGGAGTTGTCTGATCGGGAGGACTCAGGCATGTTGGGTGTTTTTCTTTTTTGGTCGACGAGACTCGGCTGTTTTTTTTGCGAAACCTTAACCTTCTAAACTCGCTGCACGAGAAGAAGCGGAGGATTATTCTGGCCAATCACGTGGTGCAAAGGCGTTTCCACGTAGTGGCCTACGGTGAGTGTCGTTCCTGCCCACCACGACGGCCTAGTTCCCTGCAAGTCCCGAACTACAAGTCCCGAACCTCCAAAAATGGTGTCAATTGGGAACACGGAACTGCGAATATCTGATGTTTAATGAGTGTTGTATACTCTGGTATCGATTTGAACGTTTGAACTAAACCTATTTTCTTTTTTTTTTTTTCACAAGAGACTGAGCCTAAAACAGCAAATAAATATCCCCCCCACCAAATTTTAAAAATAATTTTCAGTGTAGAAGTACGATATAACCGAAACTGAAACTAATCTGCAACTTTGCCAGTCTGTCATCTTGTTGTGACGTCGGACATTTAAACATCTGCACACGCGCAGCTTGAGCCCGTTTTGCCCAGCGTCGGAAGCAGTTGGAAGGTTGTCCTGATCGTCCGTGGGAAATAATGAACTGCAATTCATTTCGCTCGTCTTAGTCGAGCAATGACCAGAAAATATTTTAAGATTTTTAGCACGAGAGTTTGGACGATTCGCCGTTCGCATTCGGTCTTCCGGCATCGCCTCCGAGATGACGTCATGTGGGGGCTGCCTTCGCGATCTGCTGACGCGTGAACCCAGGTGCCGCTTGGAAGCAGAATGGCACAGAAGGTTTTATTTGCTAGCGAGGTGTAAATTATTTTCTAGCATGACGCGAACGCTAGGAGCCAGTTTTTGCGTCTGTCCGCTCGGATCCACTTTCGTCGCAGGAACTTCTCGGTCGGAAACCGACGTGATGCCGTTCTGCTGCATTACTTCATGGTGGTGTTGCGCTGCATAAAGCATCATCAATACCCGCCACCCTCCGTCGCACGCTGTAAATAGCCTAAACCAAATGCAGTTCGCAAAACCACAGACACTCACTATCACTACGACGCACAACGCCATGCAGTAGGGAATGTCGTCTGCTCTCGGATACGACATTTGACGTCACGAGTGCCCCTGCTTGTTGTTGCCAGCAGAGCGGCAGCCTGTGATTGTGAGGTGTACATGTAAACTTCAAAATTTATTTTCTCGAAAGAAAATGAATATTCACATTAAATAATTTGTAGACATACTCACGGGCGAATACTCAGTACATGGTGAAAATTTGTAAAAATCAATGACCTACAATATTTCGCCGGAGCTCCCCTTTAAGAGAGAATATGCTCGTGCTCGCTCTGGCACAACGCTACCAGATTTCCAGCGCGTTCGGGCGCGTCATTAACTCAAACTCACCGAAACCGTTTTTTCGCAGCGATAAATGTTCGTGAACAACTTCATGGAGTGAGACAAACTAAGTTTACATCTTTCTAAATCAATTTAGTTTCAGCTTTCTTGTGAGACTGGGTTCAATGCTTTTTCAGCCAGTGCCCAAAGCTTAAACGGCGCCGCGGGCTACAGAAAAACCGCTTGCGTAGCCTTACGTCACGCGGCCCTGCTTTAGGGTTTCTCGAGAACCGCAGTTCCCACAGTCGTCCGTGCAACTTGTTGAATTGTCGACACCGCGACGTCACGTGACGCCGGCATCACGTGGCATCGAAATGTCACGCGACACTGCGACGGCACACGATACTGCGACGTCGAGCGACATCTTGGCGTTGTGCGTTCGGTCCAGCAAGAGCGAGAAAAGTCCAACGGGCAAACAGATGGTGGACTGCCAACGTCGAGAAGCCGCACAACGTCACAGTCCCACTCGACGCCACAATGCCGCTCCCCGCGGCGTCACGACATCTCCGTCGAGCTCTGTTGAAAAGTGCTGCTCGCCACTGGCGTCTTAAGCCCGTCGCATCCGACAAAGTGTTATAAGATGGGCGGCTCCTTTGTTACCCGGGGGTGCAGCTGCAGTCGGAGAAGCTGACGGGGGGCCTGTTCGAGGAGGGCGAGGAACAGCCGGCCCCGACATCGCTGGTCAACATGGCCCCCTCGGACGTGAGCACCCTCGGCATGCTCAAGTACGGGATGCTTGCCCTGCAGCTGCTGCCCGAGAACAGCAGCGCAGGTCTGTCCACCAGTTCTTTCGCTCTGCCTTTTTCTTTTCTGTTTGTTTGTTTGTTCACTGATGATATAGTGAATGAGAAGGGCAGGGAAAAGTTATAGTTACCCCACCTCCGGCACAGGCTTTTAAACATCATTCACACTAATGTTATATGCACAGCAATATTGTAGCTAAACAAAAACAAAACAGAAAACAAAATTACACATGGATTTTAAAAATAGCTTAAAGGCATAAACATGTCAATTGAAGGCGACAAAACAGCACTAAAGAAGGCTTTTGTTCGGGCAACGGGTGGAAGCTGGGAGTGCCCACTAACATAAAACGGTTTCGTTTTCCCGAAAGAGCGAGGAGATGAACAAAAGCTTACACTGGATACGGCTATACGGCTATATGCCTTTCCAGTGGTGCATTGCAACAGACGCAAAAGAAAGCATGTGAAACATTCTAGCTTTATACAAGGTGTCCTAAATAACTTGCACCAAACTTTAAAAAGAAAAAGAAAAACACTGTGCAGTTGTGGTTTTAGTTTTATGTTGTTAGCAAATGTCTTAGGAAAGTGGAAAAAAAAACTTTTTATTGAGCCTAGTTATTCAAATAATTGAGACTAATTAGCTAACTGTTTAATTATTTGTTTAGGGGACAATGTGTGAATTAGAAAGTTTTATAGTGGCATTAAGAAACACCCAAATACCGTGTGTGCTATGTTAAATGCTTTGCATGCTTCTCTTTATTAACCTAAAAAGAAAGCCCACACAATATAAACAAAAGACCACATGACGTTTGCAGCGCGGTTGCAGTACTCTTGCACGTGCTCTGAAGGAACAAAGTTCACCTTATCACTGGCGCACTTTCCGAGAAGGGGCTTTGCGGCAGCAGGTGCTCGTGCTTATATTCGGGGCCTACACCTGCACGTAGCCCTGCCTCGGGCAGCGCGCCAGTGATGAGACGGACCTAGTTCCTTCATAGCACGCCTAAGAACGCTTCAAGCGTTACGTGCGGGCTTTTTGTCCTGTGGCACTTTTTATACTTCGTGGGGCTTTCTTTTTAGGCTATTAAAGAACCACACAAAGCGTATGATGTAGCAGGCACCTTATTTGGGTGTTTATAACTGTGCTGTACAACTTCTCGATTCACACCTCAATCCTTAAACAAATAATTAAAAAGTTAGCTAATTACTTTGAACTAAATAAATAATTAAACACACTTAAAAAGATCTGTGCACTTTCGTAAGACGGTTTCTAAAAACATACTGTTGCTTTCACTTTCACAGAGCACTCCCTTTTTTTTTTTTAAAGTTTGGTGCAAGTTATCTGGGACACCATATATATGTTACTACATGTATATGTCACTGGTCATTTTCATTGCCTTAGCAGGTTTATAATAAGGAATTGGCTAAAATAGGCAGATGAATGAAGCACACTGATGGAATAGGATATGTAAATGTTTCAAAGTTGCCAAAAGACAAAATCTTTGATGCTGCCGAGATTCGAACTGCGGGTCTCCTGTTATGGTAGAATTCCAGCTCATATCCAAGAATAATGATTCTAACACGCCCCCGAGTTTGGTTATATATCAGGTTCTAATGCGTGCAGGCAGATCTTAGGTGTATTTTCCCCAAAAAAGGTGTGCATTGCAATCAGAATATACCCTTTTTGAGAGGGGATACCCCACCATTTGTTTTTAATTTCTTATTAGAGAAAAATAGTTTGAGATCTTACTGGGCAGGTTTGGAACCTCCCCATTCCGTAACACCACATCTGCATGCGGTACTTGAAAGAACCACATAGAAGAATAAATTAGGAGAACAGGTTTAAGAGCTGCTATCTCTCCTAATTTCGAGGCAGTTTTCAGCTTTTTCACGCAGACAGCAAACAACTTTGTCAAAACACAGAGGTGAGGAGTGGATAAGGACGGCACTGTACTACCTAGAAAAAAAAAATTTTTCAGCTGTCCACATTAACAAGCACAAACTGACTAGCTCAACGAAGCCAATTCCTCCTGGCAGTAACGCACCCAAAAACGAAGGCGGTCGTGACGCCTGCAAAGAGCTCGATGTAAGGACGATTGCTCTCTCATTGCAGGGATCGTGGTGATCACGGACGGGGTGATCAGCCTTCCCAACGGGCTTCAGCTGGAGTCGCTCTTGGGCAACCTGCGTAGCGGCACGGTGGCCTGCTCCTTCCTGCAGCTGGGCGGTCGCTACCACGCCAAGTGCTGCCTGGGCTATGTGCCCTACGACGACCTCATGCGCTTCATCGCCAAGGCCACTTTTGGGGCATTCCTCGACAACTGCCTTTCCCTGGTACGCGCATGTGCCTCACTCGGCCCACGGTCAGGAGCGAGGTTTTGTCGACAGCACCTCCAATTAATCTTTTTGAGGGCTGCTGCTGTAGCCCTTTGTCAGGAAGAGCGGACCCCCCAAACATAATCTAACTTCACTCTTGTCGCGCTGATGCGTTTGCTTTTTCTTTTTTCCCGAGGACTATGGAAGAGTATAATAGGCTCTCGAAAGATGTGTTCTTGACAAATTTTACAAAATGGCGTTTCAAATACAGGAGACTCTCATTATTTCAAACTCCAGGAAGTCACAGATTTTAGTTTGAATTATGAGAAGTTTGAATTATCAGAAATTAATCTAAATAAGATACTAGACAGCATTATGATTTGTTACATGGATAGCTACACATACAAAGCAGATTTTTGCCAGTTTCCTCTACATAGGCCTAATTATAAGCAAGTATAGGCATAACACATTGGCGAAAGAACTGTGACATTAAGTTTATTCATCCGGCAAAAAAGTTGTCGATTGTGGATTGTTTAGTCAGCACATGAGATCTCAAAACAAAATTTTCAATACCAGCCAACGCAAGGAGCTCTTTATGGGACTCTTCCCTTGCAGACAGAAACTTCCGGAGCTGAGCAATGTGCTCAAAGGCCTCTGCGGCTGTGACTGTTGGTAGTGGGTCATCTCTTTCTTCATCGTCATCTTCGCTCTCACGGCTGCACTGCACTGGCATTACTTCCTGTACTATGTTCTCTCATGAGTCATCACGACAAACACACACATCCTCATCAAGACTAGCATGTTCCGCCAGCTCGGCGTTCACGTTATGTGCTTCAAGGCCAGAAAGCATGATTCCAGTGAGCTGTTCTTCGTTTGCAACATTGTCTTGGTCATCATTGCCAGTCTTGAAGCACATAATGTGAACGCCGTTTTCAGTTTTCCGCTTATGTGTTGAGCCCCGTTGAGTGCGCTTCTTTTTGAGCATCGGTGCACTGCGGGGAAGCAACACTCGCGAAAGCAAGTTTCGCGGGTATTGGGTGTGGTTTCGCGGTATTGGGCGGGTGCACCGGTGCTCAGAAAGAAGCGCACTCAATGGGGCTGCGAGAACAAAAAAGAAGGAATTAAGCGAAAACGCCGTTCAAATTAAGCGGCTTATAAATACATTAAAAACAGCAAGACAACCAAAATTTTCAAATCTTGGAATTAACCGGAAGTATGAAACATCCGAGTTTGGATTATCGCGAGCCTACTGTAGTTGTCCGACTTTTGTTTAATGGATGGTGTTTTTATTTTGCCAACTGTTTTTGATAGTGCCTGTTATATTCCAATTGTACTGATAAAATCTTTTATTTTTTTTTTTAATTCCTGCGACGTTTATGTGAACGATTTTCATACATTATTTTTTTACACTAGTTGTGTTTGATGGATTATATATATATATTTATATATTCCAGTGATGTTTTATGAATGTTTGTAAAACCCACCCCCTGCTAAAATGCCTCACGGCAATGCAGGCTTCTTCCTAAACAAATAAAAATGTATGGCGGCGCAGAGCGGCCTGAGTCATAGCTGCTGCACACGTACGGCTGCAATTGCGCCTTCAGAAGTTCCGGTAGGTGGTACCGGACGCCAAAGATCTCAAATCCCAAACTCTTCATTTCTCTCCATTTGGAGAAAAATAAAGATAATCTGAAACTATAACGTTCGGTCCCGACCGCCGGTGCCACATTCGGACGTAAATTGGGCGTTCGGCAATGCGCGTTTTATTTTTCTGGTACGAAAGATGCAGCTCTCCTTTCTCGCTGACACCTCATACTTTTGTTTGAGATTGTCTCTTCGACGTACCGGTTGGCAATGCTTACCTTTTTCCTCTCGATTAGGGTAACCGGACTACGGAGCCGGAAGCGGTGAACATCTTCCACAGAGCCCTGCTCTTCTGGAGTTTCCAGGAAGAGTCGATCAACGGACGCCTGGAGCTCGCCACCGACGTCGAACCCCAGTACAAGTTCTTTGCGGAGTAAGTGGAACCGTGGCCACTAAATGCTCCCTCCAGAGCTCCAGACCAACACGCCCCAGGCAGCCAAGTCGTAGTGCCGAAATTTCTTTTTCACATACTGAAGACCTGCACATGGCTCAGCTTGGACATAAGTGCTGTGTCAGTGTTTGGCTGAGGCTCACGTCCTCACTGATTGAATACGAGCTCCGGCCGAATGCTGACACAGGACTCGTGTTCAATATGTGCCTCGCACTGGCCGCTGGTGGGCGATGTAGAAACTTTGGCACTACGGCTGTGATATGTTGAAGGTGTGGGCTGAACAGAGAGAAAGGGAGCCTGCTGTTTGGTTGACCAGTCGTGTTAGTATAACTTGAGCCTACCAGACAGTTATAATTGCTGAACATTAATGGTTCCTGTGCCCCGCCGGGCTTTTTGAAGGCCTTTTGCGTCAACTCTTCTTCCTATAAGCAAAGCAGTGTTATAAAGAATAGATGCATGACTTTTGGCTTGTTGTAAAGAGCGTTGAAGTCAGCATTTTTACTTCGATGGTGGCCTTCTTTCTTGAGACTTTGGAGGGCAGGCAAATGCCTGAGCAGCATTCAGGTATGGAGGAAGCATGCTGCCAATTCACACCGTTTCTTGCTGGGTGATTCGGTACACGTCGCAAAGAATAAGAAATAAGAAATATTGCAAAAGAATGCAAGGACAAGCAGAAGGGCACAGTCACTGGGCTGACTCCCAACTGTCATTAGCTCTCCGTCGAGGTAGGAGCCGTCGACGGAGGGCTTTAACCGTGCTGTCTTTTGACTGATTCGCAGGGGCAGCAGCGCGTTCAACAAGCAGTGCCAGAGCAGCGTCAAGCCTATGCGGAAAAAGAACTCCGAGGGCACTCTGGCAACCTCACTCTCAAGCGTCCTCTCCTGCAAGCTCAGGGAGGGCTACGCTCTGAGGAGCATCTCCACTTCCAAGGGTAGGCTCCCCCACTGAAGTACATACGTGCGCCTTTACGTCTTGCATTGCAGATGTTTGTCCGTGCGCCTCCACTGGTTTTACAATATTTTTACAGCGATGGCGGTTGTGGGCTCTTCCCCTCCTCAAAATGATGTAGGGTGTCCGTAGTCAATGTCGCCAAATGCTCAAAAAAGAAAATTCCAAATGCCCATCATGGTTTTCATGGGATTCGATCCCGGGTTCACTGATTGTGAAGCGAGTGCACTAGAACAGAGCCGCGCCAGCTGCTTCAATACGTTGCCCAATAAACTGCACGTGTCGAAAAGGGCTGCATATATGAGGTCTTGCGCAGTGCCCTCTAGATGGCCACAGTTGCAGTGACTCCGCATCACATCACTTGAATCTCACGCCGCCTTCTTTGAAGGGCTTCTGCGTGTATAAAATAAATTAGCGTGTCGCTCCCTGGAAGTGTTCGTACATACAGGCAGTATGTAGTATCGCAAAATTTACGCAGATTAATCACTACATATCCACAAGGTCATCATATGGTCATCACAGGTTTACTGCAAGATACATACGGATACATTGAGGTCGAATGAGGATTTACGACTATTGCTGTGACTGTACTGTAGATTCACACGGGACTGGTTGTTTCTTTTTTTTTTTCTCCAGGGGAGTTAGAAATCAAGCTGGTGCTCCCATGGAAGTTTGACGTGAACCTCGAATACGTCGTCATGGTTCCCTGGCCGGCATCAAACAAGAGGTTAGACTTCTGTCGAAAAGACACGCTTGAGCTTTGCTTGAGGTGGTGTCCTCAGTTTCTCATAGAGCTTTGGACATCTTTTATAAGCTTTGTTCATAAACTTTCGGAAGAGAAATGGGGTCAACACTGTTTCTGATGGTTTCTGGTCTTTTGGGTGTCTACAACTTTTGTGCCAAGGACAAATAGCCCTTCTGCAAAACTGTTATTATGGATGTGCTAGGGAAAGTATGGTGTGGTTTGCTCAGGAGTGAAACCTGCCCGGAGAATTTTTTTTAATGAAAAAATCATCTTGATTTGTCTCACTATCTTGGAAAAAATGGCTGGACTTTATAAAGCTGACTAAAACAAGACCTTTAAATGCTTTCATACATGCTGAACTAGCATTTGCTTTATCCTAACCCTCTGTGGGTGGTCTAGATTTTGTCAGCAGTCACCTTAAGCCTAAACTGAGCACTATCCAGCCTTTCACATTAAAACAATCTTAAGAACATTGCTGCTTTCGACTGTGAAAATTTTCTTGGGCTGTGATATGGAAGTGAGTACATTGCACCCATGTGACGAAAATGTGAAACGGAAGGGTTGCGGTACCGCGGCGTAGGCTCATTACCGTGTCACTATCCGTCCCCGGTAGAGTAAGATAGAGTGTTTCACGTTTTCGTCACATGCTAAAACCTTCGCCGTCTCTTGACCGATTACGCTCGTGGGTACAAGCAGACCAGATGGCCAAGATGTTTTCACGTAGTATGTTCGCCCGATTACAACATGCACCCAGTTTCTGCATCAAAGAACATTCATTTTAACATTCCCCCGGCTCTAATGCACTCCAAGTTTTTATGCTGAAAAAACGAGAAAAAAAAGAACCAATCTTGTGCACCAGGAATAAGCAAAGCTAATTTACTGGTAAGCTTCGCTCTCTGTCATTGCTCTTGACCAATCTGCGGCATACATTTCGGGACGCCGACGCGCACGCCGATGCACACACGTCTGCAAAGCCCAAGGTACGGGCAGCGACCGACTGTGAAGTCAAAGGCAAAAGAAATAGAAGCACAGCTCCTACAAGTTCCGAGGTTGCGACGTACAAAGGCTTAGCCGCCACCTCGCACTGGCAACGACGACGGGGTCGTTGCCGCTATTGCTGGCACAATTTCGGTTTCCTTTGGTTTAACGCGCAGGTAGCTTTTAGGCGCATTTTTCTCGAAAAAAAGGTGCATGTTATGCGCACTGACACGACGAGAACGACGGGGAGGAGTTTCAGTTTTTCTGCCTCCAGTGGGAGCTTCCCATCTTCGGCAATGCTTCGATGTCTCGTGCACCTCGAGCATGCACGCACAGCCGAAGCACGGTGGAAGGCGAAGAGCGTGTGCCGGAGGCTGGGCGTTTGAAAGGGACGACCCGCCGTCCTCACGTGGCCGGCGACTATAGAGTCGGGTAGATACGATAGCACCCGTCGAGAGCGCATCTCGTGCCACATTGCCAGCAGGGAATCACCAAGCGGAGACAGCCAGCAGAAGCAGCGTCCCGGCTGCAAGTTCGAGGTGTACGTGGAGGCGAGCTACGATTTCCTGCACGACGTGACCTGCGAAAACTTTAAAAGCAACAAGGCCAGGAGTCCCCACCGCATCCTGGTCACCCAGCAGTACTGGAACACCCTCAAAAAGTGAGCGGGCTTTCGGAGGTCTCTGTCTATGCCGACACAGTTGCGGTCGTTTGTGAGGAGATTAATGAAGAAAAGCGTGGTAACACTCCAGCCTGGTCGATTTCTGGCATGAAAGCTTTTTCACGGGCCTCTGCAACCGATATCTCGCTGCTATTTGCCGATTTCGCGACAACAAATTTTTTGCGTGTCCTGTCAATTCTGTTGTAGCGGGGCTTAACCTCTTTACTGTACTAATAATGAAGTTTGGTGCTAATTTTAGAGGTCCATAGTTTGTTGTTTGCTAAATGCATGTGTGACCGAGTGTGCAATCTGCATTGTACGACTGGTCGGGACGATGGTCGAAGGCAAGAACTATTTACGAAACTACCGGGCATTGGCTACGAACGAATAATTTCTCTGCTTTCTAAAAATCTGTCTCACAGCATTTCCAGCAACGACCAGCTGCTGGTCCACCTCCACTCATTCAACCAGAACCCCGTCTACTACTCGGTTCCCGAGAATTTCCGCAACGGCGTGCCGCTCTTCAACCTGCTGCACAGCGGGGGTTCATCGGGCCACCTTGTCCCGTCGTCCACGTGAGTCTGACACGGTGCCAAGCGATCTAATTTGCGGTTTGCTCGTAGCGGCCAAATAACACCACCATCGCATACCTTTTTAACATAAAACATTGCACAGAAGTATCGCACAAACTTATGGTGCACCAGTTCGTTTTAACCTCATAGGCAAGGCGTAACATTGCATGACATTTGTGATCGCGCAATATCACACCACTGCATGATGTCGCACAACCACGGGATGTCACATGACATCGGGACATGGGACGTCGAGGTTAGTTGTGTTGTTGTGTGGCATCACTTTACATAATCATGTTACCATGTGGCCTACAATCACCAACATTTACCGCCCCCCCGGTAACAAATGCTTTGTACGATAATGATCAAAGCACTTAACTGTACCATCTAATTGTCTTTTTTACTTTTTTCAGCGTGCGGAACAACAGCGCACAAGCTCCTTTTGTGGCGTTCTGGAAACCCGTCTGCATGCTGGATGTGAACATCTGGTTAGTGGCTCTTCCCCACGTCTTTACCAACTGAACATGAGAGCGCAATTACAGCCCTCTTTTGGTCTAATACGCATCACTGTTGTTATGCATGCTTTTGGATTTCAGTTGTGCTATTACGCAAAAGAAAATCCTCGAAGACACTGAGCTTCCACAAAGCTTTTTTTTTAAAGCGCCTAATTCCGGATGGTATAGAGTGTCCCCCCAAAAAAAGTCGGGGCTCCAATCCACGCTATGAGTGTGGTTGGCCCGCGAAGCTGTGGTATCACCTGCAGCGATTGCCCACTGCACTATACCAAATAATTGAAGAAAGAAAAGTAAATGTACTGTACCAAAACTTTTTTGACACTGGGTGTTTCATGTAAGAGTAACAAAATTTCTAAAATTAGTGTATTCGGGGTAAAAGGATAATTTTCTTGGAACCACATTATTCGTGGTGGCGGACGTCAGAAAATGCGCAATACCTACTAATTAGCTTGCTAATTAACTAGAAATTACTAATGAACTTTTTAATTAGTGAAAATAGGCATATGGTTCCATCTAGAAGCTTGCTGAGCGTCATAGACACTACTAAATGAGTAATTTTCAGAAAGACTTTGAGCACATGAGAAGCATAGTGGTGTGCTGAAGTTATCACTCGTGGAGCAGGTACAAGGCTAACAGTAGCGGTAAGGTGCCCGCACAATTTTTCCGTCTCGTCTGAGAGCCCCAGCTTTGTACCTGCTCCACGAGTGGTGACTTTAGCACACTACTATGCTTCTCACATGCTCAGTCTTTCTGAAAATTACTGATTTAGTAGTTTTCTATGATGCTCAGAAAGTTTCTAATTGGAACCATATGTCTGTTCTCACTAATAAAATGTTGATTAGTAATTTTTAGCTAATTAGCGAATACACTAATTTTAGGAATTTTCTTCTCTGTTACTTGAAACACCCTGTATGAAAGTTTAGTGACGTCATTCCCCACGTCGCAAGCTGCCGTTGTCGCGGCAGCTTGCGTAACGATAATCTTTATCGGGAAACATATGCGGTGAGCACTACATGCTTTGCACTGTTATCAGGAGTGCCTTATCATCAATTATGTGGTTTGGATGCTTGTTTTGTGCTTGCTCTTTATTGAAATGAATCCTGTGATGTATGTTGTATGCGTGATATACACTTTTCGCTTCAATCACTGAAGGTGTTTTTCCGTGAGGACGGCCGACACAAAAATCCGACTTACAGCTTTGCTGAAAAAATATTTACCGGGTTTCTTTCACCGCAAAAATTAACTATGCATCGCCGAATGCTCATTTCCCGTCGAATAGTAGTGCTAGAGGTCCGAACCCAAGGCCAAAGTTTCAGCGCGAACCGATATCTTATCCAAAGTTATAGGTGATTTTCTGAAAATTTCAGTGGGAAAATGGAGCCTGTTTTCGCCCTTTTTCGGTTTCTGGCGCATTGGGCTCCGTGTATCCGAGAGCTCCGTCGGCCACCATTTTGCCATCAACATTTTTAGAAAATACGTAACTTTTTAATAAAATATTGATTCGCGCTGAAACTTTGGAATCTGATTCGGACCTCTAGCGCTACCTTCAGGCGGAGAATGAGCATTCGGCGATGCTTAGTTTATTTTTGCGGTGAAAAAGACCCTGTAAATTTTTTCGGGGACACCCTGTAGTTTCGAATAACACACTATTCTATGTTTGCTCGAAACTCGCAATTCACTATTCGCGCATGCCTACAAAATAAGCTGTACCAAAAAAAGAAAAGAAAAATGCTTTATTTCTTAAAGGTTTCGAGTTCAACTAGTTAGTATAGGCATGCCTGACGAGGCATAGGCATGCCTGACCATGCGACAGCCCCCCTCCCTGGTCCCTTAATCGAGCAAGGCCAGTCAAAGAGAATGTTCAACAGACAGAAGAAAAAATAGTGTATTTACTCGCATAGTGAATGCACCCCCCACAACGAGCATCTATATTTGAACTTTTTTCTCCCTTCTGTAATCAACGCACCTCCAATTTTCGAACCCGCGAGTCTAAAATTGCGTCCAATTTAGCAAGCCTCCAAGCCAGTTTTCTTTTGCCACCAGGCGGTCAGGCCAAGCCAAGCCAAGCCAAGCCGCTCTCGTAATGGCCGCGAGTGCGTAGTTGCGGTAGTTGCAGTAGTGATCAACAGTGAAACCGAGTGTTGCGCACACTTGACGAAGCTTGGGTCAAAAAATTGCCGAGCCCTGGGCATTCTTCGCCTATCGGATGCATTGATGTCAACAAACAAGTTGTCGGACAGTAAAATCGTGAAAGTGGTTAGACCTAATTTCACATACTCCGGGTAAATGTGTTTTTTTAATCTGTAACAGAACGGCACAGCGAGGTGCACGCTGCGCTGTAGGCTGAGAGTGTCTGGTAGCCTCTCCATGAACGAAACTTGATCCGTGCAAGCGGGCTTCGGGGGTCAGCGGTTGGACTTCGTACGAGTTCTTAAACGCATAGTCGCGGATATACCTGAGCGGGCCACCGGATTTTAGCAATATATATTGCCTAAGAACGGTCGCGTTGCTTTTCGTGCTGAGTGAGCTTCATAGGGCGCTTTTCCTTCCACAAAAGGCACCCCGAAAGTGCCCTAAAAAGGTGTGCAATTTATAAAGCATGGTTACTGTGGTGCGCCCCCAACCAGCCGTGGGTGCACGTCCATCACTGGAGACATGCCACAGTGCCTTGCCGTGTCATATTGGCACCTAATATGACATTTGCACAAAGTGTGTAAATGCAAAAACCCCCACCCCCCTAAATATGTGTAAATTTTTCGGAAAAAAAGTGTGTTCATTATGCAAGTAGATATGGTACATATCTGCGAAAAACTAAACATCAAAAATGCCCATTGCCAATAAAAAAAATGCTGCATAAAGCTTTCCTCATTTTGAGTTGGGAACAATTCTGAAACATGTTTCTTTTTCATGATTCGCATCTTGGGTGCTGGTTCTTAGTTGAACTTAGACTTTTAAGAGCTGTCAAAGTCCCCGGAGACTTGTTGCTGGCCATGTAGGAAGTGCCAAAGGAGAACTATAATGGACGGGTCCATTTTCAGGCAACGCTGGGTGCACGTTCACCGCATCAGCCTGCTGCTGGAGCATGACCTACCGCTACCCCGTCACCTTCAGCAGCCCAACAGCAGCGGGCGCTACGACCCCGTGCAGTGCCGTCAGGCGCTGAACCGCCTCGCCACTCTGCTGCGCGATCGCTCGAGCTTTGTGCTGGCTGAGGGACACGCCTACATCACTTTCCTCTACGGCGGGTGAGACTTGTGGGCTATTCTGGAAGCCTTGCCTACGTGCTGTGATGTGCCGTGATTGTGTGACGTCTCGGTTGTCTATCACATGGTCAATAGTTGTACACGACACGAAGCAAACTTCATTAGTATTTTTACTACCGTAAAATACCGTGGAACTGGCCATTATTACAATTTGACAAACTCGGGAATTCTGAAAATTATAGGTTACGTGCCCGATTTGACCGTACAAGCGCCCATGTTTAAATTAACCTAGTTTTCAGGGAAATTGGGGTGGGCACATTGGTCACGGAGATGGTGGCAACTATTTTCCGAATGCATATAAACTGGTTTGTGGGGAAATTGTGAGATGCATTAGTAAGGGGTCGCACAATGTGTGTCCGAGAGCACAGCCATCGCGGTATTTGACGTTGGGAATACTCAAAAGAGAGCACATCACCTGATTCCTATTGAAGCTGGTAGGAAGGGGAAACTTGCGGCATTAGAGTCTGCACCAAAAGTTTTCGTTCCACTAGTTTCCAGCCCGGTGCATGAGTGAACCGTTTCTTAGAGGGGCCCTGGCAACGACTTTTTTACTGGTTTTTAATTTGCACCGAAACTCAGCGCACTGAACATAGTAACTTAGTGAACCTTTTCTTTTCTCGAAATTCGCTTTATTTTAAAAGTTATAGACACATTAAAATTACAAAAACAAGTAAAAAATAACCTCCGTCAAGACATTCTTGGTCCTCTGTCCCCCCCTTTTCCCGTGCCGGAGGATTACCGTGGACCGCGGTGACTGAGGAATATGGAGAGGGAGGGGAAGACGGGGAAAGGAGGTGGAAACCGAGGAGGGAGAACTGCCCGATAATGGGGCAGAACTAGTCGAGTTGAGTTTGGGACGCTGACGTGACTTCATCGCCTACGCTGCGTCCCAACAGACACTCATCGTAAGCGTCCGTAGCGCGCTGGTGAAGCCTCTCAGCATTAACTCGACGACGCTCAAGTTCCGGGTGAGTCCGGGCAAGTCTCCTGTGCTGTCGCAAGGAGATGAATTCATACTTTCGCTTTTTGCAAAATGTGTTGCAGGACCAACAACGTCACAATGTTGTCACATGCCGCGCACGTTCGGTACCACGGGGCACCCCCGAAGGTGGAGGAGGCTTCCGCGTCGTTTGGTTAAAATATGACTCGCTGATATTCAGTTACTCTCTCCGTGCCCGCTGGGTTGCCTGAACCACAAGGGATGTGGAAACTGCAAAAAAGGTAGATGCTTAATTAGGATTGCAGGGCCCCTTTAGGCGACTACTCCACAGCAATAAAATAAAAAGGTTCGAGGGACACCTAAGCACTTATGAGTTGTGAATGCAAAAGCACGAATGTCTTTCTTGTGCGCGCTCTGGTGAAGTGGCCGTGCGGCGATGACATCGGCCGTGCAGCCGCTCCGAAGTCTGCCCGAGCGGGCTCTGGGAGGCCCCGGCCCCTCAGTCAGCCGCTTACTTTTACCGGTGCGCTGCTGCGCGGGCCCGCAGTGCCATGGGGTGGCGCTCCTTGAAACTGGCACAGTTTGGCCAATGGGAGCCTTGTTCTTTGAAACTATGACGCTTGCCAGCCAATGGGAGCTTATCCATCAGATTTCGGCTTCACTTTGCTTTTTTTTTGAGAGGTGAATTTAGCTGCCGTTTTGTGTGGCTTTTTGCTTGGCTTCGAAGCTGGGAGCCTTCAGATTGCGGCTTTACTTCGCTCCATTGGGAGAGAGGAATTTAGCTGCCGTTTGGTGCGGCTTCAGAGCTGGTGACGTCGGCTTGCTCCATAGGACTGTTAATGCTTTCGCATTAAAAAACACGTTTGTGCAGGGATGGCGACAAGCCCGTGTCGTTCTACGTGACCCGCGTGACCTACAAGGCACCCTGCATGGTGATACGCTTCGCCTTTCTCGGCGGCACCCCCGGGGACGAACGCAACGCTGTACGTAATTTCCTTAATATCTCTTTTGCTTGGGGTTAAGATGAAGTGCAGGACACGAGAACAGTAAATTTGCTTCCTTTCCTTTCACGAGCGTTTTTCTTGTTCCTGTACCTGCATCATAGGCTTTTGAGGTAGTGACAGAGTTAAGGCCCTTTCATGCAGTGTCTTTTGCTCACATTATTTTACAGTATGGGAGCTTATGTCTGCTTGTGTCACAAGTCACCTGGACGTCCGTAGTTCGTGTGAAATGAGGCAACCGGTTCGGGAAGTAAAGCTTTGTCCGTGACATACGAAGCACAGATGTCCCAATGACTTAGCTAGAGTGAAAAAATGTAAGCAAACATTCCTGCATGAATAGGCCTTAAAATTAACGAAGTAGTACAGATGTAAAAGAAGGACTGGGTATGTACCGTAAAGTTCCGAAAGAACGCCCACCCAAAATGAAGAGATAAACGGTGAAAAACATAGGGTGAGCTATCTTTGGGGACACCACAGCAAAACTTTATCAAAAACCGGCTACAAACCACGTGACACGGGAACTGATACTGCAGATCGCGGTCGCCACAAATTCGCGTTTCACGATGCGATAAACACGCGGGAATTCGCTACGAACTCCTGTGTCACAGGAAAGGATATCGCAGCTTGCAGATGCAACAGATTCGCGTTTCACGGTGCGAAGGACCCGCGGAAATCCGCTGAGAACTCGCATCTCACGTGAACGAATACCGCAAATCGCGGACGCAGCAGATGCAAGTTTTATGGTACAATAAACACACGGGAACCCGCTACAAACTTGCCTGTCACGGGAACTGATATTGCGCTCAGATTGCGGACAAAAAGGCAGGAATCTGCTACGAACTCGTATGTTAAGGGAACAAATACCGGAGATCGCGAACGCAGCAGAATCGTATTTCACGATGCAATGTACTTGCGGGACTAACTCGCGTGGAATGGAGATCGTACACGCAGAGCGTGGACAGAAACGCTGGAACCCGCTAAAAACTTTGGCACGGGAACGGATACTGCAGATTGCGGATGCAGCAGATTCACATTTCACAGTACAACATACACGTGGGAACAACTCGCGTGTTACGGGAGGCGATATCGCGTGCGCAGATTGCGGACAAAAACGCGGGCAGGTTGCGCGGTTGACGCGATTCCCGTCGGGCACTGCGTGACGTCCAACAGAAAGTGGGGGGTGGGCGATGTTTCGGAATTTTTATGTTACAGATATTTAGCCAGAAAAACGGGCATTCTCTCAATACCTTACAATAAAGGGATTTTGCCTTCCGTCAAAGGTGTGAATGTACTGGTAAATGAAAGTCTGATTCATCTTCGTAACATCGGTGTTCTGTGAAGTACCAATGTCTTAAAACTTTTCTTGCTTTGTAAACTGACCCGAGGGCGGGAAGATTGTACCGCGCCCTCTTTTCCTGGCGCCGCAGATTGTGAAGGAGCTGACTGACCAGATCCTTAGTCTGGAGCTGAGCAAGCGACTGGCCAAGGATTCCGGCTCCGACAGTGGCTCCTGCCTCCGGCTTCCGAAACCCCGGACTTACCAGAAGGCCAGCTGCTGCATCCTCTTCCGCAAGCCGCTCGAGCGCATCCTCATCAGGTCAGAGCACGGCGTTGAGGCCAAACTCGGGGACGTTTTGTTGCCGGCTAGGCTCGTTCGAAGCACAATACTTTTATGGACCAATTTTTAGGTTTAGAGTGTTACGAAGAGTTGCAACAAAACAAAAATGTAATGCAGGCGAACGACGATCATGGGGTTGGTACCATTATGAGACATGCGGTTGGTGTCATTATAGGTTATGTGGTCATGCGTCATGATGTCGCGGTGCCATGTGACCGTGTAGCTTATTGCCACCGGGTCGCGTGCCCATGTAACTTTCTTGTCACGGTGTTACATGACCACGCGCTTTATGTCACACTGTTGCATGACCATGGAACTCGACGTCACAGTGTCCCGTGACCATGCGAATTGACGGCAGTGTCATGTGACTGATGTCAGATTTTCGCATGACCACTTTTTGCCACTGTCTTGCACGACCATGTATCTTGACATCACAGTGTCACATGCCCATATGACTTCGTTGTAACAATGTTACATGACCACGCAACTTGTGACCACAAGCATGGTCACACACAACACAAACGCACGCCACACACATTGTGCGTGGCCACGAACATGGCCACACACACTGTGACCATGACACTTAACGTCACGCTGTCCCTTGACACTGTAAATTGATGACAGTTTCATGTGACCATGTTGCTTGATGTCAGTGTCGCATGACTACTTGTCGCTAGTCTCACATGACCACGTAACTTGACATCCAGTGTCGTGACTATGAAGCATGATTCCGTGGTGTCACGTGAGAGCGTGGCGTCACAAGGTTTACGTAAGTTGACGTCATGGTACCACATGAAACCGTGATGTCACAGTGTCAAGTGACATCAAGGGATGTCATGTGATACCTGGTGACATCATGCGACTTCACAGCATTACGTGACACTACAATGTGAGTAACGTCACGTGACCACTGCTCGCTAAATTTAGCGGGGAAATGTTTAAGCCCCCAAAGTCCGCATTCTGCACGGTTCGGACTTATACATAGGATGGAGGTGATTAACCTTACCGAAACTCCCGACGCACCTCTCGCCACAGGCACGAAAAGATGCCGAGGGACGTCCTCAGCATGACTGCTGCAGTTCCGGACTCGGTGGTTCTCCTGGGCCACCAGCGAATCTCTGGCACGCCGACAACTCGGAAGGGTGCCACGGGGGGCACTCCGGCAGGTGCCGCCGTGGACCCCACGAGCCAGCTGAGCCGCTACCTGCACCACCGGCGCTGGGTCTGGACCGTGCAGCGCCTCGTCAACGTGCCCTTGCCCCTGCACGCCGTCACCCGGATTCTCAAGACGCTCGCCAAGTGAGTGCGCAATGTCGCGGCTCGTTGTGGTCTTTTTGGTGGGAAACGCTGTTCAAACATAAACAAGTTGTTGGCAACATCTGATCTAGGAGGGAAGTGGCAGCGCCTGGTATGAGTTCTCACTTTTGCTTTGCTTCAGTGACGGAATTTGAACTTTGGCCTGTACCTTTCCTAATTGGAATAAACTGTGTTCTTCAATCCTTGTCACGTACAGGCAGGCCGTGGACTTTTTGGTTTTAACCGAAACACGCTGATAAACATCCGCTGGCGTTAGAAGTGGAAAATCAGTCAAAACCAAAAAAGGAAACAGATTTCTGAAACTTTTTGCTCCTGCGAGGACTGTTTTTGTCGAAACACTCCCCTTTTAGATTTAAACTCTTAATTATTAAAGTGCAGCTCTTAGGTGCCCGTTTCTAGGTTTTGCGGAGTCAGCGTCAGCGTAAAAGCGCAAACTTTTTGGGGAAAATTGATGTCGCGTGACCTCAACACCAAATCAATTCAAACTAAATTTGTCTACTAAATCTAGTGGAGAAACTGAATTTCTCCACTAAATTTAGGTGGAGAAATTCAGTTTCTCCGCTAGATTTAGTAGACAAATTTTGTTTTTCCGTTTGATTAATCAGGAAAAATTGACGTCACGTGACCTCAACACCAATTCAATTCCCTGCTAATCGACGTCACGGGACGTCAACACCAATTCGATTCCCCGCTAAATTTAGTGTGGACACTGAATTAGTGTTGAGGGCACATCGCGTCAATTTTGCAGCTAAATTTAGCAAAGAAACTGGGAGGAGTGGAGGGTATAGAGGAGGAGGATGGGAGGGTATGCAGGAGGAGGAGGCAGAGGAGGAAATGAGGAGAGGGGGGGGCAGAGTCGTATATACAGAGAGTTTGGTCATTCATTGGGAAGTATAGGAGTCAAATGAGGAGACGCGCCATTGGTCGAAAGCGTGCTGGGCGTGCTCAAGGGCTTCTTCATAAATTCGAATGTGGCCAACCGGAAGCCGAAAATAATACCCTGGTGGTGGTCGCAAGGAAGTGCGCCAGAGTAACTCTCAATGACTGAAAATATGGTGCACGTGATGTTTCAATCATGATCATCCAAAATCATGTTGGAGGAGCACGACTAGCAGTACGATGGACATAATCCGTACGCCAGCACGGATTTTTTTACCGATAAATGTTGTACTTGGGATTTGTCCGAAATAGTTTACAAAATACGCTGATACTTAAAAAAAACATAAAAACATTTGTCAGTGTATTCTATAAATAAACACCTGAAAATTTATGCCCTATTGTTTTGTTGTTACGCTTGGCGCTATTGCCATGAAATACTCACTAATGCCGTATTCATGCTGGCAACTGAACCACATTTGCAATGTGGTTGCGAATGCGGTTGCTTAAAGATCTAACACAATTTCACACGCGTTTGACGATGAAAACTAGCAGATTCACTTTGCGGTTGCGATTTGCCATAATTTGCCGTAAATTTTTCTAGACATCATTACTGCATTTGTGTTTTTTGGGTTATATATATAAATCAACAACTAGAATTGACAATAAAAAGTATTGATCGGTTTAAGTACATGGAATGTTTTATTTACATGTGCAGATAATTGTATCAAAACTTAGTATAAGAGTTTGCTTAGTCATTTAAAGTTCCAACAAATTTTTTTTAACATACATATGGTTGGTGACAGTTTAAGAGTGAAGTGGAATCTCCTCACACCTTTAACCACTTCAGCAGGGTGAACGCTGGAGAGGAGGTCACTTCATCTCCGGCGTTCGCTCTGCAAAAGTGGAAAGAGGCCGGAGAAGCTCCCACTTTAGTCTTGACCTGTCACTGACCATAGTCATCTGCATGCTCAGCATTTCTGTCCCGATTGTAGACCTGTCCAGTCTTCAGACAGATCTTAACTGAGAATGTTTTCTCAGCGCTACATTCGGCATTAGTCTTGGGTAGCGCACTCTTGGCAAAATTGCCTTCACAAAAAAAAAAATATATATATATATATATATTTTTTTTTTTTTGAAAGTTTAATTTGAATATATTTTGCACTGCTTCTGTCATGTGCCCTTTCAACAAGTTCTATTAATGAACTCCACATTTCTACAATGCCCGAAACCATGGAAATGTTAGAATTTTTGTTCCAAATTCGGGGAAAAAATCGGGTTTAACCCGATTTAAAAAAAAACATGTTTGGTGTGTAAATGTAGAAAATATCGGGTTTTACCCAAAAATGAAGGGCCCAATTTTGAGGATTGGACAATGCTGAAGCATTTTGCTTCTTCATCTTTTAATAGTTTGTTTCGTCTTGATCAGATTGTATACAAAAGTGATCTATCCTGTCTTTCTATCTTTGAATGATGTCTCTCTTCCTTTCCATCTTGAATTTATGTTTTTTGTGGTTGCATGACTTTATTGTTAGGTATGTGCTTTTGTGATTTCGCCAGAGCACTCGCAATTTATTTCCACCTCAGAATGCGACTGGAAGAAGGCTTCCACTTCGCCCACTCCAGTTCGGGAATCCTAAACATGGCTTTGGAGATTGAAATGAAGGTGAGAATGCTCCGGTTGACAGTGAAACAAATGTGCCAGTAGAACTGTACATCAGTGCAAATTGACAATTAGATATTCAATGTTGTTGAGCACCAAGAAATCGAGCTAATCCTTGCTGCTTGCATCTTTCTGGCACCATATCTTGAGAAAGGCAACTTTGCTTTAACTATTTTCTACGTAAATCTAAAAGTCTCCAATACTTACACCCAAAATACCAGGAACAGAAACAAAAGTGGATGGCAGTGCATCTAATAGATTTTATGTGCTTATGTTTTGCCACTTGTCTCCATATATTACATACATTTATCAATCAGTTGTATGTTTTAGATCTGAGACACTAGCAACACAGCTCTGCCAAGAGTGCAAACCTGCCAGCTTTACGGTGTTGCTACAGGCATTTGTTTTTGTTGTTACATACCATATTTACTCGCATAATGAACACACTTTTTTTCCCCGAAAAATTGACACAACTTGGGAGGTGTGGTCATTTCGCGGGGTAAACTTTTTGCATTTACACACTTCGTGCAAATGTTATATTAGATGCCAATATGACGTGGCAAGGTACTGTGGCACGTCTCCCCTGAAGGGGGCACACCCACGGCCAATCGGGGGCACGTCACAGTAACCATGCTTTTTAAATTGCAAAGCTCTTTAGGGCGCTTTTGGCGTGCCTTTTACGAAAGGAAAAGTGCCCTATAAAGCTTCCCCAGCACAGAGAGAAACGCGACCGTTTTTAGGACTAACCATTTTCAGGATTTCACTGGCCGAAAGCGGACCACAGATGACAGCGATTTTGTTGACATCAATGCTTTCGATAGGCGAAGAATGTCCGGGGCTGGGCGATTCCTCGACCCAAGCTTCGTCAAGTGCGCGCGCCGCTCGGTTTTATGGTTGATCACTTCCGCAACTAGGCACTTGCAGCAATTACGAGAGTGGCTTGGCTTGACTTGACTTGGCCTGACCTGACCGCTTGGTGGCAAAAGAAAATTGGCTTGGTTGCTAGCTAAATTGGACGCAATTCGAGACTCGCTGAGCCGAAAATTAGAGGTGCGTTCATTACGCGAGGTAAAAAAAAAGAATCCAAATATTGGTATTTGTTGTGGGGGGTGCACTCATTATGCGAGTGCGTTCATTATGTCAGTAAATACTGTAGTACTTTTCTACAGTTACTTGGACAACTGGGTAATGTGTGATGGCCGCGGGCGTTTCTTTGCAATGCAGAACACGGTCACCGCGGATTTGTCTGACTCGTCACTGCTGCCCTGCGTGGTGCAGTACGTCCTCTTCCCTCCTCACTCCAACACCTCGATCCGAGAAAGGTGAGACCTCGCTGATCCAGGCAGGAGTCACCAAACGGGAGTTGCCAATGTTTCAAAACGGGAGGCAGTGGGAGAATGAGAATATCGCCCGGCTTTGTCATTGCTTCAAATGCAGTGAAGCGCGATAACACTTGGTAGGGTATTTGACGGGAAATCGACGCGAAGTGACTTAAGGTCACATGACGTGGTCACACGACGCGACCTCTCGGTGTCGCGTGACCTGACACCACAATTTTCCTGCTGCTACTAGGGGGAAATTGACGTCGCAGTTTCAGGTCGTGGTGGCAAATGACCCGAAAGAGCATGACGCGGTCACACGACATTGTCACGTCGTGCGGTCAGACCAGCATGAGAACATGAGGCACGTGGAGGGCTCTTATATCGAGCTGTTGCCTCGAAATCCGTCAAGGGATGTCTGCAAGGCTTGATCCGGAATGTTTGCAGCCTGTCGGACGACGAAGACAACGAAGTGGAGACTGCGGAGGCGGATGGCGAACTTCAGCTGGTGACGGAGTGCTGGGTGGAGCCCCAGTGCGGTGTCGTGGTCAACTGCCCTGTGTCCTGCTCCTACCTCGAAGGGAAACAGTACACCGACATCCCCAAGGCGGTGAGTCGCTGGCGTGAAACCTTGAAACCGTGAAACAATTTAGTCCCGACGTATCCAGCGACACTCGAGGCGTTGTGACATGGCGGGACAGTGCTTGGAGGCACGGCTCGCTGTTCGCTTAGTTGCTAGCAATAGCTGTGGGTAGGCACACGTTTAACACCGGATTGGTGATATGAAAAGGTTACTTTGTTTCAAGGTGTATACAGTCGAATTAGTTTGTAGCAAAGTCAACGAAAAATCTAAACAAGAAAAGCAAAAACAGTAACTTTCGAAGTTTTGACATGAATGTCGGATTGTGATCTTACCGTATTTACTCGAATCTAGGCCGATAGTTTTTCCAAAAAAATTAAATCCGAAACTCGGGGGTCGGCCTAGATACGAGGATCTGGCTCCGCCATGACCGCGGGACGCCATCTTGTCTACATCGCTTCGGGAAGATACGCTGTGTACCACGGAACGCACGGAACGTTCGTCTCTACTCGATGCTATGGCATCGACCAGTCGATGCCACTACTGCGCGGCTTTTAAAGGACACATGCAAAGAAAAAAAAAAAATTTTTGGACAGCTTAGATGGAAAAAGGATGTCATAAAACGATTTTACAACGAAGAAACAACATTTTTAGAGCTATATTTACGGCGCTATACGAATTTGTAGTTGGCGCTCGCGGGAGCCGCCGCTGGTCACGTGGTAGGCCCGCGCGCCGCCGCGCTGCGTCGCCGCCGCACGCTGAGCGTTGTGCGAACGCCGCTTCAACGCGTTTCTCCACGCCGCCGTCGCCGCCGCCGCACAAGTTCGTCTGCTTCGGGGCGCCGCCGCCGTCGTCTGACCGGCGCACAGGTCTATCACGTCTGCTTGCGCTTTTTCAGGAGTTTCCTTTGGGCTCTAAAAGTTACTTATTCGTCTTGGTTTTTTGTTATACTTCAAACAAAGATGAATAAGTTACTTTAAGAGGCCATAGGAAGCTTCCGAAAGAGCGCAAGCACCACGTGATAAATAAAGACCAGTCACGTGATAAATACAGACCACTTTTCCGCGGTGCCCGCGGGCGCCAACTACAAATTCGTTTTGCGCCGTAAATATAGCTCTAAAAATTTTTTTTCTTCGTTGTAAAATCGTTTTATGGCGTCCTTTTTCCATCTAAGCCGTTTAAAAAAAATGTTTTTTTCCTTTGCATGTGTCCTTTAAGAGGAAAGTTGTCTTGGCTGCTAAACACTCGTCCAACCTGCAAGCCCAGCGTGACTTCGGTGTGGACGAAAAAAAATGTCCGTCGCTGGAGAAAGCAGCGTGGTCAGCTCTTTGCACGTGCGGCAACAAGAATGGCGATCTCAGGACCGCGGAAGGGAAGGCACCATGAGCTGGATCACGGCCGCATGGGACGACATCCCGGCGGAACTGGTAGTAAAATCGTTCCGAAAGTGTTGCATCTCGAATGCCCTGGACGGTACGGATGGCCACGCGTTGTGGGAAGTGGACAGTGACAAAGATACCAGTGAGGACGATGAATGATCAGGTAAAATGCGGACATTAACCGTGAGCATACCGTCGGATTCGTGACCCAAATAGTGCTGTACACTGCAGATAAATTCCGTTCTGTGTTTAATTTAGGGTGTTTTTCCTATACTTTTTGGTCGGCCTAGAATCGAGAATTTTTTTTTTATTTTTCGGCCCTGCCGTTTTTGCGGGGGTCGGCCTAGAATCGATGCCGGCTTAGAATCGAGTAAATACGGTATTTGCGTGCAAAGGTAGTACAAGGACCTTTAGTGGAAGGACAGGCTTGCGGCTCATATTTTAAGCAACTTTCGCAGCTACGATTCACGTGGCTATAGAGCTTCGCATTTATTTTTGATAGCACTTCCTACATTGGGCATGCTAATCATTGACTTCTGACCGCATCACTGGGGACACGGTGGATATTTGCTCTGCTTGTTCAAATCTGTTTGCTATGTAAAAGAATCTATCGTAAAGCACTTAACCCATCTTCAGAATCTACGTCCGTAGCCGTTTTAAAATGAAACTGGCAGCGTTTGCAAGATCTGTGTCCGTGCATTGCCAACCTAGCACGGTTTCTGGCTTGTCGCTTGATAAGAGGAACTTTCCGTTCTTTTATCTGATCCACCCAGATATTCCCTGAAATCAGAGCCAAAAGAAATCATAAAATCGTTGTGCAGTACATTCACAAAACTTCACTTAGTGCTAGCACACACACCAAAATTTTATTTCTCAGGCTGCCTTTGTATAGCCACACAGACAGAATGCGGTAGAAGGGCAGTCATTAGTTCAGGGTAGCATTGTCAAGCGTTTAAATTAACATAAATGTAAGAAAAATTTTTATGTTTTTTATTTCTGCTTAGTTTTTTTTTAAAAGGTGATAGCATTTTTGAGCAATCTTTATACACTTTTGCGGCTGTTGTGCATACAGGTGGTAATAGCCCGACAAATTTGATATGATATATATTAGCTTCTGAACAGCAAATACAGTTACCAAGGGTCTTATGTTTGTATGACGAAATTAATCGTCATTCTTGTTCAGCTCGCTTGCACCTTTGCATTTAATTGCTTTATAATTATGCTTGTATGTTTAGTATGTTTGGATACATATGGTAAGTCATACTATTATAGTATGCTTACATATATAGTCTTTATGTATATGAACATACTGTGTATTTAAACATAATAATACCCTTGGTATCAGTATTTGCCATTTAAAAGCTAATGTGTGATATCAAATTCGTTGGGTGCATTACCCCTGTATGCACAATTGAAGTAGGTATATAACAAATCTGTGCCGTATGCACCAGACATAAAATTCAGACATTTGAACAGCTGTAATTCTACAACAAAAGTCGGTTGGTTGCGGGAGCTTGTGCAAAGTAGGCTGTTAGATCGGAAAATTTTGCGGATTGGTTTTAAATATGATGAGAAGACTTTGTGGGTTTTGGCAAAAAATATTCCTAGAACTTCCACGGAAGTTCTTAGGCAGTTCAATAAAGAAACATTCACGTAGTACAAGGGGTCGCAAAGTGCCGTCGCATTTCCACGACAATCGGCGCAGCAATTTCGGCAACAATTTTGCTCCTTTGTTTCGCGTCGTGTTAACATACGAGAGGCAAATCACTACTTGCGTACACCGAAGCAATGTTGACCTCGGATGTACGACGACTTGCAAACTCTGCGCTTCGAGTGTGATATAGGAGGAATCCTTATCGGCGTATCTGCTTCAGCGGCATCACCGCTCTTCCACTGTGGAAGGCAGCCCACTTCGAGGAAAACACTCGTGCAGATAGATCGGCGCCTACTGTCGAGCGGAGCCAACGGTTCCGTCCATTTTTTTTGTTTCGTTATCTTTGGGCTCGCTCGTCGGAACCGAGACGGAAAAGAAAAAGTCCCATCGCCTCGTCCATTCCTCGCCGGCTATCGTGCTAAAGACGGCTTTCCAGGTCTATTGGCAGATATCAATGGGCCAAAGCCGATAAGTGCAATAGGGCTCAAAGAGTTGCGAGCGATGCGGGAGTTTGCTCGTAGCTTAAGAGGGAGAGTCGCGTGCGAGCTCGGTGTTACTGACTCCGTTTCTTAACGTTCTTGTGGCTTTACTTCAGGTGTTCTAAAACTTTTCTATCTCGAGAAGCCCCTATCAGCCTTGAATGGCAGCTTGAGGAGCCCCTCATTGTCTTGTACATTGATGTAATAAAACAATGCTGAAGCCTACACGCCTTTTAAGTTGTAATATAAATATATAGATAGATGAGTAGATAATTTATAGTAAATACTAAAAAGACAAAAAAAATTTAGCCAGTCCAGTATGACTGTTAGCCTGGGTTCTTTAACGTGCACCATGCAGTTGTGATACACGACCGCACGCTGGTATGATGCTCATCCGGATCGAAACGGGCACGAGTTTGGATTGAACCCAGGACTCCTGGGTTCTGCAGCGCAGGGTTTTGCTCCTTGTTTTCTGGGCTGTGGTGCTCTGACACACCCGACCACTGATCCCCTCCTTAGTTTATAGTAATGCACACACTATGTGGGTATGTTTTTGGCTCATAGTTCAGTCAGTGGGTGGCTAAGTCTGCTAAAATGTTGCTTACACTAAAAAAAAAAAAAAAAAAAAAAAAAAAAAAAACTAAGGGCGGGGTTGGCTGAGGAAGTTTGGGAGCTGGGTGAGCCCTTCATGGTGCTCTGAGGAATTTGGTTTGAAAACCCATGCTCTACTTGATCGCGCCTGGGCATGTGCAAACGCTTCCATTCTGCTTGCGTTCTACCACAATACCGGTTACGACCATGAATAAATTTGTCACTTTGTTAGTCCTTCTATACTACAGCAGTGGTTCTCAACCATTGATGTTTCGTGAACGCCTTTTGGGTGTAGGGTAATTATGATAGTGATTTAATAAATGAATGTAACTAAGGGTTAGTGTGAAGTAGACTTCTCTCATTGACATATACACGAGAAAACTCACCCGAAAATTTTAACGTTCCCTGTCAATCTCAGCAAATTCAACTTTTGTTGCCGGCCTTGATTGATGAGGCTGAGCTTTGCGGACCGCTAGAATGCTTTCGCGGACCCCAAAGGGTCCTCCGTGGACCCCCATTTGGGAACCACTATACTACAGTATAAACTCATTATACTGTAGTATAGTGTTAGTCATTAAAATTTTGGTCTGTTGGAAAGGAGTATGTAGAAGGCAAATACTCTTACTACAGACTTTGAGGTGGATTATAACTGGCATCTGTTCTAACTTTAGTCAATGAATGTTTACAGAGTATCGCATTCAATAGCGTTCACCGTGACTGTTCTATTTGAGCTTTAAACGGCCATGTTGGCACCGAAACATATACGGCGGACGCGGCACAAACTATCATTGAAATTAGAACACGCCCAGGTCAGGACGCGCTACCTGAAATCACCGGTGAGACATGGTTGTATAAAAACAATATTAATTCTGTCACAAAACCTTGTAAACTAAAGTTTTATGAAAACATCACGCTCCTGTAATTTTG